TTTTGTTGTTGGAACGTTACCTCAGGCAGAAGCAAAGTATTCAGCGGCAGATGGACTGGCTACTATGAAACTTTGGCATCAGCGTCTTGGACACACTTGTGAACAGTATTTGAAGACAATGGTTGATCAAGGCTTTGTCCATGGTATGATTCTGACGAGGCGGAAATCATCTCCGTGTGACGCATGTCATGTTGGTAAACAGCGTCGCCAACGTCGAAACAAGAAGAAAGAGCACGATATCACAGGTCTCAATCAAGTTGTGTATGCTGATCTTCTTTTTCCATCGAGAAATAATGGCACCAAGTATACGGCAATTCTCGTTATCATGGACGGTTATTCGCGATACTTGACAGCACATCTTCTGGCAAAGAAGGACGCAGAAACGGTGAATGAGTTGATGAAAAACTACGTCAATTGGGCCGAGCGGCAAGCTGGCCGAAGCATCAAGAAGATTGTGCATCGTAGTTGGCATATCATGGAAGGACATCGCACGTTACCGGTGAAGATTATTCTGACGGACAAAGGTGGTGAGTTTGTAAACCACGATATCGATGCATGGTATAACGCACGAGGAATCCAGCATGTGCAGGTTGGACCAAAAAGTTCTCACATGAATCCCGTGGAGAGACAACACCAGTCGCTAAGTGACATGACGAAGGCGATGCTTCGAGACTCTGGTTTTTCACCCCAGTTATGGCCAGATGCTTTTGACTATGCTGTATACCTCAAAAATCGCGTTTACAACAAGGCGGCGAACTGCACACCGTACGAACGCATGTTTGGCGTCAAACCAGATCTTCATCATATTCGTGTGTTTGGGGCACTCGCGTATGTTCACGTGCCAAAGGGTCCAGATCGTCCACGACACAAGGACAATGCGACGATCGGATTTGTGCTGGGGCTCCGGGACGACCAGGTGGGGTACAAAATCTATTTCCCCCACGAACATACTCGCAAGTGGGCTGCAGACGTAGCCATTGATGAGTCTATTGTCTACCGTGATCGCCATCAGTGCACCACCTATGTGCCTCTCCTGGATCGACTTCGTTTTTCTCCCCACGACGGCGACACTCGCTCTGCCCCGGCGTCTGTTGCTAATGGTCCTTTCTCTCCAGTTTTTGCAGATAACGAGGCGACCGGTGTCGACGCATCCGTCACGGGCGATGCCACTTATGATATTCTTGGCACCGAGGCGGCGGATGGGGATGGGATGGTCGACGGTGATGGGATAGTCGACGGTGACGACGGTGACTACGATGTTGATAGCATTGTCGACGGTGACTACGGTGGTTCTGCCCGAGACATCCGTCGTGATGACATGGATAGTGCGTATCACGACGATGATGCTGTTAGTGGTGACTCCAATACTGATGTTGATGGCGCTGCCGAAGATCAGGATTCTTTAGATACCAGGAGTGATGATTTGGAATCTATTGCGACACCAAGTTATGTCAGTGTTTCAACGTTTGAAGCAGACGTTAGTGTCGAAGACACGTTGCAAGACTTGTCGAACATGAAATCGGGTGAGCAGATCGCTAGGGAGGAAAGTGAAACAAGAAAGAGGCAGCGGTATAGTGATGTACCATCAAACGGTGATGTCTCATCAAATATGAATGATGATAATACAGCGATGTGTCGACGACGTGCAAGTCTGAGAGAGGCGGCGAAGCGACACAAGCCGAATAGGTACAAAGATTTTGTTGCTTTGACCACACACGCAAGAGTGCTGGACAAACTTGGCCAGTTTATTCGTGCGAGTGACGTCAGAATGCCACGGAGCACCAGAGACGCTGGACGGTCAAAGTATGCAGATTTCTGGCACGAAGCTCAGCGTGAAGAAATGGATGCAATGCAGCTTAAGAATGTACTGGAAGAAATTCCTACGGCTGACATACCACCAGAAGCCAAAGCGATTAAAACCATGTGGGTGTGGGCACTTAAAACGGATCAATACGGATATGTAATCCGTTTTAAGGCACGCTTGGTTGCTTTGGGAAATTGGCAGCGGCCTGGTATTGACTTTGGTGAGACTTTCTCTCCTGTAGCACGTATGTCAAGTTTCAGGATGACGCTTGCATTAGCGGCAGAACTGAATCTCAAGGTGTACGGTGGTGATATTAACACCGCGTATTTAAATGCAACTTTAAAGATACCACAGTATGTGAAATCGATTGACGGATTTCCATGCAGACGTAAGGAACACATGTATGTGGTGCGCAAGGCATTGTATGGCTTACGTCAAGCTGGACGTGAGTGGAATGATGAGTTACACAATTGGATGATGGAAAATGAGTATCAAAGATGCTTAACGGAACCGTGTCTATACTATCGTCAGGACACGGATGGAACGATAGTGCTGGTGCTGGTGTACGTTGACGACATTTTATGCGCAACAAACAACGAAGCAGTCAAGGTTGACTTATTTGGAAAGCTAGCATTGCAATATGGTATTAAAGATCAAGGTGAGCTCACGGAGTATCTTGGTGTCGAAGTGCAATCGAGTCAAGATGCCATGAAGATAAGTCAAAGAAAGTACTCACGTGAGATTCTACAGAAGTTTCACTTTGAACAAGCACATGCAGTTGGAAACCCGCTTGAGACAAAGCAAAACCTAATGTGTGCAGAAGAAAAGGATGACATCGATAAGACGTTTGATTATCGTGGTGCGGTGGGAATGTTAATGTATTTGACAACATGTTCGCGACCCGACTTGGCATATGCAGTGGGTCAGCTAAGTCGATTTGTAGCCAATCCGACTAAACATCACGTTGGTTGTGTGAAACGTGTCCTTCGATATCTCGCTGGAACACTTGATTATGGCATAGTGTACAAGCGTGCGCAATCGACTCAGCATCCAAAGATTGTAATTCAAGGTTACTGTGATAGTGACTGGGCTTCAGATGCTGCAGACCGAAAGAGTACTGGAGGTTTTGTTTTCTTGCTTGCAGGTGGTGCAATATCATGGTCGTCAAAGCGACAGCCGATCATAGCCTTGTCAACGGCCGAGGCTGAGTATGTGGCAGCATGCGAAGCTACAATGGAAGCGATTGGAGAGCGAAACATTGTAAGTGAAATATTACCAACTATTCCTGTTGAGATGCACATTGGAATTGACAGTCAGAGTGCATACGTGATGGCGACAAATCCAACTTATTCCCGTCGTACGAGACATATCGAGTTACGCTGGCACTTTGTTCGTGAGCAGGTCAAATTAAAGAAGGTGATTCTGGAAAAAGTTGCTGGAGTCGACAATCCTGCCGATTTATTTACGAAAGCACTCGATAAGAGGCGTCTTGCACGGTTGTCCAAGTTAATGGGCGTTCAGAAGGAAGATGTGCGAGATGGATATCTCGAGAGAGGCGTGTTGGAATAAGTTGAAGAACAGTGGAAGTTGCTGGCAGTTGGCAGTGGATGGCAAGGCATGTGAATGGCAGTTGGTGTGCTTCATGGTTGAAGGTATGAGAGGGGAGTCGTGCTGACGCAGAGTCCCAGGTTGTACTTGCCAACTGGCATAGGCCACGAAGAGATGTATGTTAGGACAGTAGGGCTTGTGTTGTATGGTAAAAATGAACGACAGTTCCGAAATTGCATCGTGTGACTCAAGTGCATATTACAAATATTGTGTGACTCAAGTGCATATTACAAATATTTTCAGTATAGTCGGAGGGTGCCCCATTACATGCCTGCATCATTGCAACATTTTAGCGGCGGTATCGCCACTACCATCTTTAAAACGAGATCAATTGTGACGAGCGTGGGGAGGCCGGAAACATATACAAAGTTGGCCAAATTACTGCCATACACTGGTCGGAGAATGCCTGGAGCGAGACATCGCCCATGCCATTGCCAACTGCTTCAATCGCACGGTGCTGTTTACAAATCTTCTTGTCATTTTAACTGCTGTAGACGTGATGAGAAAAAGTGATGGCGCGTAGAAGGTTAAAAAAGGCGGAGCTTGAGCTGGAGCAGGAGATGAGAGACCAGCTAGAGCAGCTACGCGTCCAGGATACCATGACGATTTCGGAGCATCTCAATTCTTTCGATGAGAATGAGGCTGCTCAGTCGGAGCTGACCGAGAACGAGATGCTGGAAGAGGTAAAGGAGGCAGTGGAGGAAGGCGAAAACAGAGATAACGTGGCCATTGTGGCAGACTAGTCCACCCGAATCGAAAGGATCAATCCACCTTCGTGATACGTGCTCCCTGCTCGATGTATTTTAGGAAAGTCACCAAGCTACTTATAGAGTCCTTTGGTCCCTTCAACTTGACATTTGCAGCGCACCCGCCCCCCAAACTACTCTTGACATGTGATTTAAGTAGGTTTTCTCGTCCAATATAGAGAAACGCTCATTTCTTAAAGTTATATTGCCCTGCCTGATTACAACTTATATTTTATAACTTAGCGACCATAGAACGAGCTCGGTGGACACGAAATTTGATAATCTACCGAAGGTTACAACTTATCGGAGGATAACTTATTGGAGGGAGGTCTGTATTGGCAAATATACGCGTAATTTACTGGGCCGTTTTCAGGCAAATCCTGCTCTGTTGCCTTATATATAAATGAGGGAAGAAAGTAGTACCGTAACTGTCAGTTAAAAGTGTATAACTCATAGTTTCGGTGCAGACAGGTCAGATATCTTATAGGGATGGATAGTGGCATCAAAGATGGGAGTTTTTCTTGCGGTAGACAGTAGTACATGTGCCTCGTTTAAATCATTCAGATCTCGAAAACTTTCAACCGATAAATGTTGACAGCAACTTACAGAAAAACAACCGGAACGATGGCATCACACACGACATTTTGTTGCATCCGCAAAGTAAATGAGACCTCGCCTCTCAAAAAGTATGTGCCACTGTGAAGAAGAGCTCAGAACATTTAGGAATCTTCACAAGTTCTAATTTTCCGATTGTGCCCCTTCTGACAGACATTCCCTGTTATATCACTCACGCCTTGCCTGAAATTGTGATCCACACTTATGATACCTTTGCACCAGCGCATCTACACTGACATCGCCATCTTGATTGCTCCATGCGGGCGATAGTCGCGCACCTCTAGATCCAAAAATGTAAAGTCGTCAATGCTTGCAGTCTTCTCAGGGTTCACATGAAGGGTCGGGAACGGACGCGGTGTACGCGTCAACTGTTGTCGAAGTGGCTCTACGTGATTCAAATAGATATGCGCGTCACCAATGACATGGATGAACTCGCCAGGTTTCAGTCCTACCACTTGCGCGACCAAACGCGTTAGCAACGCATAGCTGGCAATATTAAATGGCACACCTAGTCCCATGTCGGCCGAGCGCTGGTACATCTGGCACGACAGTTCGCCATCCGCCACGTAAAACTGACAAAACATGTGGCACGGAGGTAACGCCATTTCATTTAGATCAGCCGGATTCCAAGCTGACAGCACAATTCGGCGGTCACTGGGGTTCGTACGGAGCTTATGGATAACATCGGCAAGCTGGTCCACGCCTTGGCCTCTGTAGTCGGCATGCATGTCCGTGTACTTGGCACCAAAATGACGCCATTGAAAACCGTATACCGGTCCAAGATCTCCCACCTCACGTGATTGCAGTCCTCTACTGTCCAAGTACTCGCGCGATCCATTGCCGTCCCAGATGGAAATATTCTTCTGCTGAAGCGTGTGAGCATTTGTGTCACCACTAATGAACCACAGCAACTCTTCGGCCACACCTCGCCAAAACACTTTCTTCGTCGTCAGCAACGGGAAGACATTATCCCTCAGACTAAATCTCATCTGCGCTCCAAACACAGACAACGTCCCGGTGCCTGTTCGGTCTCCGCGCTTTGTTCCTTGCTTCAAAATCTTCCGGATCAGATCCAAATACTGCATCTCCTCATGTGGCGTCGTACTATCCATCAATTTCGTTATCTCGGCACCCTTCACGTCTCCAGTCTTCCTCTCCCACTCCACAAATTGAAACTGGACGCCATTTTCCTCTTTCACCTCCGACGCTTTGGTCACCTTAAAGTTCTGCATCAATTGCTCCAACGGGAAGAAAGCGTCGCACTCAAACTGACCCTTGACCTTCGTCAAATGCACTTTGTTGCAACCAGAATACGCCAGTGCCTCTGCGTACACGGCACCTCCTCCAATGACAAACACCTGGTCCACCTTCTTTCCTTGCTGTTGCACGAGGTCCAGCGCCTCACTAAAACTCGCGGCAATACCTACAGTCTCGGAAACGTTCATTCGCTGTCGATAGCTGGCGTCACGTGTCAGTACCACGTTGTAGCGCTTGGGCATAGGCTGCACTTTGGCCGGTAGTGACTCCCACGTCTTCCGCCCCATGATCACCGCGTGCTGCGTTGACGAATCAGAAGGCGACGTCGTTAGCGCACGAAAATGCTTCATATCAGTGGGAAGATGCCATGGGATCTGCTGACGTAAGCCAATGCCGCCATTTTTCTCCAGTGCCGCCACCACAAGACGAATCGAACGCTCACTCATTCCTGCCGTTGCTGCTTGATTAAATACTTGACGACCGAATGCCGTTGTGCCACATCATTGACACATAATTGTCACATAAACCTCCGTTGGACGACAGATAGGTCGGTAGGTGATCAGTTAAAAGAACGACCCCACTGCTCCTGATTTTATTTATATACTACTGCAGTTATACTACAAAGACCTTTTTTTATTTTAACTGCTAACGTAAGGCCAGATATCACACCGAGTGTTGTGGTGCACGACTTGTTCAAGATCAATAACATAAAAGTATCTCAGAAAGTTTCAAGCGCCGCGTTCATTTCACACAATAACGTTCTGATTGGATAAGGCTCTGCAGATATTCTCTCAAGTAACGTCGTTTAACTTTGAGTAACGTAGTGTAACTCTTGCAGATAAATGTAGCTATTTGGCATCGTAGCGCTACGACGGCCACGATAATAGGAAAGGCCACTTCAACGGCCTCAACACAAGGGGTTTCATCATGGTTTCAGCAGTGACAGGCTCATACTGAGTGCAAGAGAAAAACGTTGCAACCGCCGACCGTTGAGAAGGTTCTCTCTACCGGGAATACAATGTACCACCCAAGGCGAGCCACGCGCTCTTTCGTGTCCAGCGAAGGGGCCTTTCTCACTCTTATTGGACAAAAGACATTTTCAACAAGGCCTCCAATTGGTCAAAAAGAAAGAAACCGACGAAACGTTTCACTCTTTTTAATCTCTAAAGTAGTTGCGCGTCCTCGAAGACTGGGACATGGCACAACGCAGTATTAAAACGTTCCTGCACTACCCAAGCTCCTAAAACCCACAACGTTCGTCGTAACGATATGAACCGCAAGATGGACCTCATTGAACTCGATAACAGTGAAGATTTATGCAACAATAACCAGACGGAGATTGTAGTCATGAATGGGATTGCTCATAATCCAGACGTACGTTTCTCTCTATCTCTTTTGTGTTTTGGATTGTATATAGTAAAATCTAATTGATGAGTATGGTACAGTTGAGTTACTTGAGAGCAACAGCGACCTATGGCGAGAGCAGCTCTACAAGCAGTAAATATGGCAGTCCAGAGGAATCGTTTGGAGAAGAAGACGACGATAATAACAATAATGGTATCACGAAAATGATGCGACGCAAGACCGACACAAATAGTAAACGTCCCTGGACTCGAGAGGAGAATGAAAAGCTTATGCAATTGGTCAAACAGTATGGCGCGAAACGCTGGTCACTGATTGCCATGCATTTGCCTGGTCGTGTCGGTAAACAATGCCGAGAAAGATGGCACAATCATTTGAATCCTTCTGTCCGCAAGGACGCATGGACGGCTGAAGAGGATTACGTGATCTTTGAATGCCATAAGAACGTGGGTAATCAGTGGGCTGAGATTTCCAAGATGCTGCCAGGCCGAACGGACAATGCTATAAAGAACCGATATTACTCAACAATGCGTCGTATACAGAGGCAATCAATCCGAAAGAAAGGACCTATGCGTGAGGGTAAGAGCATTCGAGTCGCGTCAGTGACATCGTCGCCAGTGCACAACAATAACCAAATGAGTTCTGCATCGTTGCAGCGAGCTATGAACGGTCTGCAATCTCAACTTAATTCTCAGCAGCTTGCACAACAACAGAGAGGGCAATCCACGTTTGACAAGGTTTTCATGGATTTCCCTGGGAACACCACACGCGTGAGTCTCTGGAAGGGAGAGGTATGCGAGTTTGATTTGATGCTGACTTTATGTTTGGTTATGTTTGTGTAGGCGGATGGCAACTCAATGGTTGACTTTGACCGCTCGAATATGATGAATTCTTCTCTACAACAACCGACGACGGTCTATTCTGTTAACGGAGGCGGCTACTCGAACATTTTGAATCAGGATTATAACTGCTCTATGTCTATGACATCATCTCCTTGCTCGAATGCTGATGATATGAACCAAAGCAACCAGAATGAGACCTTTGATTACGTGCCAATGCAGACGTCGATGCAACGTCTGCGATCATCGAGTCCTGGGCCAGTCGCGATGGGCACGCCTCCTCCTTCGGGATCGATGAGCATGATGAATTCACCGTATGGCTCACCGGCAAGCCACATGCACCAACACCAGCAGCAGCCTAGCAACTACATGATGGCGGGAAATCCGTTTTCAAACAACAATGTGCGTGCTGGAATGTACTCAGGACCCGGTGGTCCTGGATCCGTTCAGCAGTATCGCCAGGTGGATGCGACACCTGTGAATCTCTCGCACAAGCGCGTCCTTGATGTCCAAGGTTCGCAACGTGATATGTGGAAGAACGACAGTCCCGTGTCAGTGTCAGCTCCGATTTTTCGAGGTATGCCTGCACCGCAGCAGCTACAACAAGGTCAAGTTAGCGAATACATGGCGATGCAGCAGTCGAAGCTTCCCTTATATAGGCAATCTTCGAGCATGGGTTCCTTCACGAACATGGAGCAGGTGTGGACGGATGATGCTTATCTGTGATTTTATTCTAGCTAAAGATGAACGAGGTGAGACCCCTTCCTATATGGTTGCACCCGATAGACTTGGTATATTTCTTAAATTTATTGCTGGAGGCTAATGGCATTGTCTTCTCTTACTTTTTGGCTTGCTTTGTTCACGTTTTTGACTGTAATGTGACGTAACAACTTCAAATTTATCTGTTGAAGAAGCGGCGTAATCTGGTTGAACTTGTACCCACCAGCACCTCAATCTTGTTGTCGTTCTGGTCTGTGATCTTTTGGCAAATTGGTGCTGCTATGTCTGTTTCTTTTTACGATACCGTCAGCCGGGCATTAATCTACTGCTCATTTTCTAGGAGATCTTACTGTACTAAAACGCAGAAAAGGTCACGTTTGTTCTGCTGCAAGCAGCATATGAACAACAAATGATTGCATACATGTATTGTACCTTGCTGTGGTTTTATGATGGTGTCTGCGGGTACGAGTTATAGTCATGCATATTGTTTCCTTGTGATTGAATCTCTCGTTATTTATAGCTTAAAAACGGTCAGTTGCATTACAATGCAGAACCTTCGACGCACGTACTCTACTGCCCTATATAGGTAAAATCTACACCATATCACTTGAGGGCTATATATCAAGACAATTTATAGTTGACAGAATCTTGTCTTGCGCTGCGCCGCAGAGTTCTATAGCATTCGACAGAAACGGCGTCGCGTCAAACGCGAGAACTCGTTTCAAAGAATATTTTGCGTGCAACAACAGTTGTTATATCGGAACCCCGGGTGTAAAGGCTTAATTCTTTGAGCTCAAAAGGTTTGTCAGATGTCTGCACCATTGTCGCTTCGAGATCCCGAATCCACTATAACACGACTGCGGAAAAGACTTTGTGCGCCATAACAACGAGCAGCACACTTTCCTTTTTCTCGCCGATGACGTAGCACCGACAAATCCACGGAACGTACATTCAACTTGACTCTGACCCACTCATTGCCCATGAATCACTTGGTGAGCAGTACACTTCTCGATATCGAGGCTACGATGTCGTTCCAGCAGAGAAGACGACCGTCTGCACATTACAAGCACAATTATCAAGCATACGTGGATTGACCAAACACGAACACCAATCTTCGCAACCCAGCTCTCGCTCAGCTTTTCTCTGATCTTGTTTATTCCTTCCTTTTGTCAGCACTTTTCACTGCTACAGATGAGTGACCTGATGCACGAGATGTCAAATCGCCAGCGGAAAAAGCCGGGGAAACAGAAGCACGGTCACTTGGCAGGTCTGACTTTACGTTGTCATGTGATGATAGGTGGTCCTCCATGAATCCATCAGCATCCAGATCCTCAGCTTTCTCTTCCAGCTCACGGTCTTGACTCTGCTCCTGTGGCTTTTCTACTCCCGCTTCTTCAGACGTGGGTATGGCAACGAGACTAGAGATTGGTTTAGCTCTTCCCATCATGGCATCATAACTCTGTGGGGTTGTTAAAGCCTCAGACATATCGGCAGAATTAGTGTAGCCAGCTGCATGCGTCGCGTCCGACGTCGTCTTTGCTTTCTTGGCTGATCCATCTGTTACCACAGTGGATGAAGACAGCGATGCTATTAACACAGCACTGTCCTCCTCAGACGAGTTACGGACGCGCTTCTTCAGCAATGTTGCAGACTCTAGAGTCTTTGCCGCATTCATGGCTTCATCGGATGATGCACTGGCACTGTCACTCTGCTCTACGCTTCCAGACAATACTGGCGTCAGAGCCCCCTTTTTCGTGTCGTCATCTTCCTTTGATTCTGCCATCGGATCAGCATCATCCTGTGAATCGTGCACAGGCGTGTCCTGCATGGGGGAACCATACACGGGTGTTGCCGATGGTGTGTCTACAGGCGTAGCACTCGGAGAATCATCGTCATCATCGTCATCGTCTCCATCGTCATCAATAGAGCCAAGGTACTCAATAGCCAACTCAGGCTTGATAAGCCACTTGCTGGCTTCTGGAGCCTTTATGCGTGGCGAAGGCGCCCAGATCTTGAAAGGTTCAAATACACCGGATGGAGTGGTGCCGCCACGCGCCTCGAGGGGTGTCTTGCGCAACACGCCAGGATTGAACTCGATTCGGAACGCACCTTCACCCTCAAAGATAGACTTGGTCTTATTAAGGTACGCAGTGATCTTGGCTTCAGCTTCTATCGGGTCTGTTGAGGGCTTTGGTCCACCTTGCACCTCGGCAAATGCCTTGATGAGCTCTTGACAAACATCATCATTTGCCAAGTGCTGCATCTGCTTGAGCACCTGCGCCACCAGTTTATCCATAGTAAACAAAAAGTATGACGTGGATCCCATAAGACTTCGGCAAGAGTCTTCATACTTAGAGTTGTCAACCGAGCCATCAATCAGTGAGTACAACTTGGAAACAAACGCCTGATAGTCTCCGGTCTTCTCCTTGGTTGAGGCAGATAACGAGTGATGAGCGTGAACCAGTGCGCGAGCTGCAGGATTAATTGTGCGACGGTTGCGATTGCGTTTCGCTTTTTCGCACAGGTCATACGCGCGCTCAAGCCGATTGTGCAGTACCTGGTATAGACGCAAGAATGCGTAAGCGTGCTGATTGCCATAGAATAACGACTTGTAGTCGGCTTGTATTTTAGCCGCATCCTGCTTGCTATCTAGTGCTGGAAGACTGGACGGGAAATCGGCAGCCTCTTGGATGGTGAGAGCACAAGGTTGCAAGTATGCCTGGCACCCGACTGCAGCCAGATTGATCGTGAAATATGTCTTCTCTCTATTAAACTGCTGCACAGTTCCCTCCCCAAACTCGGTGCTCACCTCCGTACCGATAGGCAACGTCTTTGCTTTTTCGTGCGTCACTGTGGCGTGTTGTGGCTTGCGCACGAGCCACTCCTCCTCCAAATAGAAAAACGGGAAGAAAAATGTCTGCCAGACCTTGGAAATCTTTTCTTTATCAGCCACGCTCAAATTCTTCTCGGCAGCGTATGACAATAAACCAAACGCCTCCTTGTGAATCTGCACAGATGCAAACTTGAACGCAAAATGAGGTTTCCACTTTGTGGAATGTGTAGAATGCGCAATAGGTGCCATTGCCTTCATAATCGGAACCTTTACTGAAGGCGCAGATTGTTCCTTTTTGAGCGCGTCAGCAATATCCGAAGCCTGAGGAGGAACCTTGGCGCTCACAACTGCAGTAGTCGCTGAAACAGTAGATGGAGACGCATTTGAGGCCGCCTTAAATTCTTCGGCACGCTTCTCATCCGCCTCCAACTTTTTCTTGGCCTCTTGCATCATCATCTTCATGCTCGTCTGCTTCTTATCTTTCTGCTTGAAGTAAAAGCTAGAGTGATCCAGTGACTTGTGATAATTCTTCTCGTTTACCTCCTTCCACTGGCGGTTCAGATCTTCGCGTGCACGGCGCCACTCTTCGTCCTTTTGTTTTAACCGCTTTAGAATCACAGGAATCGCACCAGCAGGATACTGACGCAACAATTCTAAAATTTGCGTTCCTGCATCACCGTAGATGCGCGTGATAGCATTCAAGTGTGTTACACGGAACGTGCCCTTATCCACTACATAGTTCCACAGCTGATCGTCTTCGCCACCTGACTCCTTGTTTGTTTTAAGCACCTCAATCTCGAGTGCCAGTGGCTCAAGAATGCTAATTGTAGATGCATTTGCTTCGATCACCATGTCGATCTCAAAGCGTTCATCTTCGCATTTGAACAGCGCTTCCTCGTACTGGTTTTTCCGCATGCTCTTGAAAGAGAAGTCTTCACTACCAGTGGGCACAGACACCCAAGAGTCATTGCACACCTGCTTTTCGAGAGCAGAACGATGAGAACATGGTGGAATGGGGTAGCTCGCGGGCAAACCACGATATGATGGAGTGGCGCGGCGACACTGCGAAAGGTCCGTCTCAGCGAGTGGAATGAATGGCCAAATTTCCTTAGGAGTCTTCTGCACACCGTGAGAGCACAATAGGTGGTCGAACTCTTCCACCAAATCCGTGTGCCGACCAAAAAGGTTCCTGATAAGCGATAGCATCTCGTTGCGGTCTAGTACTTCCTGGCTATATAACTCGAGGCACTTGAGAAATTCGCGCCAGTTGTCACGCGACGGAAGAATTTTCTTAATCTTTTCAAAAATGCTCCACTCTTCTTTGTCAAGAAGCACGTCGGAAATCGCAAGGTACGCACGGCGTTCTTTTTCGTCGTACGGGCGACGCTTAGCACGTTTGTGGTTGAACTGCGCGCGGTTGCGTTCACGTTCGCGCTCCTTCTCACGACGTTCCAAAGCCTTGCCACTCAGACGGTGATCATCGTCCTTGTAACTTCTGCCACTTCCTTTCTTGTCATATTTGAGGTAAGCATCTTCATCATCACCCATCATACGTCCACTCTTCATCGCAGCACTGGACGGTGAAGCCGAGCCACGGTCGTCTCGCCGGTCAGACTGCTGGTAACCGTGCGACGATGAGCCATATTTTCGTGCTCTTTGTGCCATTTGGTCTTTGCGCTGTTGAGCCTTCTCAGCAGCACGATTCAAACGCTCCTTGGCCTGTTCCTGGACTGCATCGGGCAAGAAAAACGTAAACTCACGAAGCAGGTCCGGATGATCACGAAAAAGATGAGAGACTTGGTCGAGCACCTGGCGGATAGAACGCTGCTCTTTCTGGTACGTGTGCAAGATAGCCAGAAACTCTTTGTACGTCTCAGGCTCATCAGCAAAGCGTTGCTTGATAGTGGTCACGTAGTGGATCGCGTGGTCAAACTCGACAGGGTTCGTCGAGCTCCGCGCCGTAGCATTGCCGCCACCCGTCGTCGACGCCTGTTGTTGCATCTTCTGTGGCTTTCCACCAGCTTTCATCTGACCACCGGAAGGTAGCTGCTGACGCGACGCTGGCGCCGGCTTGTGAAGCTCTGGAGGTGAATACGGAGGTGGAGGGATCGTCACCGGGGGCGGGCGATGGCCCATGTTGGTGTTGGAAGACTGCTGCGCTTCATACATAGACGGTTGCACCCCTCCACGTCCCGCCATCTGAGACGGGATCACCTCAATCGACGTGTCCGGACGAATACGATATCCAGGCGGCAAGAACGTGTTAAAGCCCAAAATTAGGTTTGGATATCCACGAAAGAGTGTCGAGACACGTAGAATGACTCCTGGTGTGTCAATTGCCTGTGCTTTAAAGTCTTTCATGACATCCAGAAACTGGTTGTAAATATCCGGCTGGTCGCCAAACTGCTGTTTGACTTGATCCAGATACAGCAGAGCGTCTTCTACACGAAGTTCCCGATGACGTGGAGGTGGACCGGCCATCGTTTGCTGATAGTAGTCTCCTCCTACTTGATCATTCGGGATAATGCGTCCATCCAGTCCGTATTGCTGCTGGATCTGCACTTGTTGTGGCTGTTGCTGCGTCTCGGCCGGGCGACGAGACGGCGACGAAGATCGTACATTGTATCCCTGTGGTGACGGCTTGATCCTTTCAGATGATTGGGCCATGGATTGCTGGACATTTCCCATGTTTTGGCTCATACCGGACGCTTGCATGCGAACCGAGTGGCCCATCATCCCAGCACTTGAGGATGAAGCACCCTGAGAGCCTACTGGTTTACTCAACACCGAAGACGGACCGCCTGTACCCGATGATCCCCCTAAATTACCGCGTGGCGGGTGCAAGATGGAGCCTGCGGAGAGCGGATGCGGCGAGCGCGATGTGTTGGGACCGCCACCGCCCAGGGAAATCGGTAGAGACGGTGGAGGAAGAACAGGGCCACCTGGGTGCATAATGGAGTGCTGTGACTGCTGCTGATGCGTCTGCTGGGAGCCGCCATGCAGCGGGTGCAAGTGATGGCTAAGCTGAGCCAGCGATGGCTGTTGGTGGTAATTGTGCTGTTGTGGAGGACCGCCCTTTCCCCCCAATCCTGAACTGGATGATGAACTGTGTGACATAGGCCCGTGACGGTCTCCGGAAGAGCCCGGATACGACGGATTCATGGCCAAAAGAACACGCTAAAACTAATATACGAGACGCTTCTTGGCCTTTGGCGATTCTTTAGAAATGATGGTCAGAGCAAGGGCGGGGCGGCAGGAAGACTTGGGTTTACTATGGGTTACAAATGTAAGTGTTACAAGACACATTAACTTGCTGTGTTGTAATTCTAAACACGGTACAATAAATCGGATTTAATCGAGTCGCCGGGTCGGATCTTCCTGCTGTTCACTGACCAAAAAGTCAGTTGTACATGAAATTGCTAGTGAAGCAACGTAAAAGACCATTGAAAGAGAAGCAAACTACCAATCTTTTTCATGTAGAAGAAACATGTATGAGCAAAACGCCAGCGAGAATCCCACACAAGCTTGAGTGGATTTGATGAGAGCCTGCATTAGCAAAAAGTCCAAATATGTACAGCTGGCAAAGCCAACTTTATGTAGTATACAACTTTGTGCAAGTTGCTGATGCTACGTGCGTTTAATTGACGAGGATGCGGTCTTCTACCCTTTGTAATGCATGGTATTGACTAGTAACCTTTGCTAGTGGTCAACGAGTAAAACGATGTGAATGGATTCGTTGTTGCTAGTTCGCTTTAGAGCATGTCCTCTATTGCCTGTACGGCTGATGAGACTGCCTGCTACTGTAGCCTCAGATAGCTAAATCTCAACGTTCGAGCTCAGCAAAATTGTGTCACAGTCTTAGTATCACTGTGCTGTTGTCACCGACGACGAAGATATCTGCTGAACAATACAATGTCAGTGATATGCTTCTCGTCGGCTACTTGGAAGAACGTCAAAATCTGTTCTTACAAGATCAAGCTCAGTCTGAGCCGCCAGCCTCATTGTTAACATGAGCAATTTACAGTGCTGGCTCTCCGCTATAAAAAGCAGGAGGCGTCCAACGCTTCCATGACCACACTCTTACACTTTAAATAGAAGTGAATTAGTTGTCATGTTACTTGCGAGGTATCCTCGACTACAAGCTAATCAACGTATAGACTGCGCGTAGACAGCTTCGATCTCAGATCCAAATACTTGAAGTATTGTACCTTTATCACCTTTTTCCCGTCGTTATCATAATATCTATTTTTGCGAGTAAATTTAATGACATTCAATCTGCATCATCACTTGGATATTTGCGCCATGTCAGACACGCCGTCGTCAACTCGTCGACTTGCCGTGCTCTCTCGTCAATTGCAGTCAGTGCCATGCGCCGTCTCTACGCGTGATCAGACCGTCGCTGAGCTTGCAGCAGAACGCGCTCGTGCCAATTTTTGTCCTCGTGCTTATGGTGACCTTCGAGGGGGACAATACAGTCATGGCACAGCAAACAGCGAATTACCTACTGCGCTGTGTGGAAAAGTTGCGACGGGGTGAGAAACTTGCGGGATCTGTCCAGTACTTGGAGAGAGAGCAGGCCAGCAATCAACGTCGTCAGTGGGATGTGAAGAGTGCTGCTGACCTGAACAATGCAGCGCTGCTTCGAGATGCGGTGGACGTGTACACTGGTCGCCAAGTTTTTCAGGTCGCAGCTAAGCTAGCCGAGTCCGAGGGAAAGACCGAATTGGAGCGCGCGAATTCGTGCTTGGTGGACTTTGTGGAGATTGCACGCGTCCATGTGTTCTATAACGGGGCTACAGCTTTCCTCGACCAAATTGAAGCGCTTAAAGCGAAGTCGTTAGGAACGACTCTCGTGCCAGCCTCTATAACGGGGCTACAGCTTTCCTCGACCAAATTGAAGCGCTTAAAGCGAAGTCGTTAGGAACGACTCTCGTGCCAGCACTAGAAGCTCTGTGTCAATTGTATATTTGCCAGGAACTGGACCGTGGCGCCGCTTTTTTACTGAAGGAGAAATTTATGTCGACATTCCAGAGCAATCTCGTGCGCGTGCAACTCATGAAAAACTGCGCTCGTGTGCGTGCTGACTGCGTTGCTCTGGTTGATGCCTTCATGCTCACGGACACGGTACTAAATTCGTCAGTGGGCCGTGCTGATGGCAGTATTTACGAAGGAGCGCTCGCCGCAGTGCGCCATCGCACGGGCCCGACTCCATACTTTGCTACATCTATTAAGCCCATGTTTGAGGGCAAGCCACTCGAGTGATTGGCTCGAACTTTAGAATTGAGCAAGTGGTCACTTTAGTTTAGAGATTGACAATTTTGTGATTTCTTGATGTTAATGACTCGTTGTAAGTTACATGGTTCATGCTTGGCGTTCGCACTACGTAGCTAGCTCTTGACCAAGAACGAAACAGATTCTTGAAACAGTCTTGCTCGTCTCCCAGTGTCCACGACCATCGGTTCGCGATGTGTGTGTCAGTTTGCTTGGCGAAAGCATTTGGGTCAATGTGAAGGATACAAGTTGTGTATAGACCCAGCCTCACGCGCATGACAAACTTCATGAACCTCATAGTCGGATTCGTCACTAAAGGACACATATTGATTAGGTTTGATTATTACTCTGCTTCAGCATTGGACTCGTCCGATGGTAATACATGATCACTGATATGATTGGCTGGAAACGGAACGATTATGTGAGGGATCAGCAACTTCAAGATAAACCGGGCTGATCAGGATGTCAAAAGACAGTCTTTCTGAGTCAACAGCAGATACCTTAGCATGCTATCTATAGAAACGTTAGTGTTTTTATAGATTTATAGACAAATTACACCGAGTTTCCAGTAACTGTGACTGTGCCACCAAAGATGAATCGAATAGACCGCAGCGACGGTCTCCGATTGCCCTACCAAAGCAGCACAAGCATTCTATGTGGTCTGAAACCTAGTCGGCCATTCTGCTAACACAAAACCGGAAGAATGAGCTCTAGATGCAGCTCAAGGGACAAGCTGAAAAATACTGCAGCCGAAAAAGGAAGCATCCCGGTGACTTTTAAAGCGGTCGTTGTAATCTACAGATTGGTACAAAACATGTTGGGGCGTATTCTGAAAGCTTAGTGGCTCTCGAGCTCTCAAGCTCTGTAAAGATGTAGAGCGGACAACAATGCGATCGAAGAGGCTGCCTTCCAGCGATCATTATTAAGTATGACATTGTCGGTATCGTCTTTACAAGACGCTACAGCGAGCAAAGGTGACACTTCCCAAAAGTCGCTATGCTCACATTCCTCCGTCATCATCTGTCAAGGTGACCACACGTCGTCATCACCAGCGCTAGTCTCTCGTAGCGCTATCGAATTCGATCGAAGTAATCACGGCCGTCCCTTACTGGCGTTTCATTTTGCTCGCAATTATCAAATGCTGTCGTCGTTCGAGCTGGTTAGCGTCTCGATTACCCAGGAAGTTGAGCGCATGACAGTGCGACTCTAGATCAAAGATCAAGTCAAACGCGCCACTCTGCAACAAGATGTACGCTTCCAGTGCATGAATGTCTCCACCCAAAGCACGCCATGCTCCTGCGGTTACTTTCGCGATGCGGTCACAATCGGATGCTGTTCTGACGGTGCCTGACCTGGTCTTAAGTTAAGACCAGACACTGGGAGGTGTGGACAGTCTACATCTTGGACGACGACACAGTTCAGATATCTGTCTACGTGCCACCGAGACTACGACCGGAACCGTCCACGAACACGCAACGCAGTAACAAATCAACACGCACAAATGCGATGCACTCGCGTGCGGATCAGAGTCACAAACTCCGAAAACAAACAGCAGAGTCGAGTCAAATGTTAATCGTCCGCGAGCGATTGGCGCATGCGAACCATGCCGCACAAAAGCCAAAGCAACACAGACGGGCTCCTTCAACAATGACCTGCTAAAGCAATAATCTACAAAGGATCGGGCAATGCCGCAGTATTGCTGCACAGTTGCCCTGGCTGAGTTCTGGCAGGAAGATACTCTGCGACAGCACTCGGAATAAAATTTCAGCCGTTAACGAAGGCCATGATGAGCTGGATGCTCATCAAAGTGACCGCTTTACTGGACGACATCTGGTTGCTAGTGGCTGCGAGCACATCTAAATCACGCGCGGCAGTGCTGCGACAGTAGCAGCGGCTCCAAGACTCAGCACCAAAAAGGACAGTGCTGTTTGTAGAATGCAGTTACCGGTACAGTCAACTCTTCGTGTCAGCGCTAAAAATTCAATGGCTGGCTCCGTAGCGTTGGATTGCGACAAAAGCTGAGCTTTTTTCGTAGGTATCGCAGACTCACACTTTGCCTGTCTGTCATATCTGAAGGCAATGCCACCTATATTGCACCGCTTTTGTTAAACATGGCAATCTCTCTACAACACCCAACAAGCTCGTGGTAGTCGTGACGTCCACGATGAGCTGTTGCGCTGCCCCGCAAAAAGGCGCAGCTTGACCACATGTTGCATTCGCATGCACTTCACGACGCTGTAGAGTACAAAACGACTTAACAATCGAAGTGATCTGAGCGGTTAGTAATTGCCCTTGGAAGCGGTACGGCGGCGTGTCAATCAGAGCAAACATGTACCATCATGGTGGACAAGTGCTACTTGTAGGCATGATCGATATAGAGTATGTTGTGGCGTAATGAACAGCACCGAAAATTCACCTTGTCGCCGCTTCCCAGTATTTGCTCAGATATTTGACGTAAAGACTGGGCAGCGCATGGGCTTTCCCCAGCCAATAAATTTACATTCACGCTGTACGTAGGGCAGTACAGGTATCTCTGTAAGACTTACTGCTGCCGCGACTATCACCTGCGACCATCCTCGTACCATCCGAAACGTATCTTTCTCGAACCATAGTTAGGTCAAGTGAAATGAGCGTGTAGACATTCAAAAGCAAGAGCACCATCATCACTGCTCAGTTTCTGGTCATTGATTTTTTGTGGCCTGCTCGCCCTGTCGCTCCGTCCTGATGCATTAACGCCGTCAGCAACTGCTCTCATTTTCCAATACGCCTCAAATAGAGCAAGTCATTCCGTAATCGGGTAGAGCCTGGTCGCTGTATTGTTCTTCGACCGCCCCTGCTGCTGCTAACTCACATCTCTCGCGCCGACTTTTCTCGACACTATACCGCCATCACCAGGATGATGATCCCGGAGTACTCCCCGCGGGGAACCTCCATCACATACGGAACCGCCACGGCCGTGCCGCCTATGGTGTACCGCCTGAGCCTCAAGCCGGCATCACCGACGCCCACTCCATCCCCGAAGGCTTCGACCTCGGCCGCCACCTCCACGTCTCCGACAGCTACTGCGATCGTGTACGTGCAAAGCCGCCCTAGCATCCCCAATAGCTCCAGTACCGGAGCACTGGTGGCTAGCGCTGGTCGTCAGCGTGGGCACAGACACAAGAGCTACTCCGAGTCAGCATTACGTCTTGAGGGTATGTTGGCCCCCGCTGCCACGTCTAATCGATCCATTGAATCTTGCCCTTACTCAGCTGGCGATGAGATTAGTCTCATTCGTTCATTGACTATCTCGGGCTTCTCGAAGAACAGTCATGGCACGTGGATGTTTAAAGTCGACGTCGGTGGTCCCAGTGACAGCAACGCGTACGTGGTCCGCCGTCGCTTTACGGACTTCAAGTTGCTTCACGAGGGACTGTCCAAGCTGTCAAAGCTGCCTGAATTGCCACCACATGGCGTCGTGTCAGTGTTTCAGATGTTCGTGTCACCGAACAAGTTACTTACCGCACGTGCGGCGCAGTTACAGGAGTTGCTATTGGCGATTCGGGCACACCCATTGCTGCTCAAGAGCACGGCGTTCAGTTCGTTTATTGGCAAGAACCCGAGCAGCTACGACGCTGGCTACGTGAGCTTGTCGGGCTATGAAGTGCCTTCGAGCCAGCGCATAAGTTCAGGGGGGTCATTTGACACCACCTACTCGGTGTAAAGAGAGAGATGACAAAGGTCGAGAAAGAATGAAAGACGCAGAGGCGGACAACACATACGCATACAACTACACAGAAGAGAGAGACAAGAAGAGGGAGGGCATGGTAACACCAGACACACATAGAGACGACACCACACACGTACAATAGGTGGAGCTACTCAATGGAGAAGAGAGTAAATTTATTTATTTACTATGTAAATTTGGTGCAATACATGTCATTATGAGTGCAAACAAGTCTTCCTGTCCTGCTCTTTTTGTTACTTTGCATTGGCTCTCGTGCTAATAAGCATGACTTGTGCATTATCATATACCTGACGGCACGAAGAGCAAGCGTCGTCCACTCTACTACTCAAGGCAGACGAAGCGCCAACAACTGGTCGTCGCTCGAATAGAGTGGAAACCATTACAATTAACGGTGGGAAGCTGTAAGAAAACGTAATCTCTAATAGCAAATCGAGTTCCTCTTCAGCTGGAAGAATGCATATATCACTTCTTCATTTGGGCGTAAGAGCAACAACAATGGCCAAGCGACGAACGCATTCAAAGAGCCGGCATACGTATCCTCTTATCTTAGGCGGTAAGTCCCTCATTATAGGGCCAAGGTTGAAGGGAGGGAGACCTTCTCTACGCTGCATGCGCCACGGAGGCAGCGCAGCAAGCGAACCTGGCGTGGAGCTATAGGCACGAAGCCTCTCGGTGTGGGGACGCCGACAAAGCATCGAACACCCTCCACCCAACGAAAACAACAAGTTCTTGCCCTACTCCGCTCCGTCTCCTATCCGTTCGCCGAGCGCGAATCTCGGTCCTACGAAGCAAATTCCCCCTAGAACGTGATTCTGTCCGTCCCAACTCCGAATCAAAGCTGCATGTCAGGAACAAGTCAGTCTCGCCCGTCTAGGAAAGCCGATTTGGGTGCCCTGCCTCACTTTTAAGACACTCCATGCCCTCCTGCATGTGCTCGGATTTGAATTTCCGTCGGGTTTTGAGCCAGCAGAATGAGCTATTGCATAGGAGAACAACGTAGTCATGGCAAAAGATTACAAGATTTCACAATTATATAGGATTTCATAGCCAGTGCTGGTTGGCGACACGTCTGAAGCCATGTATGTAGCCACGGGACAAGGGACATGCGTAGAATGATGAGAGCGTAACCATATTACCTAATCGTAACCGTACCCAGGGGTACGATAATTAGAAATGGAAGCTACGACCAATAGAAATCCAGGTTACGCCAATTAGAAATTCCATTGCTAATGCCTTCGATCCTGCTCTGCTCGTCTGCCATCGCTCGGGGATTCGCTTCTTCCCGCGTGAAACGCGCTAAACCTATTCGTGTAAAGAAGAGTGAGGCACGTCGCATCATTCCTGAAGCACCTAAGCCATCTAATGCGCTCATGGAGACACCTCGTCCTCCGCCACCAGCAACTTTATTTGTGCAGTCTAAACAACAGGCTCCGGAAACATTTGGCGGTGTTATGAAGGAGGTCAGACTGGCAAAATCTTTCAAACTCTCATATGAAATAGCTGAGAAGAAGAATGTATTGTTATTGTGTAGAGTTTCTTGTGGGGAATGGGCATGGCCGTCGCATTCTCGGTTGTTGGCATCATTTTCAGTAGGATGGAAGAGGTACATACTCTTGTTTTTTACTGACTGACTGACTGTAGAATGAATTGTGTAAGAATCAATATGGAAATTCGTGGTTCTATTTGTGACAGTCAACAGACCTAAGAGAATTTGAAGAAAGTTTTGTGGTGCCGGCAAACGGTCAACATAACGAAGACCAATAATGAGTTTTGTCTTCAGGCAAGTCATCAAGACTTAACTATTCAAGTTGCAGTGGATTGATAAGCTCATCAAAAAGCTCTCACTTTCTTTCATTCATTCGTTCATTATTGTGTGAATTCTAATCAGAGTACGATGCGCAAGTGGATACACAGTGGCATCCACTTGCCATCGCCCCCAAGCGTCGTACATACTATATTACGGTCTCACGATTTTTGCGTCGTTTTGTTTTGCTCTTCCAACGGAGCATGCAAAATCATTCTCGTCACAAGAAGGACTACTTGACACAAAAAAGCTAGTCCCAATCGTCATCCGAGTCCGACTCTGCGTTTGATGCTGTCTCCTCATATTCCACGTGGATACGCCGCATTGCCATAGCATTTGTGATAGCTTCGTTAATGGAACCTGGTTGCGTGAGGGAAGGCGGTGGTGGTAGCGGAGGTTTTACAGTGGCCGATGCACCTATAGACGAGCTGCTATCTGCCAATTCTCCAGTACTTTTCTTCAGCTCAGCGCCCTGCCGGATTGCGGCAAGCAGATCGCCACGACCGCCTGCAAACGGATTCGGGCGTCCAGGAGGAAGGCCCGACACAACCGGCTTTGGAGACTCTGTAAGAGGAAAAGCAAAGCTTGCCCGAGAACTCGCTCGAGAGCTCAATCGCGAACGTGATCCTCTCTTCTTACCTTCTCCAGGAACCGAAGTGATATTACTGCTCGACAGCTCCGACATTATCGAATTCCTCCGCTGAGTTGACGATGCTGCAGATGTGCGCCGATGTGGCTTTCCTGAAGTCTTTGGAGTGTCCACCGACGAGTCAGACTCTGGGTCGGAATCAGAGTCGTTCAAGCCAAAAAGCCCCTTGGATTCCCTCCGTTTAGCACTTTGGACAGGAGGACTTACGAGTCGAGACAAAGAAGCGGGTGGTACTCGCTCCTGTCTTGACACCGGTGCAGCTGGACTCCTCTGAGGTCGATCATCGGGAGGGGTGGTACTTGCTGGACTTCTGTTAGTCTTTTGATCGTTCATCAATGCTCGCGCAAAGCCACCATCAATATGATATTCAAAATGGAACCGCTCACTCGATAACACCTCAGGTAATGCAACCAACTGTTGCAAGTACAAGCGAAACTCTTGCGCACGCTTTTCCATGTTCTCGGGTTTCGTGTTGTTGCGCAAGCGATGCTTTGAAGGAAACTTCGGCAACGTGATCCCCGGAAAAGCCGATGCCAACCGCGTGTGTATTTCTTCAAACTCCGAGTACGTAAATGAAAAGCTGTGCTCCAAGTTCCCGAACTGAAGCGTAAACGTGAATACGCCGACTGACTTTTTGCCCTCGGTGCGCAGTGCCGACGTCATGAACAGCACAACAACACTCGGTCCTGCACCACCGGCTCCGACGTTATTTGTAGTGACATTACGTAGGCTTGAGACTGCAGTATTGCGTGGCTGTGCAAAGAATGACGTTTCTGCTCACAAGAAAATTAACATATGAATCAGATTGACATCAAATGAGGACCAAGACAAGAATATGCAGCTGGTACCGTTGTCGGATTCGGAGTCACTTGATAGATCCGCATCGCTGTTCAGAGATGGCTCAGAATTAGCCTTCTTCTCTGCTTTCGAGCGTGCGTCCACACGCAAATCACTCGAACGTATACTATTTGAAGCATGAGAAGTGCTGTTCGCCGCCTTGCGCTGTCGCACACCCGCACCAAACAAACCAGTGTCCATTCCTTCATCTTCATCGCTGCTACTGTCATCAAAAAGTCCCCTGCGACTTGAATTGGATGTTGTCTTGACTGTGAACGTTGCCTCTTGCGCGCCATTACTGCTCATTGCTTTCTTCAGTATCTCTTTTCCCTCAGCACTGAGCTGAGAGTTACGTTTTCGATCGCGCACACTGCCGTTGACTCTGGTGCTTGCTGCCGGACTTGCAGCACTGTTGGCAACGCTCACTTCTTCAACCGTATCAGCACGATTGCGGCGAATTGCAGCAAGACTTGAAGCAAACGCATTTGCCATCGAAGGTTCCAAGGTACGAGGACCGCTGCTGCTATCCGATCGGTTGTGATTTGTTCTTGACTTTCGTTCGGGTATTGCAAACGACGCAGTCCTTATCGGACTTCTAGTCGACCCAAACGAGTCTCGTCGGTAGCTTGAGCGAGAAGCTTGTGACGCAGATTTTGGCCTTCCGCCACCTAAAATGGCTGCCAAATTGCTCTGAATATTCTCTCTGCCATTTTCCACCGGTGCAAGACGGCTCCTACTTTGCGAGAATGAAGACTGAGATGCCACAGGATCTTCGTCCCGATCGAAAGCGAAAGAGTCGAACGATGAACTGCGCAAACTGCTGCTGGATCTTGAAAGATGAGACTCTCGATCGTTAAAGCTCTGGCGGTCAAAGAGTGGAGGTGGAGGTGGTGGCGGCAGAATGGTTATCGACGTTCTGGAAGACATCGAAACTCGAGAGCTACTCGCAGACCAGCGTGGCGGCGTAGGAGGCACGTTGCACGTACCACCATCATACCTGGATCCTGCGGCAGACGAAACAGAAGAAAGCCGTGACGACATCGATGTGCTGTCCGACACATCGCTTCCAGAAGAACCCAGGCGCATTGAGGCATCGTTGTGTACAACTCCACCGACTTCAAAAACTGTTCACAAGAAAACAATATATAAGAATCCACCGTCAAGCTCCGATACTCTAATTCCACAAGTCAAGACATGTATACTCACACTGTCCAGGAGGAGGAAGTTCCACACGAACTTTAGTTTTCTGTTCCACAATCTTTCCATACAGTGGCTGGACATTATCCGTCTTGCCACCCGCCGCTTCTTCCATCCGTCGTCGATACGCTGCTTTATTCACTCTCCCAGTCGTTGGTGCTTGTCGACGTTGCCATCTCAATTTTCGTTTTTCCAGCATTCTGGCCGTATCATCATCAAGTGACCCGAGTCCGTCCACTCGTTCCAATGGCGTCATATTGTTAATCTCTTCTTCTCTCGCCAACAGTCGGTCCTGCTCTTCCTTTATCATCTTGGCTTTCTTTTCCTTCCATTTCCGTATTTTCTCCTCTCTCTCTTCCTGCATCCGTTTCTCCTCCTTCTTTACCCGACGTCGTTCACGTCGAACTTCTTCCCCCACTGCACTCTGTGGATCCAACACCGCTACAACACCATAAACACATAAAAACTCTCAATCATTATACAATAACCTCGTCGTATTCGTAACACACTTACCCATAAAACCACGACACCATTTTTCAAGATCGATCCGATTAAAAGCTGCTAAATGCATTCGTGATTTCATATGACGCTCGACTTTCAGCTCAAGACCGTATGAATCAGCCGTTAATAATCCATCTCCATCCCATCCTGCAAACCCTTGAAGGTAAACCGATTGTATCTTGTTCCGTGTCGCAGGATCGCTCTCGTTAAAGAAGTCGAGCTTTCGATTCATTGTAAGCACAACGTACAATTCTTCGAGGTTTGTACGATTATCAGTCGTTCTTGTTGCTCTTGTTAGTGTCGGATGATGAGTCTGGACCTTTGTGTCATCGCGTTTGTAGAGTAGAAACCCCTCTTGTACGATCCAGGACCCACTGCCCATTTAATTGTCGTGTGAAGACTGGAATTTCTAGTATGGAATAAAATTAATTAATAGGCGCAATGAAGGACAAGGTGTCCAAAGACAAGTGTCTCGTTTTTTGAAAACACGGATGCTATAGTGAAAGCCAGTGACAAAAATTTGAAAAACATGTGGGACATTCGGATTTCTGTTCGTTCATTGCTGAACCAAGAGGTATGGGCGGAACTTTATGTCAATGGAGGTACTTGACACTGCGAACCAGTGACTGTGCTTGATTGAGTTCTTCATACAGGGCTAAAAACTTGGATTTACTCATGTCGAAACGCAGTTCAGCCGTTGTTGGTATTCTTGTCATCATGTCGCATTCCAGTACCGGCTGATCTAGTTTCAAGTTCAGCATCACCTTTGATGCAGTCTCGACTTTCCATTCGACCTTTTCGACATTTGGAAACTGTAACAAACCACAATGAGACAATAGACAAGTTTGTGTACAGTGTCAGGAATGCACAAGACGAACCCAAAAGCATTGAGCACGTTGTTGGTCTTGGATACGAAGACGTAGCTCCTCGTAACTCTGTGCAATGGCTTCAGCAGCTGCTTCATGCATACCCAGTTGCTGCAATTCCTCAACGAGATCTCTGCCTTCTGTATCATATTTAGCAGCCTGCATCAGTATGAAACGTAGAGCAGCAAGTACAGCCTGACAATAACAACCGAATCTCACACGTCAGTTGTGGTTTCATTACATGTCAGACTACAAGTTTCCAGACCTTCCTATCTTGCACTTCTTCAAATAGTAAATGTGCATGATCCAGCTCCTGTTGGCAAAAATCTTGTAGTAAACTCTTAAGTCTCCATGTTCCGAGTCACTCACTAGACTCACGTACCTGCACTGTAATATCGACCCCAATAGCTTGACACATCATGACGAGATCACTAGGTGTCTGTGAAACAAATTACCAAACAACCCGTCGATCAGGCACCAAATAATAGACAATAGTTCTCATTTCATAAAGATAATCACACCACTTTCTCGGTCCCCGATAGCAGTGGCACCTCTGCCAAGAGCCAGTCAGGCGGCTCCAAACCTCCACAAAATCGAAATTTCTACACCATAATCAAAGTAAATAAGTGTCACGTAAAGCTTAATACGTCTCCATGCGAGATCTAGCTAGTTGTCATTATTCCACATACGCACCATTTCCTCGCTTCTCAGAACTGATTCTGGTCAGAAAATGCTAATTGGTGGATCCTTTAAAGGACAAATGTGACCGTCATTTAGTGACGCACGCGTAAAGCATCGTAATGAAGCGTTTAGCAGCAATAACGTTAGCAAGTACACTATTGTTGTCTAGTACAAGCACGCTGGTAGCTCTTAATGGTCTTCAGACGGCCTTCTTGGACGAATCCTGCGTCAGGTGAGACCGACATTTCTGCACTAGGCACACCCTTTTGATGCGTGATGAGACGTACTACTACAATTTTGATGAGAGACCGGAGAATGAGGTCGATCTCGACAGCTTAGGCGAATGATCGGGGTATCTCTAATGCAGACATCGATCGGCAAAAACCGGTTGCTAATGAATCCTAACTGTCACCTCTTGCGACAATTTGCTGTCCAATAGTCTACGTATCGTCAGTGCTGCATCTTTCCCGTGCTGCTCAACGAATTACTTTCCAAGCAGCAATCTATCGCCGCTATTTACTCTGCGATTTCCTCTAGTGATATGATGAAGCGGATGGAAAAGCCTGAAAGCGCAAGAGGCTGTTGGCGACAGTTTCGATATAGGGATCTTGAAGAAGAGGTGGGCGTTAGCTGGAACCTAACGGCGCAATTGCGTTCACCATATTCAATCAGATTTTCCACAATTTGATAAAGGTGCCATTACGTAAGTGAAAACGGATGACCACTCATGGGCGGTAATACATGACAACCTGACTCATCTTACAAACGTTTTTCAACCGTCATTCTCGTTGAAATATTGGTGGAGTTAATAGCGACAACAGGAAGGAAGAAATACAGGGGAATGCGATCAAAAATTAGCAATACCCTCGTTGCCCATTCCAAATGTACACTAACTTTAGGCCATAGGTAAAGGTAGTAGTATAACATAACACTTGATCGAAAGAATGGCTTTTCACCAAGCGGAATATTCTGCGCTTGACGATTTCCGGAGGGAATAAGCGAGGAAAGACGTGAACTAGTTCGGACCAATCCCGTGCTGTGTTATTAAAAAAAAGATCCGCCATATGTTGGTAAAATCGCGCATGTTTATAGGAATCCTGGTATAAGATTAAAATAGATTTATTTGCGCTTATTGCAGTTAGGTATGACTCGAGAGCAACCAACGTAAGCAGATAAAATTTATGCGTGATAATGGTGGTAGTGAGGCTATGGAGCAAGCTCGAGAATAATGATACATATGCGGATCACGCATTTATGACGAGGCCTCATCTCGATGCCCTTGTTTCTCGCAGTATGTGCTGAACAATTTCTTCTACCCATGGCTCCATTTCAACGGTAGTGTTACTGTTTTAGCTGACTATTTTACGCATGCAGCTTACTCGACCAGCAGAGATTGGCACGAGCTGAAAGAGTTTTCTTATCACAGAACCACCTATATGTCATTGTTCGTCGCTGTCGTCAACTACGAGCATTCTCTTTCGTTCTATGCAGTATATACCAATAGCTAGATCCTTCTTCTTTTCAGTCTGACCAACGCCCCAAAGAATTTAAATCAATATCACTCTGACCCGTCACTCCGTTCGTTTTACCAGCCAACTGTTATCAGAGCCGTTTTGGAATCAAATTTTCATTGTAGTGGATCCTGTCGCATGGTCTATTTTTCACGTGGTGGTTTCTATTACCTGGTATATAAAAAGCTAAACTTTCAGTAGGAGTCAGTAGAAATTGGTGCGGAACATTAGTGCATTTCCTCGAATATTAACGACTCTGAGAGGGTTTTCCACGAATCCCTCTCGAAGTCGCTACGGCTCTACAAGTGTCGGTTTTACTCATTCAAGTTGACCTCTTCTATGAATGAACCCATTTCTAACTACCCCGATTTTTGGTTTGTGTCATTTTGCTCACAATTGTAAAAGTCCAGTCGCGAGAAGACCCATTTGTATCAAAATGGTCGGAACCATGAAAGAAGAACATGTGAAACCCAAACGTGGGAGTTTCATTGCTCTTGGTGGCATTCTCCCTAAAGTTCCCATGTATCGTAAAGACAAGAGTGATAAATCGGAGGAACAAGAAGAAGTTGAGGAAGAGCCAGTGCAGGAGGACAAGGAGCACGATAAACAAGTTGATCAAGCAGGAGAATTGCCAGATTTTCTGGGCGAACGTCACTCTCTTGACGATGTTGCACCAACCCCTTCAGCTGCATCGATAGCTGTAGCTGCTATTCGTCGTCGTGGGATGTCTATTGAACAGACCGCCACGTCACTTTATCGTCGTATGAGTGTACGTCAGAATTCGGCTCCTGAGCCTGTGGAAGAGATGACAACGTCACTTACAGAAGACAATGACAGTCCTTTGTCTTTATCATCTGATCCAGACTATAAATATCGACGGGGGATGTGTGTAGCCACGACGTTTGGCACTGGAACTGTCGTAGACGTCCGTCTGGATGATAGTTTATATGTGGTGCAATTAGTCCCTAAAAGTATCGCCTATTTGCAAGAAGAGAGTATCATTCGAGAAGTGAAAAGTATTGTGGGAGAGCGAGTCAAGACGCGATGGGGAATGGCTACGGTGGAGCAATACTATGTCGAGGAAGACATGTACAGTATCGCTCTTGATTGGCGATGGGATGATGAACATGTGTGGCGTATGAAGGCCACGACGAAAAAGTTTGAGAAGGTTTATTCACGTGGAACACTCATTCAAAACACTAAGAACCGCTTGTTTGAAGGCTACAGCTCGTTACGGGAGAGTGTGGGCTCGAAGCTTAACACGACAACCATGAGGTAGATAGCCTCTTTGCTTTATTTGTTGCTTGGGCTTGTATTTTATATATATTTGTAGACTGTCTCTCATGCTGTTTTGTGCTTTGTGTGTGTGTGTGTCTTTTTCATTGGGACTAATTTTTGTGAAACAGCTTTGGAGTGAACACCAAGAATGACACGTTGGAGCAGGCAGATCTTGGCAAGGTACATACACCGTTTGGTGTTTGCACGGTGCTGGAACTGCGATCGGATAAGTTATTTGTAGTCAAGACACCCTGCGGTGCCACGGCCTATTTGAGCGCAGATTCGGTGCGGATGCTAGAACGACGGACGCATTTTGCCAGTGGAGATCGTGTCGACACGCCATTTGGACCTGGACTTATTGTGCATTTCCGTGAAGATGACGAGATGTACGCGGTGGAGCTAGAAGTGTCGTCGTCACTTGCTGGTCAATCGCCATTACTCTTCATTAGCGACGTTCATGCCGAAAGTAACCTGACGCTTGCACCGGCGGCCGCTAATACGCGCCTGTCTTCGATTCTAAGCCTCACGCGTACGTCCATGATAAATGCCGGTGAAAGAATGCGCAGCGCGTCTGTTGCTGCTGGTGGTCTTCCCACGCTTCCAGCCAATTTGCCTGCATTGCCGGGCAATCTTCCTACGCTCTCGAGCGTCAAGGCCAAGGTGTCTACCATAGCAACGATTAAGATGGCCCCGTACGCTACATCTGTCTAGAATGCTTGAATAATTGTGCTTTCGAATGACTTTTTGTTGCCTTGCTGTACAGGAAAACCAAATTCCACAAGGGCGAGCGTGTGCTGACCATATTTGGGTCTGGATTTGTTGTGGAAGTCCGTCCACCAGACAAGATCTACCATGTTAATTTGCGCCGGCTTCAGTGCTCGGGTTATTTCCACGAGGCAAACCTTACGCGATTCCCATACGAACGCGTTACGCACTTTGTGGTTGATGGCCGCACAGTTCCAGCACCGTCTATTCCGAAGAATGCGAGTGGTTACAAGCGTCGCGCTGTGATCACCGCGGCAATCAAGTCGGCTCGGGAAAGCTACCTTGAACCGAACGTGCCTTCGAAGCCCGAGGAGTCCAAGGTGAAGCCTGAGGGGCAAGCAAGCGCCATGGCGGCTGCTGAAGCAGCTGTCACCGTGGACACCGCTGCTGCCACCACCGCCCCAGCTGTCACCGTGGACACCGCTGCTGCCACCACCGCCCCAGCTGTCACCGTGGACACAGTTGCTGCCACCACCACCGCAGCTGTCACCGTGGACACAGTTGCTGCCACCACCGCCCCAGCTGTCACCGTGGACACAGTTGCTGCCACCACCACCGCAGCTGTCACCGTGGACACAGTTGCTGCTGCCACCGCCCCAGCTGTCCCGGTTGCGGAATAAAGCGTCAAGTCTGAAAGACTTCATTAACACAACCAAAGTGTGCGTGGCATGGCTCCACTCGCCACTGTCGTGCAGGGCAATCATAGTAGTTTCAGTTCACGATCAAATCTGTATAATGGAGCCTCGTTTGTCTTTCTTTTTGTTACCGTTGAGCATGTAAAAGATGCTTGCAAGTCCAGCTTCGTTATGACTGACGAGTTGATCAGCTTCTCATGTAACAGTCTTCCAGTATTGCATCCCTTGATGACACTAATCTACTTCAAGCGATATTATATGAACTTGCTCTCGCTCGTCTTGAAACATATGAGTAGCACTAGCAATATCGCAGCAGCTGTCATCATTTGGGCGTACTGAATTAGCCATCATACCCATGTACAAGAAAGTCGACCCCACTGCAAATTTATGCTGGTTGAAAGGTAAAAATATAGTTAAGTACAGGTCAAGATGCGTTTCCATTTGGTGTATGGTACATAACGTACATACACTATATCCCACGTATCATGGGTCAATCGTATTCACTAGTAACTGTAGCTACGTCTGTGCTACTTCTTGGTCTCCATGTCTCTCCATCTCTTGCTGCTGTATCAACATCTGTAGATCAACAATATCGTGTTAATCTCCGTGTCACCTTCCGTGCCTTTTGGTTCGTTTTAATATCTTTTTCTTAGCATGCATTAAGTGACAATCATTCTCCATGGACAATCATTCTTTTATTGTTACTTTACAGTCCTGCATGTCAATGGTACATTGAAGATCCGCTATTGAAGCTCATAGGCACTCAAGAATACCGCGACATTATTGACTTGACGTGCGTAAAAGACGTCGTACTAATGGGACAAAAGAGATCAATTACTAATTCTTTTTATTTTGATTTCTATAGCCTTCTTCCAACTGCAGGAATGACAGAAGAACCAGACGGGACAATTACATGTGAAGCGGGATCATTAGAGTGCACGGGCCATCGCTGGCAAGTCTGTGTGCTCCATAAGAACCGCGACGACATTGTCAAGTATCTCGGAACTATTGTGGTGAGTAAATTCTGGAGCTAATGACAGTAATTTGGTGGAATTTTGCAGTATGTAGGGTGGGTGTTTATTGACAATTTTGTGTAGTGTATTGAAGGAGACGAGTCTGGTCAGATTGGTGACTGGGCGACGAAGATGAACAATTGTGTTGCGGAAGAAGAACGTGTTGCGACTAAAGAATGTTTTGATCATAAGAGCAAGGATCTGCTTCTCAATGTTGGTGCTTTTCGCTTGTTATAAGCTTTTTAGTGTTGATGAAAGAAAACATTGTTGACGCCAAGCTGTTATTGTTTTCTTTTCAGATGATTCGAGAAGAGCAATCGGGAAGCATACCTTGGATGCCATACGTAAGCTTTAGACATGTTTGCTTGCGTGTATGCTTGAATGGTGCAGCTTTTTTGTGAGCTGACGATGTTGAATGTGGTATTGTACATTTATGAACAGACGGTTGTGAATCATAAAGTGATTGGGTCGGCAACAAAAGGGGTTAGTTTGAAAATGCTCAAGACGAACATTTGCTTAGCATACACGGGCCCCAAGACTTTTTATCCGGCAGAATGTGTGAAGCTTGTTGGAGAGCAGAAGAAATTTGCCCCTGAAGATACTGTGACGGAAAAGGGGGACAACCCCTTGGTGGCTCCTGAAGGGAAGCCACAAGGTATCATTGCGCTTGCAAAGGAAGCGATAAACACCGAAATTGAGTCATCTGTAATTGAAGGTGGAGATGGTAAGGACATGGAAAATGTAGCAGTCCCTGCTCCTGCTTTTGTGCCTGCTACGGCTAAAAAGTCAGGCAAAGTACAGATGGAGTTGTACTGGCGAGCATTCTGGTACGTACACTTTCATCGATATACTTTCGTATTCATGACTGACTGAGAACTTGTTTTGCAAAGCCCCGGTTGTACGTTTTTCATCACAAAACAACTGCTGTCACTTATTCGAGACAAAGAGTATGTATTGACAATTACTACTGTAGTTACACTTGATGTCTTTTCTGACTCATATTGCACGATTTGTCCTCTTCACAGGTTCCAGGAGATCATCGATTTTCATCCAGTGCCCGCTGCTGGCATGTCTTATGACGCAAAGGGAAAATTTGTATGCGCTGCTGGTAGGGTAGAGTGCTTGGGACATAAGTGGCTAAGCTGCGCTGTGGAGGAATTTCAACAAATTGGAGAGCTGGTGGAACACATTGCTGTGAGATACCTTGACGACGCAAGCTTTTTTTTACATCCTTTGGTCGCTAATTTATGCTCACATGAAATGCTTGGCAGTGTATGGAAAGTAAAGATAATAAGGGCATGACGTGGAGCTCCGTTATGAATCGATGCTTTGATGGCGAAGCGCTTACGAAGATGAAAACGTGTTATGGTTCAAAGAGTGTTGAACTTCTCCAAAAGGTTTGTCTCTTGACCTCGCTGGGTTTTTGCTGTTACATGCTGGCAATACGTTTACCATCGGATATTGTTGTTTGATGCAGAACGTAGCGAAGATGCAAGCACTACGTATTTCCTGGCTGCCATACGTACGAAGCAGTTGCGTTATTGCTACGCCATATTATTCGTATCTAATTGTTCGGGCTGAATACTTGCAGGTTCTTATTAATGGGGTGCCGCTAGGTACAGCTAAACGCGGAATTAGCCTGAAGCAGCTCATGGATGCCGTTTGCAAAGCCTATTCGGGACCACAGAATGTGCGTTGTGTGCACTGTACCTGGCAACTGGCTCTTACGCTCACTGTAACCTCTTTCTTCGTGCTTGTTGTAAACAGTTGTGGCCGGCGTCGTGCCAACCCAAACGGCTTCGTGAAGAGGCAACGGAACCAGAGCCCCCAGCCGAAAAAGAGGACGCGGTGAAGCCATGTACTCCCAAGGAGAAAGACGCAGACACCACTGGTGCGCAGCACGTAGATATACCTGGTATTGGCAAAGCACTACCAAGTGAACCGGTGGCCAAAACTATCACGAAGTTTGAGGCTAAGGTTGTCGGAGGCAAAGAGGCCGATGACGAGGAAGTTTCGGCCACCTTTATTGCGATCATTTTGCCAGGCGTGTGCTTCGTTGGACTTCTTGTTGTCGCGCTACGATTAACACGTGACCACAAGAAGGACGCCTGAGAGGTAGAGGAAAGCAAAAGTGTGTAAGCTCCGCTGGGCATTGATAGCGTAAGATTGAGCTATCATGCTGCTTCGTACAAAGAAGTTGTCTTCATTTTTCACTGCCCGGCGTTTATTCATTCTGATATCAGGCATTACTGCAAATCATGGCTTGAGTCACTTTGTGAATCGATATGCCGGCCATACTAGAGCAAGCACTCCACAACAGTCGACTAAACTCCTTCCATATCGTCGCTATCTTTGCTGTAACTCTTTTGCTTCTTCTCAGTAAGTGAAGCGCGAGAATTTTCTTCATCCGAGTCTGACTCAATCTCTGGGTTGATGTCTTCGTCCGATAATGAGCCGTGTGTGTTGCGTGTCATCTCGATACCGGGACTTTCGATCGTCGGTAACTGTACATCATAACAACAACAAAGACATTTATCAGAAGGCCATATCAAGTCTTATTGACCTTTCAAACGCACCTGCGTGGAGTACGCAAACTGCGAGCTATTTTGGGTCGGTCTCCAGATGAGAGTCATGGCAGCTGAAACAGTGAAATTCAGCACAGGCCACGCCACGAGCTGCATCCACTCCCACTCGACATCCCACTCAAAGACGCCGAGCCGACTGCAGACGGCTACGACCGTGAGAACGGTGAAGAACACGATGAAAGCGGCGAGCGACCAGGCCAACCAACGGTACATGCTGAGTTTGGCAAACTGCTTCTGATCCCGCAGATCACGCAGAATGCGCTCCATGGAGTACTGGATCCACATAATGAACGCAAGGTTACAAAGCAACTGAACAAACGACCAAGCTGTTGGCTTGTCACGAAAGTCAGCGCCACTTGATGTGCCTCGCGTCACCTCGTCAGCGACACCCGAACCAAAGTAGGCCAGCGACAACAAGGCAATCACACTGACTTCAACACGGGTGAAATGGCTTCGAACAATACCATAGCCAAGACACACAATTAGCAGGATAACACGAGCCAGCGTGCGCATCAGCGTCTATTCCGGAAACAGCATCATGCACAACAGTCAGTCTTCATTACTCAACCACAAGTTCCTCACCAACAACAACATAAATACTCACATCTAGAATCACTGAGATCAAGAACGTCGTCGGGTAGGGACAGCACACTGGTTCTCCCGTCTTATTCATCCGATAGAATGCATAGAAACACACTGCAGATGCAGCCGTTCCCATAATGAGAACCAGTAGAATGCCCCAATGCAGTGACAATAGCTGGCGACGATGCCGGATCAACAAAAACGTAAAAAACACGTCCAGGACTAAATATCCAGCAGTCAAAAAGCCACTGAACGGCAGCATGCCGTACAGTACAGCTGGCAATAGTCCGTACGGGTTGCGTATTTCCATTGATCCAGCAAACTGCAGCGTCTCCGTTGCAGCTTTGTCATCATCAGCACAGACAAACACCTGCGTATCCGTCCAGCCGCTCGAAATGACGAGATGCGACACATTGGCGCGCACTGACGGCTCAGTATCATTATTCACTGGAAACACAGATCGCTGGATGTTCGACATGCCGTCAAATTTTGCTCCCTTGGCTTTTGAACAGGCCAAAATCTCAATCTTTCCAGCTACAGCTTCAAAGTCTTCATAGGTGTTTACGTGATAGAAAAAGACGACGAGTCGCCAGCCGACCATGTCCTCCGTAACGTTTACGCCACTGATATCAAGCTACATCGACAAAAACCTTGAAAAGTCAATATACCTTTGTAATTGTATATAGTTTATCAAGTATTCATTCGTACAGTGATAGAGGCATTTCCCGTGCGTGCAAAGATTGGGCCATGATCAGTAGCAAACAACTTCTCAGCGCGTTGATATGGTGGAATCCATTCGCTACTTTCTACAGGATAGATGGAGGCGATGGTAGAGCGCAGGTAGAGCCCTAGCAAGAGCAAGAGAGACGACACGAAGGACGGCATCCTTCAGATGAGACTAATGACGAAGGGATTGAGGATGAACAATATTTTGATTGGTTAAAAAGGAGAATGAATTGACAGATAACAAAGTTTTTGATTGGTTGAAAGAAATTTGATGACGAACGATGATAGGATTGGATAAAATAGTGTTGAAGACAGTTGATGACCTTGATCATTTCCGTACCCATCGATGAATCTCATGGGGCTACTTGTAACGTCTCTTTCGGACGCTGTGAATCGTTTCTCGCTGTATTACTGGTATCAACTTACTCTCGTGTTTCTTGTCGTGATAATGATGTGCCATAATGGTATACTAGTATCAGGTTCAATCCACCAAGTGCATGAACAAAGTACGGGTTGTAAAGTAGTAGAACGAATGTTTGCGGATGGCTACGGACCCTTTGGACTCAATGGACGCTCTAGTGTCCGTATAGACGTGATATTACGTCCTTTGGATGATTTGGAAGTGCAGAATGCTATCACTGTGCGGAAATTGAGCGATTATTTTGACTTTGGAGTCGTAGTGGCCACTTATACGACAGAGACGGCGTTAGCTGTGGGTTTTAATGACCATACGGCCTGCAGTTGGAACTTTGATACTAATGACACTATGGAGGGAGTGCTCGAAGGCAAATTTTGCCCACTAACAAGTGGTGAGACGCTGCAAATGAACACGACGTTTTATCCACGAGAAAGTGGACTACAGACGGCACTAGTGATGCCTTGTTGGAAGCAAAAGAATGCAGCATTTGGATATCCTGTCAGTACAGATGAATTTGTAGCATATCCTTTGACGGATCCATTGCTACATGTAGATGCAACGATTGGTTTCAAAAATCCGTACGGATATCTGCCGGGACTGCTCTATGGACTTTATCCATTCAAGTGAGTGCTGGAATTTGAATTAGGTGGAAGATGATGGTATCTAAACTTAATTTGTGATGATGTGGTCATTTAGTGGTGTCTTGTCGCTGATGTATGTCTCATTGGGGGTGTATTTTGTGGTTTTGATGAAACGCCATCGTCAGAGTGTTGTCGGGGTGCACTTTTTCCTGCTTATGGTACTGCTACTAGCAACTGGTACGATAGGTAAAGGTGAATGTGCTTGAAGCATCGAAACTCAAGCTGTGAAATATATTGCTCTATGCAGGTGAATCCGTGGCTTGGTTTGTGACGTACAAGCTGTTGAATGATTCAGGTGTGCCAGCGTGTTGCCCCTACCCGGACTCGGTGTTGTTTTCCACGTTTGTGAAGGTTCTAGCGGGTATGGTTGCTCGCATTGCTACTACACTTGTTAGTCTGGGCTACGGGATTGTCCGCATGCAAGTTTCCTGGCCCGAGGTTTTCGTCGTTTCAGGACTGGGTATATGCTACTTTATCGCAGTCGGGGCCTTGGAGGTAAGCCATCTTGCCAATCAGTCGGACGGTGATATTCAACCTCCTGCTATCTGGGAAGCTCTTGTAATTGTGACCAACGCGTGTTTTGGCGGGTGGATTTTTGTGTCCCTCGAGCTGACGCGTAAGAACCTGATCGCTTTCGGACAAGTAAGTTTAAGGCTCTTTTGTCGTGATGAGTTTTCACATGTTCCGCTACCTCGACTAATCACGTTGTGCTGTCAATTGCAGACTGAAAAATCGCAAATGTACGACTCACTGCATTGGGTGTTGCTTTCGTATGTGATTATCTCTTTTGTACTGATGGCTATTGAAGGAGCTGTGTAAGTTCTGAAGTTATTATTCTGGGTGGTGCAAGGGGTAGTAACGGTGCTCGACTGACATTGTTGTCGTTGCGAATACTACAGCTATTCGGGAGCGACACGAGTGCCATGGCAATATACTTGGATCGTTTGGGCAGCTACTCGCCTGCTTTTCTTCGTGATTTTGCTAGTTGGAGTATATCTGTGGCGGCCAAGGGAGCACGGCCTGCTGTACGCACAGATGGATCAGCTCTCCAGTTGCGAGCCAGTGACACCAACTTCGATCTCACGCAGCAATGAGATGAACCAGCGTGTAGCCTCAGCAGCCGACAATGAAAACTCTATACTGGCCAAACCCTCACCATCCACTACTTCACCTACAAGACTTGCAAGTGCTAAAAATGCTTCCACCCTCGAATCACTGTAAAATGAAGTCACAGGTTTGGCGTGAGCCAAAAGACCCGAGAAAAGGACCTAGCGCAGTAAATTTGATAGTGGGGCACTCGTAGTTTAATTAATGAAAGCAGTCCAATTGATAGGTAGCAACAAGTAAAGCCGAACTGCTCCAATTTGCCGGCAGCATTTGGGTCCAAGTAATATACACATGTAGCTCTCTGTCTTCCGTCCTCTGTCTGCACATCACACAACACAAGCTCTAGTCATGTTAGCAGTCAACAATTGCTACAATATTACGACACCACACTGTACAGTTGACCAGACAAGCAAGCACACATAAACGATCAAGCAACCATTATGATTTCTTGACTAGTTACACTTCCCAGCATGACCTTCTTGTTCCCGAGAATACTCTCAGCAATTGACCAGAACGAGCCAAGCACAGCACCAAGTAGCAGCAGCAGTTCAAGCTCGTGGCACATTTGACATTGCCATAAAAACAATCTCAAGTCTTTAGCTCTACTTGTTGGCCTTGGCAGCCTTGTGGCGAGCAATACGACGACCAACACCGCGAATTTTCTTGGCACGGTTCTTGGCTTCCTTAATCTGCTTCCGCGACGTCTCGACCTTCTCAACAAGACCTTGACGGATCAGACGGTACTTGGGCTCATAACGTTTCGCGTCGTTTACCGTATCGTACACAAGACCAAAGCCAGAGCTCTTGCCACCACCAAATTGTGTGCGAAACCCGTACAAAAACACCGTATTCGGGTCCTTTACCTTGTACATCTGCAAGAGCATCACAATTGTCAGCAAAAGTATTCCATTGACCATCATTCAGCATTTAGCTGTCTGTCTGTCTGTCTCTTATCCATCCAGTCAGCATATAGTCTAGAGACAGTGCATTGAACTTGGAAGGTTTGCTGCTCTTGATCTGATATCTGTTATTTTTCTCCTGTTCGATCTCGCTCTTGCTACTGACGGATGGATATTCAGACGACATGATGAAACGAATGTACAGTGTGTTTACCTTAGAGATCTTCTCCTGAAGTTCAGCCTTGGGTACATTCGGGCGACCTGGATGAATCACCTCCACCACCTAATGATCATGAGTCATAAAAAACAGCATGTTAAAATCGAATAAGATCAACGGTTGTAACGAAGAGACAGTAGGAAACGCACCATTTGGCGACGGGCTAGCAAACTGTTGCGTAGGAACTTGCGCGTACGAACCGTAACAGGGACTTTATCAGCCATATTTGTTGTCTTTTGACTTAGTAACGAGAAGTTTTGCAGGGAATGGAATGAGCCGGCGACAAGCGAAGCTCTGGCCTCCAAGAGCCAACCAATCCACCACGCTGTACTTTGACCAATCATCGATCGAAACCTAGCCTTTCAAAGACATTATATCGACTAGAACAGGATATTATCTATGAAAGAACTCTAAAACCATAGTATGCGGAGAGATGTATTTAAGAGGTAATCAATATACAGAGGTTACATGTTAATGAAGGTTGTGGCTTTACACCAAGCAAAAATGACATGGACACTTCAACTGCAATTATGATCATCTCACAATGTACATGCACTTAAGTACATCGTCAATCCATTCGTGCGTCTAAATTCGCCAGTTATTGCGTTGCGAGACTTGCAATTGCAGCTTTCAAGTGACACCAGTAAAAAAAATTATGCGTCAGCCTCACCAACCACGGCTGTCGAGTGCTTGAGCTTCTGAACACGAGCTTCGGCCTTCTTGGCGGCGTTGTCCGCGAGTCGTGCCTCCTCAACCTGCGCCTGCTTGTGCAAATCGTCCAAGATCGACTGCTTGTAGTCCTCAAACGTTCCGTCATACACCACCACGTCTTGGTCACCGCAGACCCACAGCACGCACTCCGTCGACTCAATCAGACGCGCGTCGTGCGTCACGATCACGACGCCACCTTCATACTCACGGATGGCATCACAAAGCGCATCAATGGACTCAATGTCCAAATTGTTTGTCGGCTCATCAAGAATCAAGATATGCGGGCGCATCAGAACCAGCTCAGCAATTACCACACGGGCCTTCTGACCACCCGACAGCAGCCGGTTCTTGATCTCGTGCGCATGGCCCTCGAGACCGACCTTACCGAGCAGGTTTCGTACCTGCTGATATGACTGGTCTTGGAACAGACGACGCAAATACTCCACGGGTGTCTCGCCCATGGGCAGCTTGTCGACGAAGTGCTGGTTGTAGATACCCAATCGGACACGCGGATTACGGCGCACCTCGCCCTCCTTCACGGTCAACTCGCCCGTGATCATCTTCAGCAGAGTACTCTTTCCCACACCATTGGGGCCCACGATACATACTCGTGACGTCGTGTCGATACCAAAGTCCGTGTTCTTGAACAGGTACGGACCGTCACCATAGCGGAAACTGGCCTCGCGCACCTCGAGAATGGGCGGCGTCACGACAGTCGTCTCTGGGAAGCTAAACTGCACAATGTACTCCTTTGGTCGCTCTAAAAGATCCATAGCGGCTGACGCATCCGCAGCATCATCAGGCGTGAGAGCCTTCTTCTTCGAAGCACGAGCACCAGGCTCACGTTTCTTTTTCACGATTTCAGTAGCTTTCTTGGAAGACTTGCCCGAAGCCTTGAGGTTACGAAGCTGCTTTTGCTGCTTCTCCCAGGCCTTCTCCATCTGCTTTCGCTTCTGCTTTTCCATTTCACGGAACATGTCATAGTTACCCTTGTAGTGTACAATTTTCTTGTTCTCCAGATGCAGCACCTCTGTGCACACGCTATTCAGGAAGTCGGCGTCGTGGGACACTACCAGCAGCGTTTTCTTCCACTTTTGCAGGTAATCGTCCAGCCAAATAACGGCGTTCAAATCCAAATGGTTCGTCGGCTCATCAAGCATCAGCAGCGTCGGCTCGACGTACAAAGCCTTAGCCAGAGAGATTCGCATACGCCAACCACCAGAAAAGTCCTTCGTGACCTTCTCCTGCATAGCCGAGTCGAATCCCAGACCAAATAGGATACGCCGTGCACGAGCCTCAGCAGCAGACGCGTTCATGTGCGACAGCTGATCATACACTTCGTTCAGCCGGTCGTCCAGAGCCGAGTCCTGTTTGGTTTCCAGCTCTGCAAGCAGGTGCTTCTCTTCCTCCAATAACGCCCACCGCTCGGCGTCAGCCTTCAGCACGGCATCCACAGCTCGCGTGTCGTCGGCCACGACCTCCTGCTCTACATACAGGCAGTCGATCTTGGGCGGGATTTTGAGCTCCCCTAGCGCAATCATTTTCAAGATCGTGGTTTTACCTTGACCGTTCGGACCCACCAGACCGTACTTGCCACCAGCGTTAATATGCAGCGACGCATTGTCGTACAGTAGTTTGTTGTGCGCGTTGATGCTGAAGTTGTCAATGTGGATGTCAGTGGCGTTCTCCCAGTTCGAGTCCTCCGTAAAGGCCTGCTGCGAGACAGAGAACTGAGCGCCATCCATAGGGTTGGCAGCGCGGTGGTACTCGTCCTCGCGTTCCTGACGTTCCTGCTCCTCTTTGATACGCTTGCGCTCTTTATTACTAAGACGTTTGCCTTCCTTATCCTTCTTGCTCGTCTTTTTCGGTTTATTTTCCTCATTGTCTTCCTCCTCTTTGTCATCTATAGAGTCAAAGACACTTTTCACTTTCTTCGTTTTCTTCTTCTTCTTATCCTTCTTGTCATCTTCGTCTATCTCGTCAACAGGGTCAAAGAATAAGTCCGTCGAGATCATTTTCTTCTTGCTTTTTTCTTCTCCTTCTCTTTCTTCTTCTCCACAACAACCTCCACCTTGACCTCTTTTTCTTCCTCTTTTGCTTCTTCTTCCACATCTTCATCTTCTTCTTCTCTCACTTCTTCTCTTTCTTCTTCTTCTTCACTGTCGCTATCGTTCATTAGAGCAGCAAAGTTCACCACCTTCTTCTTGTCCTTTTTCTTCTTCTTCTTCTTGTTTGTACTAGCAGCCACTTGTGCGTACAAATCCTCCTCCTCCTCCTTCTCGTCCTTCTGCTCGGCATCTGAAGCCGTGCATTGACTCGTCTGTTCTTCCTGAGCCTTGGCGACCTGACGCTGCGCTTTCCGTGTCTTTAACTTCTCCTTACGCGCCACTTTCTTGTCGTTTTCATTCATTGATGCAGGAACTACAGAAGGCGTTGTCTTGACGTCGTCTGAATCGGATTCGTCGCCACGACGACCTCCTTTTTTCTTCCCACGAGCCATCGCGTCTTTTAGATAATGAAACTATTATGACTGGACAAAGCCAAACGAAAAAGACTGCAATTTGATTGGGTGAATTAGACTACAAACTATAACTCGGGGCTAATATGTAATTAAACGTTTGCTACGTCTTAATAAGGAGTTATTTGTCGCTAGTCCTTATTAGGACTTGAAAATTCGCATTTTACTCTTCTGCTAAATATTACGTAATGTTGTAGCCATTTCCTCCAACTTGAAGTGACTTGCGCCTACAGTCGACTTCACTCCAATGCGTCGATACTAAGAGCGACATTTCCTAGACCACTACCCAGTACAACAATGCGACTGATAAGTTTTGATACGTTTGAAAAAGAGATTTTGAATTATACGACGTCAGTTGCAAAACTGAGCTCAAATCATGGACAATGCAATTGCACTCAAGTAAAGAGAATCTCTTCTGATACTTGGCACAATAAAGTGCTGACTACACTGAAAAGACGACGCCTTAAGGTGCTTCTCGACTTGCCAAATATTTCATCGATGACAGTCTGGAGGTCACCGCAGCAATCTCATGTGCTAAAAATACTCTTACTGGATGAAGCAGCGCAGCAGATTTTTTACGATCTTCTTGATGCGACAACATTGTTTTGAAGGGTATTGCGACGCTTATGAGGTCTTGATAACTACTACAGAGTGAAGCAAGAGCTGGACAATTATTGCAACACTTGTCGACAGGAATGCGATCTTATCGAGCGACAGCTTTCTACTCGTAGCATTTCAACAAGCCTAAGCCTCCCATGACCGGCTGCATGTTGGACGGACTCATTTGGTGTTGGCAACAAAGAGGTTGTTTACAACTAGTTACAGTTGTGCCTTACAGGGCTTTACGAGTTGAGGACATTGACAATGATGTTCAATGTTTCAACCATGTTGTAGTCGCGTCCTCAGCAAAATCTCTTTATCTATTTTTCCAGGAGATAAACCATCCATTATTTTGGAGAACGGATACGTTTCCAGTTGCATAAAACGCCGCGCAGTTTGGAGCTATGAGCGCTCGGGATGACGATGCTGAGCCTTCACACATCCTTGAACATGTGTTCCTCGGATCTAGGACGCACGCACGTGACAAGGAGCTACTACAACGCATTCGGATTACCCACATCTTGAATGTACGAAATCTCGAGTTTTGTTGGAGTTTATAAAGCTAATGCTGCGGATGATGTAGGTGACGCCTTCGAAGAAGATGGACCCAGTAGCGGGTGTGCCGAATTTCTTTGAAAAGGACAAGCTCTTTACGTATCGACGGTGTTCCATTTTCGATAACAAGGCAGAAGATATTTCAGGAGTCTTGGAAGGATGTATTGCGTTCATGGATCAAGCCAAGTACTATGGTAGCGACTCTTGTGTTCTGTGGAGACTTGACAGTTGCTTATGATGGCCAAGTACGGCATGTGATGTATCTCTCTTTCTTTATATTGTGGCAGGTCGGATCCTTGTTCACTGCAACAAAGGAGTGAGTCGCTCATCGTCCATGGTTGTTGCGTACCTCATGAAGCTCCGTTCCATGAGCTTCGAGCAAGCGTTGACCTTCGTGGTGGACCGCCGTTCCATTGCCAACCCCAATGAAAGTTTTCGTCTCCAATTGCAGGAGTACGGACGTCGTCTCCAGCGAAGTGTACCCAAAGAGAAAAGCGCTCGAATTGTGCGTGGTCCCGTTGGTCCTCAACTGCCTCCTACTGAAGAGGATGCTGCTGCTATCGGACCACAACTGCCGCCGCATCTCCTGCGAGCTCAAGAAGGTGACAAAGCGGTACAGAATACAGAAGCCGTAACGCAAGGTGCCAACGAGAAGGTGGTCATTGGGCCAAACCTTCGTCCGAATCCGAAACGTGAACGAGTGCATTCGAACGAACTGAATGAAGACATTACGACGTCCACCAAGAAGAAGAAAATTGAGAACACCGAATGAGCTAGAAGCAAAGACGGCCATTAGTCATCTGATACACCAGCATGAACATGACAAGTATACAAATTATACATCTCTTAGTAGTGCTGGATTTTAGCGGTGCGTACCGCGCATTATGACTCCTTCTTCCTGGTACGTAAAGTCGTCGAAATGGTGGCCCTCGCCATTCTTCTTGTTCACGGGGGAGTCTACAGCCGCCATGTTCTGGAACATCTCGGGCACATTCGTGATATCGTCGACGCTATTGACGTCAGGGACAAAAGGAGGCTCTATCTCCTTCCGCATAAGCTTGTCCCAGTCGATGGCTTCGTAGAAAGGATGAGCCATGATATCACGGCCACCGTTGGGGCCGCCTCCAAGCCGCCTTGCCGGATCCCGGTTCAGCAACTTCGAAATCAGCGATCGCGCCATTGGCGAAATGTGCGAGGGGTATATCACCTCCGACTGCATAATGTTCTTGAACATCTGCCGACGGTTGCGGTCGACGAATGGTGTTCGTCCTGTCAACATCTCGAACAGCAAAATGCCGTAGCTCCACCAGTCAACCACCTTTCCGTACGGTTGGTGACGTAGCAGCTCTGGCGCCATATACTCCGCTGTACCACAAATCGTTTTCATACCCGAGTCTGCCTGAGAGGAACGAATGGCACCTTCAGCCATCTGGCCCTCCTTCGACAAACCAAAATCTGTCAACGCGATATTTCCCTTAGGGTCCATCAAAATATTCTCCAGCTTCAAATCACGATACGCGATCTGCTTGCTATGTAAATGCATCAGCGCTGTCAGTAACTGTGCCATATACAAACGCGTGCGGTCTTCAGAAAATCGTTTTGACTTGCGCAGGTGGTAGAACATTGAGCCGCCAGGGTAGTAATCCATGATCAAATACAGTTTGTCAGCATTCTGGAACGCAAACCGCAGTCGTACCACGTATGGATGGTTGATTTCCTTTAGAATATGCTGCTCCGCCTTTGTGTTCTCGATTTGGTCATTTTTGATGATGTGAGACTTCACAAGAATTTTCATAGCATAAATTTGGCCGGAGTTTTTGCCGTCTTTCTTGCGCACAAGTAGCACCTTACCGAAGGCACCACGGCCGACAACCTTAAGAAGATCAAAGTCGCTAATACACAGGGGACGCTTTTCAGCTTCTTCACGTATTCGCATCGCTTCCATCCGCTGCGCGTGTTCGTCCAACTTTTCTTGAGACGGCGCATTTGCCGGACCATTGGGACTGATACGCGGAAGCTTGTTGTGCAGCATCATTTGAAGATCACAGCAGCCGGAACACACACGTTTTGGCTCGCTAAATCCTGGAAGGAACAAGCGATCTGAGCACGACGTGCAAACAAGACACAGGCACATGCGGCAGTATCGACGGCGGCGCAATACGAAAGTAGTCCTACACAGGTAGCAATAGTTTTCACCATCAGTGCCCTGGCCAGAGCGTTGCTGGGCTTCAAGCGTCGGCATACGGTTTCCGCGAATAAACGAGTCAGAACGTGCAACAAATGTATCGTGTACCCACTCGAGTGTCAATTCAACTTCGCCATTACCGTGAGTTGTTGGCATCTTCTCATCACGCAATGCAAACCATCGTCGATCGACGCGGTTGAGGCCCACATCACTCATGCTTACAGCAACCTGCCCCAGCGACGTGTTCATCGGGAATGATCTATCTTTCACCACGATGACCACTTTAGCATCGCTAGACGTGACAGGAAAAGAGAAGGTCTGGTTCCACTCGGGGTCCATCGTATGCTTATGGCTACCCACAGTATCCTTCTTCTGCCCTGCGCATTGCACCACAGCAAACGGGTTGTTGTACGGCTGGCCAGTAAGTCGGGCACGATTTACCGTTACAATGAGCTTGTTGGGGAATGTAGCACGAATGGCGTGCAAAGAGTCTTCAATTCCACGGGCAATAGATTGCAGAAAAACAAAAGCCGATGTTTGCACCGAATGAACCGTCCACTCTCGGTTATTGGCCTCACCTGTAGAACGTCCCACAGACAGCGACGTGCATCCAAGTCGTGCCTTGGATGACCCAATAACCGTAAACATGGGCTCAGTTGAGGCCTCAAAATTCACCGCCTTATCACGCAGCATCTCTCGTAACACATCAGAGTCTCCCGACGAGATCTGATGGGCCGATTCAATGAACGCAATGCCGCCAACCCGTTGCTGTTCATGTCCAGTCAATGAAGACAAGAAAGTCTTCAACAACACTCCCGCATTGTCGTAGACAATAAAACTGATCTCCTGTGCTGCATTGGGCACAATATAATTCTTCCAGACGAACGAAACATGACTCTCAGGTGTCGACGAGTGCAAAATCTTGGCTCGATGGCCATTCACCATACAAAAATTGGCACTTGGGTTCAAAATGACCACACCGTATCCTCCTTGAACTGCCGTCTTCAAATACGGGATCATCGAGCCTTGAAATCCCGTTTTTGGATGAATTGTTCGACTCCACATACCCGGCTGCATTCCTATAAAAAACATATAAACATAAAAATAAAAAACAAATAAAAAACAGAGGTTAATACATAAAATACCAAAGAAAATAGTCCCACGTAAATAATCAAAAGACTAAAAAATAGACCTTCGCCTGGCTGCATAAAGACACAGAGTTTGGGACATGCTGCATAATTATGGGAAGCAAAAATACTGCATCGTGCCTCTGCCTTCAAGTTGGGAATATAAATTTCACGTAAATTCAGGTCACTCTTGAGCTTGGCATGGATTTGGGCCACAAGTGTCTGCATGAGCTCTTCCACGTCCTCTTCCGTCTTGAGACTGGAGTTTTTGCCATGACCTGTATGCCAATATATCAATTAGAAGAAGAAGAAGAAGCAGAAGAAGCAGAAGGGAAGAGCGCACCTCGGGAGCTAAGACGCCGCATGAGATTACAGAGTGAAGGTCAACGAGGGGGCAGACACCAACAGCCGACGACCGACGACGCGAATTAAACCAATCAGAAGAATGTCGTTGCATTGTAACGTAAACTTGTATTAAGTGCGATTATTATAGTTTTTTTTACTCAATAATGCAAGCGTCACCTGTGACAAGAGTGATGTTCCATGGCCACCGAATACATGTCAAGAGAGATGACGTTTTTCATTTGGCAGGAAATAAGGTTTGTGAGTAGTATTAAGTATTACAAATTACAGGAATATTAATATTAAAAGGTGATTCTGTTTTAGATGCGAAAGATGTTATATTTGATCAAGCAAAGTGATGCATTCTATACTAATGCCCATATAGTTAGCTACGGAGGATCTCAGAGTAACGCCATGTTGGCACTTGCTCAAGTGGCCAATGCACGACGAGTTCCTTTTACTTATTTTAGTCGAAAACTGCTGTTTAAACGGGGTGAGATTGACGAGATAGAGGGGAATTTGGCCATGGCCAGAGCATTGGGAATGCGTCACGTGGAGCTTCACACTGATGCGTATCATGAACTAGTGCGGACTCGAGACTTTACTACGTTTCTAGACGATAAACTGTGTTTTCCACCGGGTACGAGGAGTTTGTACGTGCCACAAGGAGCAGCATGTTTGGAAGCTCAGGATGGCGTGAAGGTGCTGGCGGAAGAGATTAACGAATACGTTCGGATGGAATGGCCCGACAAATTGTTTTCGGTTGTCGTGCCCTGTGGTACGGGCACTACGGCGTTGTACTTGGCACAACATCTACAGCCAGAGATTAAGTTGTTTGCAGTTCCTTGTGTGGGTGATGCCACGTACTTGCAGCAGCAATTCCGACAACTTATCGACAAAGATCCGTCGTTGCAACCACAAGTGACAGTGATTCCTCAAGTACTCAAGCCAAAGAGAAAAAGTCGCTTTGGACGACTGTGGTGGCCGCTATATGACATTTACCATGAGATACTGCAAGAGACGGAGATAGACTTTGACCTCGTGTACGGAGCTTTTGCTTGGCATACGTTATTCTCGGACAAAAATGTGCTAGATGAGGTGTTGCAGGGTGGCCATGAAACGAGTGTGGGTTTCACCGAGCACAAGTCTGGTGACAAAGACGTACGGGAGCTGCTCTATATTCACACGGGAGGCACATCCGGCAATGCAGCCATGCTCGCGAGATATGGTCGCAAGAATCGACCATAGCAGAGCCCAGTGTGATCTCTAGGAGTCAATACAAAAGAATTACCGGTTTTAAAATACAGTATCTAGCAGTAGATACCGGTTTTATCATACCGCATCAATCGGTAGATACCGGTTTCTTAATAATACGCCAACTAATGTAAGGTATTACAAAACCGGTATTTCAAATATCGGTTCCTGACGTGAAAATGGCAGAAGGAAGCGTCATGACGGCCCCAGTGACAGGTCCTACTGGTCGCACAGACCCAACGTCATCATTCGATACCTGGTTATTACAAAAGCTTCGTCTCGAGTGGAGTTCGTGTGAGTTTGGTGGCCTCTTGACGTCTTCCAAGCTCGCAGAGGCTCGTGCTAGTTTTTCGCACTTAGAGACGCCTATTAAGGTACGTGATCCATTTGTATTGAAATAATGTAATCTGCCGTACTCACTTTTTTATGATTTTGCGTAGGTTCGTCTATTGCTGTCACTATTAAGCGTCCGCCAGGACGAAGTGGACGTTACTGGGACTACGGCACAGAACGAAGCAAATGCGCTGCTGTTACTGGCAGAACAGGATGCGGAGGATTGGGTAAAGGTCAGCGCCGGTATCGTCAAGCAGTTTCTAGTGCTCCAGGCTGTTGGGCGACCTGTGGACTCGTATCTGCATGCGCAGCTCGAAGCAACGGCCTCAAAAGTCGTGCAGACAGTTGCTACATCCTCTCAGACACGTCGCAGTAGCAAGAGCTCAATGGACGTGGCTCTGGACGACTTTTTTTCACTAGAGAACGGTCTATTGAACCCGTCGCTGCGTCCTGCATTGACACTGACGGCTGCTACGCACTTTACAGTGAATGGAGAAGACGACGATGATAATGACAAGGAGGACGAAGTGGGTACGTCACCTGTGAAGAAGCCGCTGCATCGGCCGCAGATGGCACGGCCGTTGGGATCGTCAGGTGCAATGACGGCTTCGGCTGCTGGTGCGACGACACCAGTTTCGATGAGGTTGACGCAACAAACGACGAAACCTCTTGCAGGAAAAAAGAATATGGCCAAAATGTCGTCGGAGATCCGACGGAAAGCAGATGCGGGGCGATTTAAACGACAGAGAAGTCGCATTTCGATGATTGACATTAATGAAGTGAAGCAGATAAAGTCGGAGAAGGCGCAGAAGGCGGAAGAGAGGAAGAAGCAGAAATTAGCAGCAAAGGAAAAAGAAAAAGCAAAGGAGAAGGAAAAGGAGAAGGAAAAGATTGACGCAATTGCAGCGGGTGTTGCTGCTGACGTAGATGCGAAAAGCGGGGCTGCAGATGCCATTGCCACGTCAGCTTCGGTCAATGATGAGCATGCTGCCATAGCTGCTGATATTTTTGCAATGCACCAGCAAGCTGGTCTGGACGACCCGGTGCAGCAGTATGCTCAACACCAGATGCAAGTGGAAGGCAGTGTCGAGCACGCTGAGGTTACCCCGGTCGCTGGAGTTGAGGGCGACTACATTCCCGATGGAACACAGGCGTTACTGAATGCCGCTTTCCACTCCACACAAGACATTATGAAAGAGGTTGTGAGCCAGCAAAACCAGCACATGCAGGGGCAACACCAAATGCAGCACCAACAATTGCAGCAGCCTCCGTACCAGGACCTATATCGAGCTCAGCAACAAATGCAAATGCATCACTTGGCTCCTCAGCAGCAGTATCACCAAGGATTCGAGCCGGAGGGTGCTAGTATCACCAACGCGAATACTGGCGGTATTCCAATGGGATTTGGAGGCTACAACTACGGCACTGCTGCGGGATATTTCGGCGACCAATTTGGCAACTACGGCGCCCCACAGGATACGAATGCGTTCAGTTCAGCAGGGTATCCTACTTCGGCTATGGGTCAGCCGGATAATGGCATGAATGGCATTGGACTGCCTTCTCTTGGTGGTCGACAGTTGGGTTTCGACCCTACGTCGCAGCAGCAACAGCACCAGCACCAACAGCACCAGTACCAGCAGCAAAATAATGGAGGATACATGGGTGGATCCGGGGAATTCTGGCGATAGGCGTTGTTTAGAAGACTTGGACAATATTTGTGAAGCAGCCTCTTGTTTCGAGTTGTGGAATGCTTGTGTCAATAAACAAGCTGCATCTTTCGAAATTGTTGCTCACTCCCTGCACTAAGACCGCAGATAGTGATCGAAGGCGTGGATGTAGAGAAGTTTTCTACATCGTTCACACTCGCTGCTATCTCATAGCTTAGTGCAAATTGATGTCTGCAAAATACGACGATTATACTGAGTCATCCATTGTCACAGCAACTGATGACACCGACTGTCATCCATCGTGGAAGAGACGTCGCAGACATGCGAGGAACGGCCAACATGTGAAGATTTAGACTCGGCGACTAACGCGTATATTATCCATGGAACTCTTAGCCGAATGCAATCCTTGTTCTTTGTTTGCTTCATTCTCTATTGAAGCATGTAGGTCTGAATGATCTCCATCAGACCAAGGGGATTATCGATGTGTACCCAATGACCAGATTTTTCCAGTAAATGGTGGTAGACCTGGTTTTCTTGCTGAGCATCCAGTCGGTCGAGTAGCTCAGGAGTCCACATATTGTTCTTCGAAGCATGCACAAAATGAAGTTCCACGTCTTTGCCATTCATTGCAAGTGAGTTCTCCACCACAGGCCAGAGGTCCGTGGCCAGGAAAGACCGGTAGAGCTGCTCAATGACGTCCACATCCATTTTCCACTCGTAAAGTTCAGGACTCTTGCTGGTCAGGTGCAAGTTGGTGGTGAGCCATTGCGCTTCACCCAGCGCAACGCCGTAGCTCTGTAAATCCTTCACCAGCTGCGCTTTAGAGCAAATGGGAAGCGGGATTTTCTTCACCACCGGCAAAATCGTCTCGATCGAGTTCGTGAGGTCACGGCTCGCGTAATCCGTTGCACCTGATAAGGAGGAACGATGGCCAATCGAGGCAACAACACACGTTAACTCCTTGTTCAAATGAATTGCAATAAGTCCACAAAATGTACTGCTTGCACCTGTTCCTGGAAGCGAGTCTAAAACCCACACTTGGCTGGGAGGCGAGCAGTCTTTCTTCATGCATTGCTGCACATAAGTCAGCGCCACCTTTCCTCCAAAAGAGTGTCCCAGTATGGCCGTAGGATCAACCTTCAAGTGAGCGGTCAATTTGCTTCATTTCCGAAGCATAGAGTGACAATTAGCGATGCTCACAATCAACCACGTCCTGACTACGGACGTACAAAATGTCGTCGGCACATGCTTCCAATGTATGTGGCTGCAAGAACGACGGCGAGTCTCCATGACCTGCACGAATCAGCATTCTCATCACCTCGTTAGTTACCCTTCCTTCCCCAAACTGACCGCCACCGCCACTCACCACGCAGGTCCAAGCAGATGAAGCGCCAGTCTGGATTCACCTTGGTCAATCTACAGCAAAGAGAAAGTAAATCAACATTTATCAACACCAAATTATCTCCCATATTCCAAGCTGTAATCTCCTACTTCTGCGAGAACGTGCGCCAATTGAGCTTGTTTCCTGATCAGAAAACGCTCCGTAAGTTCTCTTAATGTCCCCAATACCTTCATCTTCTCCTCACCTAGAATGCCATGCAGCACTAGCGCCGTCTTTGTTGGTTCCATGCCGCTCGTAGTGTCTTCAAACACTCGGTACGCCAACGTGCTCTTATCTCGTCGACCTTGTGCAACACTACAGACAACAACGAGAATCAATCCGTCCACTCACTACTAATCATACTAAAGATAATAAAAAGAGAAACGTTAGAAGAACAAGTCATTGCACCTGCGAGTAGCAGCTCCATAACATGTAGTTAAACTAAATCGTTGGCTGAAAAGTCTCATTATCGTTACGAAGTGAGCTATTGAGACCTCAGACCTTTCTGATCGCATATGATGCAATCATTCCAGCCGATATAGGTACATTTCGATGCACGTACAAGCTGAAGTCTCTCTTGAGTCTCGTCTGCTAAATCGGAGCTTTTGGACACATACGTTGACAAAGAGACCTTAGGAAGGCACACATTGAAGCGAATAATCCTGTCTTGCACCTCTTTTGCTACTTCTTCCTGCTTCTGTTGTTGTTAAACTCGTGTAGCTGTTTCGATTCTCATCGTTTGTTTCTGAGTGGGTACATGCAACGACGTGACGTAGGTGACGTCGTCATTCTAGCCAAAAGCTGCATCGGCTTGCTCTCCTGTTGTTCTTGACGTTCCAGCCTTGCTGACTTTGCTGGTACAGCTGAGTCATCATGATGTCGACAATTAGCATCGTGACGCTCAAGACGATGACGCGAGAAAGCCAAAGCTGCAGCTGGCAGCGTCACGAAGTGGCCTTTTGGTAGCGGCAAGAAACTTAGGCCCTTTTCACTGCAATTGATGACCTGGATCTGGTGGTGACGACGTAGACTGTTTCGATTCGATACTCGTGCTGAAATGCCACATTAGCCACAAGAGCACGGACACGTCGAGACCGCGTGATGCTAATCGGGGGCTGTGCCTTCCATTTTATTCCGCAAGATCTTGTCCAACTTGCAGGGAGTCTTACTGCCGTCGATTCTGTAGTGCATCCACATTATCAAAAGATGCAACAAAGCTCTAGGCATTTTAGCTTTTCGAGCCATTGGAGTAGAATGACGCACCCTCGCTTCGGTACAATCCTCTAACATTGCTCTCGAAATGATAGTGGTTCAAGAGGAGAATGGCTTTATCGAGTTATCTCAGTTCTTCATGTCCCACATGAGGTCATGACTTCTAGGGATACGAAGACCCCCTCGTGGTGTTGAAGCTGAAGGTCCACACACAGCCGTCTTGGGCGCCGAAGTAGTTGCCAGCGGGTAAAAAAGATCATGTTTCGTGTGTGTGGTTTTGAATCTCGGCTGTAATAGAGTCATTGGTCAGCAGCTTGTTTTGTCTGTTGACATTAGCACCATCGTTCCCGTGCACATTTACATCGGTTACTTGCAAAGCAGGACCCATTGAAAACAGCAGCACCGCCGTGTCGCCTACGTTCGACACGTACATCTTCTTCCCACCGTTTCAAGACGACTACAATTGTTGCAGTAGTGCCGCCGCGAACAATTGACACAGTTCCTGAGTGCAGGTTGTGCCGAAATAAAACCCTTTCGGTTGATGCTCATCCACCAAATGTCCCGCTCGGTTCATAAGGCGCTGCAGGATGTAATGGCAAAACTTAGCGGTCAAGGTTCGAGCACCGAATTGGCGGTGGCTGCAACTGCCAGGACCTCTCAGCATGACCTTTATTTGGTCGTCTATCTCAAGCTATTTACACTGCGCTGAGCTTGGTACAGTAGGACGGCGGCAGGGCGCTTATCAAAGCCTTGCCGCATCTCGGGGTTCAAGATCACCTGGTCATCGTTGAGCTAGTTTAATAAGGTCATACAGACCACCGCAACGGAGATGTTGAGCTTATGTTGAAACTGGCCATGCAAGTGCACCTGCATCTCGAGGTTGCGAACGCTGCGTTGGCCACTTTGCAGAATCGCTTTTTCATGAGCGTGTACTCGCAACTAGCACTGTTTAATCGGCCTTGGTTCTCGTAAAAGTCGTTACAGCTTAGTGTCTTGCTCACTGCGTAAGGAAGCCTAAACTTTGTGGCCGCAATGATGATCTCATCGCGCACCGTAGGCAAGCAGATGGACTTATAGACGTATAAATGCCGTACAAGTTAATAACGAAGACAAAAAGAGCCTGCGTCGCGTCTTACAGCAACGCATGCCGAGCAATTTTTCTTCTGTAACAGTTGATGCATCCATGCAAACAATTGCACGAGTAGCTGACGTAAGGCGCGTTTAGAATCGCTTTGCTACTGCAAATTGAAAACAAGAATATATCGAGCGCCAACAGTCGTACATTTCGTTAATGAGCCAAGATATTCATACGTGACCATGACCTCAGCTTCCAGTGCGCGTTTCCAAAGATACGCCAGCCTAGTGAACAGGCTGGTCATTGCTCGCTCCTCCTAGAAGCCATACTCGCTCATCTCTGCCTGACTCATGTCAATGTCTGCGAGGTGCTTGACCTCACACCTACTGCAACTGAGATTCCTACCTGGAAGCCCACCAGAATTCCTTTGACCTATATCGTCAAAAGCGCCAGCAAAGCATTTGAAAATAATTGAGACGGAAGCCGTGCCCCTGCCAATTCTGTCCATCCTGCGTACTGAGCATGAAACTTGCTGTAGAAACTCGCTGTTGGTCAGGATTTCTTGGGTGGTCATTTCCCTAACAATGAAGGAGCTCGTTCTCGTTCTCTCTGCATCGCTGCTCTTTGCCATCTACAACAAGACGAAAGTAACACATAACACGAAAGAATCGGCAATATCATACAATGTTGAAGATACTTATACAGTCTTGTCTATCTACCGCTAAAACTGAAGTTTACGTCGTGTCATAAGTTGAAAAAATCATCTTTTTTCTATGGGTACATTTGGCATTGAAATTTCAGGTAAAATTCCGACATGACAGCTGTTATTTAGTCACATTCCAGCAATAAACTAGATCGGAAGAAATATCACGTGACCGTCTCATTGCTGGTCAAGTTAAAATGGAAGATAACAACGGAACGCCCGAGATCATTCCCATGCCAAGCAATAATCAAGTGCGTCAACGACATCTCTCAGGAGGTACCATGAATTTGGCGCTTCAGGACGATCAGTGGACTTTTGCTTTGCCTGGATTGCCTCAATCAGGACAGTTGATATCGGTACGACCTGGCACGTATCGCTATCTAAAGGGCGTGGAGCTGGAGGGCGCTACCTACGAGTTTGCTATCGTAACACGTAGATGTTCGTCTGAAAAGAAAAAAGAGAATAAGTCAACTGCTGTTGATATTGACGTGGCCGTGGATATCCCCGCGGGAGTCGAAGGCAGACTGATCAAAAAGCTCATAGCCAGTGGTCTGGACGTAGACGTGCTGGAAGGAGACTTTAGTCGTGTAGAGGTTGATGGTAACAAGACCAGCAAATACTTTGTGCTGCTTATCCGTGGAAATGAGGAAACACTGGCCACGTATGGGAGGAGACTGAGGTTCCAGACGTGGCTGCGTAGTGGCAACTCGCGTGAAGTGGACTCGGTCGTGCAGAGTAGTCCTATTGTCACCCCTGCTGAGAGAATCCAAGTGATTGATCATATCGTTCGAGAAACAGCCCAAATCACAGAAGACGACCCGAATGTGCACTCGATCTTTCCAGTTCATGACCCTGCAACCAACAGATACTTGCTTAAGACATTCATTGGAACGCAAAAGCTCGAGTTTCTATCGGAAGATTTCTTGCAAAAAGTAAGAGCTCACTTTGGTGAAAAGGTTGGATACTACTTTGCGTTCATGGACTTTTACAACAAGGCACTCGTGCCGATCGCGCTGCTAGGCGTAATTCTGACATGCCTGCGAAGTGTCATAGGCACACCCATGTACATGCGCGTGCTCGTAGCGTGGGCTGTACTCATTTCGGTAGTCTGGAGCTTTGGGCTACTCAAGGCCTGGTCTCGTCGCAACAATGAACTTAACCACATATGGGCGAACAACATTGAAACCAGCACGATCGTATATCGCAACCCAAACTTCCGCGGCGACGCGTTTGTTAATCCTGTTACAGGGCTACCTGATCAATACTATCCGAGCTGGAAAAGGTATCCGAAGTATTTGGCCGTAATCACCTTCATGATGGTGCAAATCTCGATCATGATGTTCATCATCGCTATTTGGATTACTGCATTTGAAGTGCTTAAGGTGCGTTATCCAGACAGTGGAATCTTCTCGGCGCAGTGGTTCTACATCTTAGGCGGCGGTATTTTGTACGGGTTGTTCGTGGATATTATCCAGTGGAGTGTGCTTGTGACGAAGGCCGCGCGTATGTTTACAGAGTGGGAAAACTGGAAAACGATTGAGCAGTTTGAAAAGTCGATGATACGCAAGCTGTTTCTCATGGATTTCCTCAATTACTACACGTGGTTCTTCCTGCTAGCTTTTGTGTACGTAATTCCAGGAGCTGGAGATACAATTACCAACTTTCTCAACACATTGATCTGGGAAGACCCAGCAAACTGCTGCTTCGGGCCGTACATGAATCGTTCGGGTGCTTATTGCGACTCTTGTCCACCAGCGTGGAATAAAATGGGTATTCGTGAAGCACGCTGCATTCCATGTCATGGATGGGTAACCTTTGACATCAACCACCTCGACTTAGAGACTCTTTTTCTCACACCCATCATTATTACTCAGTTGCTAAATTTACTCATTGCTGTGGTCGTCCCGTGGATTCATCGCAAGCACTACGAGCAGCGCCTACGTGGAACAGACCAAAAAGTGATGGCCATGGTCAAGGCTCAAGGAGAGCGGCATCTGCTAGCCAGAATGTCGTACCAAACTGAAGACTTTGACAACATGCACGGTCGTTCGATAAGTAGCAATACTGCTGCTCATGATGACAACCTCGCACATGTTATAAATCGGTCCTCGGCTCGGTTTCTAGAGAACAGCGAAGAGGAGATGAAGCTACTGAATGCAAAGGCGCGCGCGGTTTTGTTCGAGAGCGAGCAAAAGACTTATGATCCATATGATGACTACCACCACATGACGGTGCAGTTTGGCTTCGTGGTCATGTTTTCAATGCTATGGCCACTCATGCCTGCTGCTTGCATGCTTGTAAATGCACTCAAGACCCGTGGTGATGGCTTTCGATTATGCCGAACCAACCGACGCCCATTTCCACGCAAAGCCAGCGGCATTGGAGAGTGGAACAATATCCTTCACGCGATTGCTATTACGGGTGTGCTTGTCAACATTGGCCTTATCTTTATTTCCACTGGTGCCATGGAATTTTTCTCGCCGTCGTGTTCAAAGCAAATCACGTATGCTTTGAATAACGACTTCTCCCATTTTCGCTTTGGTCCGGATTTCGCTTGCGTCTCACTTACCACGCGCATGGTCATGATCCTCGTAAGTGAGCACATATCACTATTATTGATCTATTCATTCTGGAAAATCATTCGTAGCGTTCCAGCAAAGGTTCAGCTTGATATGTTGAGTCAGGAGTACGCCTTCAAGTCTCTCCTGTATCAACGTACGGTGGAAAAGTCAAGCATAAATACTGCGTCACTGTCAACTTCAGCTGCATCGTCAGTCCATGACAAGGAGTCATATACGACGTTCAAGACTAGAGGAATAAGTGGGTCAAGAACACCCATTGGCAGTACTTGCACCGGTTCAATCGAAGAGAAGGAGCCATTATTGGGCAGAAGGGACGTCTTTCGAGCCGATTTATGACTAATGAAAGGATTGACCTCATGATGGGGGGGGGTTGTCGTCTTGTTGTAGCCACAAGATCTTGTGTTTTTCTATATATTGTATTAGTTGATACAAACAGAGTATATGATTCCATAGAGTAAACCGTTTCATGCTCTATTTATACACAATAACCTCTTTATATTTAATACTGGACAAGTCAGTTGAGACCGTCAGCTTCACTCTGTACCGTCCACCTGACTTTCTTATTGCGCCGTCATTTCCGAAATATCAATAAGATGGCTATCCGTGCTCCCGTTCAGGTCCGTGGTGGTGGTTTTGGCCTTGATGCTGAACTTGCACGTAAAGCTGCTGAACGTTATGATTACGACATGGAGAACGAAGCGCGGGTGTGGCTCGAGACCATCTCGGAGATGCAGATTGGAGACGATTTTGGCGAAGGTTTACGTGATGGTATTATCCTCTGTACTGTCGCGAATAAGATTCATTCCAGTGTGATTAAACGCGTGGAGATCAAGTCGAAGATGCCGTTTAAGCTGATGGAGAATGTATCGGCGTTCCTTAAAGCTTGTCGCGTCATGGGTGTCAATGAATTTGATTTGTTTGAGACAGTGGATTTATTTGAACTCAAGGACTTGGGCAATGTGGTGCGCTGCATTTTTGCACTGGGTCGTGCTGTACAACGGAACTACCCGGAGTTTAAAGGTCCTACTCTTGGTGTTAAGGAGAGCAGCAAGAATCGACGCTCGTTTACATCTGACCAGCTCGCTGGTGGTAGAAACATCCCTGCACAGCAGACACTTGGTAGTTTTCGTACGATGAAGCGGCAGACAACGTCGTATACGAACAACGTCATGCTTGGAGCTGATGCTGCCCAGAGCGGGTACCGAGCACCTCCTCCTCCGCCACCTCCGTCGGCCGAGAAGATTGAGCAGTTGTCTCGATTCCGCAAGGATGATCAATTAGCACCATTCCATTCGCAGCCGAAGGGAAGAGCATCGCCTTTTAAGCTTGTACCAACGAAGGAGGAAATTGCGGCGACGGTTGCGGAGCTTTCAGATGAGGTAGACAAGACGTCCCTGAGCGAAAAGAAGGTTACGTTGTCAGCCTCAGGGCTGAAGAGCACAGCTGATTACTCTGGGCCTACAGCTGAAGAGGAAGCGCAAGAGTGGATTGAGGCGGTACTTGGCGAGAAATTTCTGGCGAGCTTTGCTGACAGCCTGAAGGACGGCGTGATGCTATGTACAGTAATGAACAAGATTAAGCCAGGATTCATTCCGCACATCCAGACGTCGACGATGCCATTCAAGCAGATGGAGAACGTCAGCAACTTTGTTCGCGCGTGCCGTAACATTGGCGTTGCAGAATTTGATCTTTTCGAGACGGTGGATCTGTACAATCAAAAGAATCTTGGACAGGTTGTACAGTGCATCCACGCGCTGGGCCGTACGATTCAGAAGACCATGCCCGAGTACGATGGCCCCCATCTTGGCGTCAAGGAGTCCACTGTGAATCTGCGTCAGTTCTCTGATGCTCAGCGACGTGAAGCTGTGTCAGCCGTGCCAGTGCTAGCACATGGCAGTCAGTCTGTTATGGAGCGACGTCCGTTTGATCACTCCGCATCGATCACTTTCCGCTACGACACAGCTGCCGCCGCTGCCGCTGCTGCTGACAAGATGAGCAGCGAAAAGACGTCATCGAAGTTGGAACCCGATACGGTTGAGCATGAAGCCCAGCCAGAAACCTCTGTTGAAGCTAAGCTTGCGAATACTGAAGCTGACGCCACGCCGGCTCATAAACTAGAGAGGACAGAATCTGAGATTGCGTCTGCGCCGGAGATGGAGGCTAAGAAGGAAGAGCCTGCAAAATTGCAGGAGTCTGCGCCGGAGACGGAGGATAAGAAGGAAGAGCCTGCAAAATTACAGGAGTCTGCACCGGAGTCAGAGGCTACGAAGGAAGAGCCTGCAAAATTGCAGGAGTCTGCACCGGAGTCGGAGGCTAAGAAGGATGAGCCAGCAAAGTTACAGAAGTCAAGCTGGCTAGCGCAGCGGGTTGCATCTTTGAATACGACGAACATTGGAAGCGCTGTGAAGTCGCGCCTACCTGTTGGAGGCTCAACTACAGCACTTCCGACCCGTACTGTCTGGAGCTAAGTTACTATATGCAAGCTGTCACGACTTTCGTTGGCTGGACTCTGATAGAAATTGCTTGCGTATGTAAGATACTCGACGACAGAAGTAGTCATGGTAAGTTTGCATTCTTCGTTAATTAATTTGCTCCGCAAGGAAACATGATGCAGCCGTCATGAATGTGTTGCATGAACGTGGTATATATGATTGTTTTATCAGTACAAGTCTGCCACTTCGGTGAGCAGACTCGTGCACGCTTTATCGATGCGTAGTTCGCACAGATCGTCAGCTCGCGTTGGTCCCAAGTTAACAATGGCAATAGGGACCTTGCGAGCATGTGCGTGATTGATCAGGCGCATTGCTGAAAAGACCTTTAGCGACGAGCCAACGACTAGTAACGCATTTGCATCGCTCACGCGCTCTAGCGCATTTATCCGAGTAGTTACCGGCATATTTTCACCAAAAAAGACGACTCTAAATGAACAGGTATAAACATTAACGTAAGATGCACAATAGGGAAAGAGACACATGATCGTAGGCATACCTTGGTTTCATGATGCCACTGCATTTGCTGCACCCTGGGTAGATAAACTCGTCGTAATTCCACGAGATATCAACATCTCCATCCGGATTCCCATGTTCACTGGATGCCACATCACCTGTCTCCTTGTCTGGGTTCTCCTTCAACAATTGAGCAACTTGTGGATTCAGCTCCTTTAAAACTTCTTGGTAGCTTTGACGAGACGTCACATCACCGCAACCCTGACACTCGACTTCGTACAGTGATCCGTGCATTTCGACGACACTGTGAGAACCACTTTTAATATGCAACCGATCCACATTTTGGGTCAAAATGCTTGAAATGGCGCCTCCACGTTGAAGCTCCGTCAGTGCATGATGCGACCCATTTGGCTGTGCATTATATATTTTGGGCCACCCAAAAAGACTACGTGCCCAATAGCGTTGACGATATGTATGAGCTCCAATAAACTATACGTATCCACGAATCAGATTCAGATGCAAGACATTAACTTCATTCAATAAAAGTACCAAGACATTAACTTAATTCAATAGTACCAACCTCTTGAAACTGAATTGGTCGAAAATCCTTATTGCGATTGTATACACCATTCGGTCCTCGATAATCTGGAATACCAGAATCCGTCGATATACCTGCTCCACTTAATACCAACGTCTTGCCACGACCAGCGTCTAGAAACTTGCGTAGTAGTGCAACATCGCCAGTGAGGGTGTCGTTTACGATCTTCTTAACTACGTTCATTTTTGCGTATGGTCGTCCTGTGTCCCAAAATACATAAACATATAGAGACTAATCTATTTAGAGATTAGAAATTGAAACTCAAATGATTAGTATTTCTTACACCAAAAATACGTAACTCTTTGAGCACGACCCCCCTCCCTCCCCTTCCTAACCTACTATAATGCATTTTGTCACTTATTTTCGTCACTCAGTTTACTCCCGACCAATTATATCAATATGGGCAAGAAATTAGGAGGTGCCAACACGAAAGTCGAAGCTGCTAAAGCCAAGAAAGCGGTCGTTAAGGCTACGAAAGATGCTGCAAAATCTACAGCAGACGCTGCTGCTGAAGCTGCAGAATGGGCCAAGGGTTCGGACACACGCGCAGAGCGAAAGCGTCAAGATGAAGAGCGAAAACGTGCAGAATTGGAAGCTAAAAAGGCTGAAAAACAAAAGCTCTTGGCAATGGAAGAACATGCATTGGAGGAAGACAAACACGCTATTCGTAAGCAAAAGAAGATGGTGAAACAGGTGGCAAAGCCGTGGGAAGAGGCACTGAAACCTACGGCCAAAAAAAACAATCGTGGCTCGAAAAAGCAGTCGAGCTTTGGAGGAAGTACTGAGAAGCTTACACAGGCTGAGATGGTGGCTCTGCGAGAGGCTGAAGAAACTCGAGTAGCTGGTAAACCAGGCAAAAAGACAATCAAATTTGAGAGCAATTTCCAGGCCAATCAGAACAGAAATCAGGACGGACTGACGGAGGCCCGAAGTCTGGATGCAGCGCTGGATCTGCTGACGGTGGGTGACAAGGAGGTAGAGAAGCACCCAGAACGTCGAGCAAAGGCGGCTTACAAGGCTTTTGAGGAAGTCATGATGCCACAGCTCAAAGAGGATTATCCGGGCTTGAAACTATCGCAGTATAAGCAAAAACTCAGCGAACTGGTAAGGTGGTGGTGATTGCTGTTAGAGGACTTCTTTATTGTGCTGATTCGTGCTCTTTTGTGCTTTTGTAGTGGCGCCGTTCTCCAGACAACCCGCTGAACCAGGAGAGTTTGGCTTACAATGCCAAGAAACAGTAGGTTGAAAGCACTAAATAGCTGTACAGAAGTGTAGATGCACGTCTGTATAGAAGACATCCTTTTTGAACACGGTGTGTTTTGACCTCCGACGCAATAAGCTTCCATATCCAATGTAACGTGATGTCACTAACAAGTGCTTCCAGTTGCTCGTTGCTGTCGAAGACCGGCAGTATTCACGAACACGATATTCCCACGCGTCTAGCACAATATCACACCATGATGGACATTCAACGTTAAGTCCAGACTAATTTATAAAGACCATCAAGTCGGTCTCGATCACTTCGTCTTGACGGTATAGTTGTCGTCTCTTTGACAAGCAAAGTAGATATGTCCCGATGCTGTCGTGCAGTAATGTACCGAATTCCGAATGGCTTTTCTTCTGGTCGAAACAGGACTTTCTCGATGATTTGAGGTTGGCATACGCCAACGAAGTCTGGCTGACTAGTATGTCTAATAAAGACAACAAGCACATGTGAAGCATTGTAAAACGCAATCAATAAATACTTGTTGCCGTAGCTATTCAAGCACTACACAACCATAATTTGAATTGCATTAGCAACTACTTGACACATTCTTTCAAAGATGCAAGCTTACATGTTTATAGAATCGACGTCGATCATCCGTCGCTCGCCATCGAATCACTTTATATTCCCCACCTCTTCACTTTTTAGACTGTTGGTGGGTTCTGCACCGATGTCGAGACACTTAATCCCATCGGTGGCAACGAGAATGCCACTGCTTTTTCTCTCAACTTCTTACTCACATTATTCCCTACTTTCCTCACTGCTTGTGCTCTTCCAAATAAAGCTTTAGGCACCGCTCTCGCTGCTGCTGCACCAATCGTCGCTCTCTGTCTCTTTAATCTCCCTCCATCCTGTTTCATTGAATCAGGTACCGATGTTTCTAACACCATCTGCAGTGCTTTATACTGCGTCTCAAAGAACACTTCAATCTCATCAGGTCCTAGCCCCATTCCTCTGTGCTGTGGGTCACCCCAATAGTTTCGTTGCCAAGCGTGAATAGCATTACCCCAAGCTTTACGTTCCCCCCACGTCGGTGCACTCATCACCAATAGCACAGGTGTCCCATAGACCAACACTCTTCCATCTCTTATCCTCGAACGCTGTATTCGTACTGAAAAACTGTATGGACAGCCACGACCGTCGAGATCGGAAATACCCCGTACTTTGAGTCTCGAGCGAGAGAGAAGAATTTCACGAACCATGACGCCACGATCTCGTTTCGTATAGAATTGAAGTTTTCCTTCACCTAAGACCCCATAATAAATTTGACTACGACGGCCTTCATCATGAAGTAACAAGAAACCCTCCTTTGACATTTCAGACGTTAAGAACTGACTGGTAATATTCTGGTCGATTAAAAAAAATTCTAAAATGGAATACATATGATAATCAAGAGAAAAAGAAGTAGGTCACGAAACCACAAAAAGGGTCATATTCGTCCAATCACGTTTGACTACGAGGAAGGAGAGTATGAAGGGGAGACCTGCTGTACTTTTGCTGCTATTATGCGTCTATAGTATGACGGATGCACTGTATTTTAATGTACGACAAAAGGTAAAAAGCTTTTAATTGAATATGGTCATGAATATCTTGAATCGGAATATGTTTTTATGATACATTTATGATGGCAGGACGATCGTTGTTTTCTAGTGGATGTTCCGGCCGAAACGACAATTCGAGCCGAGTATGAATCTCCAGATACGACTGATGTGATGGTAAATATATGTGAAGAAACGAGGAAAATCAAGAAATGAGGATTTATTTGAAAATTATGTGAGTGTAGAAGACAATACTAGCGTTCTATGCTCCAAATTTGAGCGAGAGGAAGGATCAAAACACCTTGGTGAAGAAGAAAAGTACGAGCCAAAAGGTTGGTGTGTTGCTGCATTACTTTACAAGAAGACTGTGTATTGTTATCGTTATGTAATTGTGTATTGATGATGCAGGGTTCCATGTCGTTCACAGCGCAGCAGAACGGGATCCATTCGGTTTGTGTTAGTCTTGACACATCAAATTACGCCCTGCCTAAGGATGCGTCAATGGTATAGTATTGAGCTTTAGGATTCAGTCTATGGTATGGATGATTACTTACTAAAATGCGGGTATGCTGGCTAGCGATTTACGCTGAAATTAGTGATGGGCACGAGCCACGAGGAATACCAGAATCTCGCAAAGAAAAACCAGGTGGATGATCTTCATTTGGACATTATGAAATTGCGCGACCGTATGACGGCTATCCAGCGCAATCAGGACTATGCCCAGGTTGGATGTTTACTATACTAGGGAGAGTATTGTCGGAAATGCTTTTGCAAGGAGCTAACGTGTCTTTGGTTGTCCTGTTGTCTTGCCGGCTAAACAGAATAAAAGCTTGACGCTACAATCTTCGATCGAAAGCAACAACCAGCGCGCCACATGGGTTTCGTTGTTGCAGGTGAAGCTCCATTTGAACTTGTCGTTTGCGTCGCATTCTGTTGATCATTCTTATGTATAACACTGGGCTGTCGTAGATTGCTATCCTGCTTGTGGCCAGCTTCTATCAGGCGAGATACCTCCAAGCATACTTCCACAAGAAGAAGCTTGTGTAAATCGCAACATTGAAGGTCCTGCGCTTCGTACCGAAAACAAGCACTGCCCGAATCTTAGTGCAGTCTTGCTCACGTGAACTTGAAAGTACAAAGGGTGAGGTCATCGTTTTGCAAGCTACAACAGTATGAATCGGTGGCTTCTATTGTGCTATCAAAAGTAAGCTGACAGTGCCTGAAGCTACGTTTAAGAATCAAGGTTGCAAGTGCATTTGTTTGACCCACTCAAGCTTTCAAGTTTTGATTGACTTTGACAGAGAGTTAGTAAACGTTCACTTTCTCGGCAAGACTATTGCATTGTCAACCTTCTTCTTGGGCGCTAGAAAGCATTAGTACCAATATCCTGACCACAAAGAACAATGTCCGATCATGAAGGTACAACAATCACGTCACTTCAGACCGAAGAGGTTTCTGAAGATGGTTTTGCAGTGTCTCTTTGTATCTCTTGCTGTAGTGACAATTGCATGGCATTTTGAATTCTACGGCAGTCTGTTGTATACGGGATCGAGTAATCCACAAACGAGCCTGTCAAAACAATCACCACCACCACAAGTCAAATTATTAGGTGTTTCCCATCCAAAACTGCTTCATTTGTGTACCACAACGGACCTAAGACACCCAAAATAGCAAAAGGTTTGTAGGATTTCCGCTGGATACTAATAGGAATGCCAATCAAAACGCCAGCAATACAACACTGTCACAAGAGCAGCACGTTAACGTTATGATTAAAAACAATACACTACATAAAGTACGAGGAAAATTGGGTACCAGGATTTGACGATTAATCATGCAGGAGGTAAGCATTTGCTGTAGCTGTGCTGAGTCTTCATTGCCCTTAGGCTGCAAACTCTCGTCGTTGCGCTTGAGGAACATCTTTGTGTCGCAAATTAGTCTTGTTTTGTGCCGAGGACCCACGAATTTGTGGCTATTTGCAACATGGTCCTATTATTGAAAGCAAAAAAAAAGTCTCGATTGGACCAAATTTGTGATAAATCGGTGTATGAAAATACTATCCTGACTAGGCTTTTTTAAAATAATGCACCCAAATTTCCGCATAATGTAAGACAAATTATCGTAATATTCCTTTGTAAAGCAAAAAGTTAGACAGGAGGTACTACTAATACTTCCAGCGATCAAGTTCTTGTGCATATCAACACTTCCTCAGCTGGTTTTGAACTACGCCAGCAGTGCAATTGCCGAATACTGACTCGTACGGAGTTCAGTACTTGACGAAAACGCAACTTAAAAGTAATACGCCAAGTCAGATTGCATGACGTTACTATCGAGAATCATGGGCGTACGTTCAATATCTCTCTCAATCGGAGTCAAAATCGGAGTCGGAATCGTCATATCTGTGTACAGGAGGCGGTGGTAATTCTCCAACTGGTCGAGATGAAGGCGGGGGTGGTAACCCTGGAGGAAGCGGAGGTTGACCAGAGTCTGTCGTTGGAGTAGCCAAAGATGCACCAGTCGCGTTTGGAGACGGTCCTTCTGAATCCATGCTGCAGTTTAGCAACAAGAAATGCATTATTAGCTGATAAGAAGTCTCAGCGATTATTCGCAATCCACGTACTTGAGAATATCCAAAGTAACGCCGTCCATCATGAGTTTGTGCTGAATCAGGCTATCTGGCATCCCCAACTTTCGCATTTTAAAGTATCTGCAACAGACATAGGTCATCATATCAAGATAAGACATATGCTTTATACTTTCCACTCGAGCACAACGTCCACTTACTTTGCAAAAGCAGGATCATCCTTTAGTTTCATTACACCAGGTTCGACAGCAGCTGGTGGTGAGTCGTCGTCTGCATCAAATTCTTCAATATCATCATCGCTAGAGCTCTCCATCTCACTTTCAGGTAGAGCTGGACGACCAGCTGAAGATGGTGGGGGAGGTGGCGGTGGAGGTCCATCACCGAAGAGCAAGGCCGATTCACCGGTAGAAAACTACAGTCCACATCAAAATAGAAATCAAAAAGTGCCAATAAAATAGCAACGTTATACAACACACAGTATCAACAAACCGTTGGAGAAACTGGTGGTCCTGGAGATGGAAATGGCATGCCAATATTTGTCGACGGAGGATGTTGTGCATTTCTCGGCTCGAATAATGATGGCGGTGGGGATGGTAGAGGAGGTGTTATTCTCTCATCGTCCCAGTCACTCTCCTCTATTGACCTTGGTGGCGCTGGTGGCATAATCGGTAATATCGGGCCCGATGGTTCCAAGTCCATCGTCGGTGCCAATCCCCCACTCGGCGATGGTCCTTCTGGGTCCATCTTCAGAATGTTGGTATCCATACCGTCCATCAGTAATTTGTGTTCAATGACCTGATCTGAGATACCTAATCTCCGCATTGTAAAGTATTTGGCATAAAGTGGGTCATCCTTCAACTTCAACATTAAAGGACCATCACTCTTTACTTCAACTTCATCATCATCATCAAAGTCTCCCATGGACGACGGAGGTGGAGGTGACATTGATCTTTCCGGCGAGGATGGATCAGGTGGGGAGGAGGAGGAGGCACGACTAGAGCCATCTCCATTCCGTCCATTGAGGGCGGAGGTGGAGGTGGCAGTGGTGCCATTTCAACAATAGCAGACCCATTTTCATCTGGAGGAGGTGGTAATGGTATCCCATTGGCTGCTGCTGTTTCCTCCGTAGAAGGCAAGTCTTGATCTGATATACCTAAATCTATCTGATTCGTATTCAGATTTAGATTTCCATCTGCAGCTGCTGCCACTTCTGCATCTGTCACACTCAGATCTGGAATGCTATTTAATTTAGTTTCTAAAATAGCCAATAAGATCTCGACTCGAGTGACATTATTAGAAACGTGTGTGATTCGTTCTTCACATTCGTGCGCAAAATGGTTCAAGAATCGCGTTGTATTGGCTACAAAATTGTTGATTAGCAGGAGTGACTTGGCTGCGGGTATCGAAGGAAGTTGTGAAAGATCAATAGGCAGTTCCACTTCTTCTTCAGGTGGAGCGGGTGCAGGTGAAGTGGACACCACAAGCGCAGACGAGGTCGACATTTGTGACATCCGTTTGGGATTGAATAATGGGAAACGCAGCCAATCAGAAGCGACGATGTTTTAATGCTAAAAAGTAGATCTTGAGTGATAAAAGGTATCAATTAGTTGTTATCGACAGCTATTTCTTACAGTGATACGGTTACTAATTCTCTTCATTATCAGCTTAAAACATACCTCATCACGCTGGTTGGAAATAATGTAGGCATACACTACGAAGATTGCTTCGCTGTGGCCATTTTGAATACCTTATTCTGATATGAATAGCAAAATTCCCCTTTGTAACTGGTGATGGTAAACTCTGAGTACCTATAAACAGTGTTATTAGCTATACAGAGATAGTTGAGTATGCAACATGCTGCTCCCTAAAAGTAACCACACCAGGAGATGTGGGCTAGCCGTACGAGTGTGACAAAAGCTACAACTCATTACAACTCGCTCTGTGATTGGATGTTCGACAACAATCGTAGATGGACACACTAGAAAACTCGCTTATGACTCTTTGTTTCTACGAATATGACAACGATGTATCTTGTAATGATGTTTGCGAACAATAAGTCGATGCAAAATTACCAGTGAGGCCGTTCCAAATGTCAATTAACACCAGCAAGTCCACCTGGTAGATGATGTACTCATTACAACGAATTACTAAGCACACTATATGTATCTTCACGCTATTTGTATCTATCAACCTCTCGACTAAGATAATGCGCGGGGTTTTACTTATCATGCACGAGGTTAGCAACGCAAACAATCATTTAAACCAGCAAGAATATGATGTCGCATTCTCGTCTTGCAGTAGAATAGAATATCTTCACAGTGGGATACGGAATTACGGCTGCAATCACTTACTATATTCCTCGGAAACGATCTTTGCGATCGTGGTGAGCTGCATGTTGCTTGTGCCTTCGTAAATAGCTCCAATCTTTGCATCGCGGTAGAATTTTTCCGCAAGCAAGTACTTTGTAAAACCAATTCCACCAAGCATTTCGATGCACTTTGACGCAGTCTTCTCTGCTACTCGTGAGGCGTGAAGTTTGGCCATGGCAGCCTGCTTGACGAACGGGAGGCCAGCATCCTTGAGCCGAGCAGCGTTGTACACCAGCAAACGCGTCGTTTCTATATCCAATGCAGCCTCCGCGTACTGGTGCTGCATCGCCTGAAACTCTCCAATCGGCAATCCAAACTGATGCCTCTCAAACAAGTACGGAAGTGTTTGATCATAGACTCCCTGCGCTAGTCCCAGCATCTGCGACGCAATGCCAATGCGTCCTTCATTCAACGTGCTAATTGCAATCTTATAACCCTTGCCAAGTTCTCCCAAGATATTCTCCCGCGGGACCTTTACATCCGTTAGCGTCACAGGACACGTTGACGACGCACGGATGCCTAGCTTTTCCTCTGGCTTGCCAATCTCCAGTCCTTCCATTTCTCGGTCCACAATGAAACACGTAATACCCTTGTACCCCTTAGACGGGTCGACATTGGCGAAAACCAAGTAGACACCCGAATACTCTGCGTTCGAAATCCACATTTTCTGTCCTGTAATCGAGTAGTAGCTCCCATCCGTCGACACTTCTGCCTTTGTTTTCAATGCAAACGCGTCACTTCCAGATCCTGCCTCACTTAGACAAAAACTTCCAATCTATACGACAGAACGAAGAATCCTACATCAGTACGGTTGTCATCTCTTTACAACGTAAGGTACTGATTCCCACGTTACCATGTCCGTACTCAGCCTTGGCAAATACTTTTCCTTTTGCTCTTTCGTCCCATGCATCTACATCAACAAAGATTCAGCCACTAAAAACACTTACTACAACGTCCAATGTAATCTTACCAGGAAGACGTTATTCACGACAGTGTTCTGCAAATCAACGAGTAGCCCCACGACCGGGTCTACCTTTGACAACTCTTCTATAGTCAGACAGAGACTCATGAAAGAGGCCTCACTGCCTCCAAATTCCACTGGGATCTCCACTGACAACAGTCCATTCTCAAAAAGTCCACGTGTTATCGAATGGTCCATCTCTCCTGCTGTGTCCATGGCACGGACTTTAGGACCTACAACGTCAGCTGCAAACCTCGCCACAGTCTCTTTAAACATGGTCTCCTCCTCTGAGAGCTGCGTAAGCGGAGCCATGGATGACTCAAAGCGACGACCCCGAAACCACGTGATGTGGCTACGCCGCAAAGCGTGTGAATAACGTTGAATAGAAGACCGCATGGCAAGAGTGATGGTCACTTGCGCTGAATGCGGCAAATTCAAGACTGATGATGGGTGTGTGCAATTGCAACTTCAACTTCAAGTTAGTCCAACGAATTTGATTGGATGCAGTAATCAGCCCCCCTTCAACTCTATCCCTCGCTCGAGTGACATTTTCTATGATTTTTATCATAGCCCCATAATCCGAAGCAATATGCGCGAGAAAACGCTACTTGATGTTGAGGGCGGTCTGTCAGAGTCTGTTCCACTCACTCTCGACTCTGATTTTGAAGAAACGGGTTCCAGTTCATCTGTTGTGATGGCGTATGCTCGATCGCTGGATCTACAGCCTCCACTCGTACTGATCTCGATCCTAGGAGCTCTTTTGCTGCTATTTGGTGGTACTTTTCGTCCTATTTTCCTTGTTTTTACCATTTGTGGCTATGGTGTTGTCTTCTCTCTCTATTTGTCGCATTGGGTACTATTAAAAGACTCTGGAAGTACTGAAATGAAAGAAGTTGCAATTCCTATTCGTCAAGGAGCTGAAGGATTTTTGAAGATTCAATACACGTCTATTGCTCGTATGGCAGTGGTTATTTCAGGCTTAATCTTCTTTAGTTATGCACTACGACCCAGTAGTACACTGAGTTCGGGTGTTGAGAAACTTGACAATTTTACACTTGGTATTGTCTCGTCTGTGGCTTTTCTTGTGGGTGCAATATGTTCGGCTGCTGCTGGATATGTGAGCATGTGGGTCTCAGCACGATCTAATATTCGAGTCGCAAGTGCTGCTCGTAGCTCATATGGAGCTGCATTGCTAGTGTGTTTCCGAGGTGGAGCTTTCTCCGCCGTGCTGGATATTACGCTCTGTGTGGGTGGAGTGAGTACACTCTACATGACGCTGTACATGCTGTTTGGATCATTACTACTTCCGACGGAGATCCCGTTGCTTATGGTCGGGTACGGGTTTGGTGCGTCGTTTGTGGCACTGTTTATGCAACTTGGTGGAGGAATATACACTAAAGCAGCAGATGTCGGAGCTGATCTGGTCGGAAAAGTCGAAGTGGGCATTCCAGAAGATGATCCACGCAATCCGGCAGTGATTGCTGACCTTGTGGGAGATATGGTGGGTGACTGTGTTGGCAGCAGTGCTGATGTGTTTGAGTCTGTTGCTGCTGAGATCATTGGTGCTATGATTTTAGGAGGCACGCTGGCACGTGAAGCTCAGCTGCCGAATTCAGTCACCTTTGTCTTCTTTCCCGTGGTCGTACACGCTTTCGACATTGTTGTTAGCAGTGCCGGTATTTTGATGGTGAGAGCACCTTCAGATGTCGAAGCTTCGCGTCCTAATCACAACCCGATGGCTACGTTACAGACCGGCTACAATGTGTCTCTTGCTCTGGCGTTAGTTGGGTTTGCCGTCACAACGCGTTGGCTGCTTTACACGCCTGAACACCCGACGGCATGGATGAACTTTTTCCTCTGTGGAGTTGTCGGTATGCTTACGGCCTTTGTATTCGTCAAGTCGACGCAGTATTACACTGACTACGCTCATCCGCCTGTGCGGAGCATTGCTAAGGCCAGCACCACGGGTCATGGCACCAATATCATTACCGGCGTGGCTGTCGGCATGAAGTCTACCGTTGTACCCACGCTCATGGTGAGCTTTGCTGTAATTGCAGCCTACCACTTGGGTGCCAGCTCTGGTATTGGTGGCCAGGGCAGCCGCCACGCTGGTCTGTTCGGAACCGCAGTGGCAACCATGGGCATGCTTTCCTCGGCGGTGTTTGTACTGGCTATGAACAACTACGGCCCCATCGCCGACAATGCGGGAGGTATTGCCGAGATGAGCCGTCAGCCTGACTACGTACGCGATGCCACGGACAAGTTGGACGCTGCTGGTAATGTCACCAAGGCAATTACCAAGGGATACTCAATCGGGTCGGCCGCTTTAGCTTGTTTCGTGCTGTTCGGCGCTTTCATGGATGAGTTCTCGGCATTTGCTGGGCGCGAGTTCAAGACGGTGGATATTGCTACAGTCGAGGTTCTGGTCGGTGGTCTCCTGGGTACGATGATGGTATTCTTCTTTACCGGTCTAGCTGTTGCGGCTGTGGGTGAGACTGCTGGAGAGGTTGTAAACGAGGTGCGCCGCCAGTTTGAGATGTATCCGGGTATTATGGAGTACAAGGAGAAGCCAGACTATCGCAGGTGTGTTGCACTCGTCACTACGGCTGCTTTAAAGCAGATGCGTTTCCCTGGTCTACTGGCTGTGCTCATGCCAATCTCAGTCGGGATTGTCTTCCGTGCGGTATGTTGCTTTGATTTTGTAGTCAACGATGTCCGAAGTGCTAATAGTTGTGTTTGATTATGACGCCTGATGTACATGTAGATTGGCGAGTACCTGGGCAAGCCGCTGCTCGGAGCTGAGGTTCTTGCTGGCTACCTCATGTTTGGTACGGTGACTGGCATTATGATGGCCTTGTTCCTGGACAACGTTGGTGGTGCTTGGGACAACGCCAAAAAGTGCGTCTGCTGCTTTGTGTTTGCATTGAGGTACATTGTTCACTAAGCTGTTTTTGGCAAACGACAGGTATGTCGAGCTCGGAAACTACGGAGGCAAGGGCAGTGAGGCCCACAAGGCTGCTGTCACTGGGGACACTGTGGGTGATCCGTTTAAGGACACGGCCGGTCCGGCGCTGCATGTCGTCATCAAGCTGTTGTCCACGACGGTGCTGGTGTTTGGTCCGCTGTTCGTTTCGCGCGAGTAGGGCTGCACACGCATTTGTGGCATCGTGTGCCGTGAACTGGCGACATGATCAAAATCTACTCACACAGACCCACTGAATCGTCGAACAGGAGGTTTCAGTGTGCTTAGCGTTCTTGATTAAGATCAGCATAACAAGTGTTCGTTTTTCTTGCTTCTCCTGCGATGTTCATGCATGCTAGAAGTGCTACCCACTTCATTCTATGCCATTCCTCTTCATTCTGGTGGCATTCATACCTCTTTACCATCTAGCGAGTGAAGTGTATATGAGTCCATATTGATTAAACGATTACGTCGATCTATAAAGAGAGAGCAAGAAAGCCTTTCTATTTTTCTGTGGTTATTCAAACTGCAGAAGATGCGTCACTCGACACTCAAGTGCATCGAGCTAGATCGCAGAATCACGGAGAAAAGAATAAAGGAAGAAGCAATCAGCACTGACCACGTAATCACCGAGGAACTTGTCCGTAGCTTATTTCTTCTTGGCACCGCCCTTAGTGGTCGGGTCCTTCTTGTTCACCGACTTAATGACGCCGACGGCAACCGTCTGACGCATGTCACGCACGGCGAAACGGCCAAGAGGAGGGTACTCCTGGAACGACTCAACAGTCATAGGCTTCGAGGGCTCAAGGATGACCATGCAGGCATCGCCCGACTTCACGAACTTAGGAGCAGTCTCAAGCACCTTGCCCGAACGACGGTCCATCTTCTCAATGATCTCTTTGAACTTGCAGGCAACGTGGGCAGTGTGGCAGTCAAGCACTGGCGAGTAGCCGTTACCGATTTGGCCAGGGTGGTTCAGCACAATCACCTGGGCCGTGAAGTCCTGGGTGCCCTTAGCAGGGTCGTTCTTCGAGTCCGAAGCGACGAAACCACGACGCAGTTCCTTTACCGACACGTTCTTGACGTTGAAACCAACGTTGTCACCAGGAAGAGCCTCCGGCAAAGACTCGTGGTGCATCTCAACGGACTTGACTTCCGTCGACAGACCAACGGGACCGAACGTAGCGACCATACCAGGCTTAATGACACCAGTCTCAACACGGCCAACCGGTACCGTGCCAATACCGCCAATCTTGTACACGTCCTGAAGAGGTAGACGAAGAGGCTTGTCCGACGGGCGCTTAGGCGCGTTTAGACTGTCAAGGGCCTCAAGGAGGTAAGGTCCCTTGTACCACGGCATGTTTGCGGAGCGGTCAATCATGTTGTCTCCTTCCCATCCAGAGATAGGCACGAATGGGATCTTGGCAGGTTTGTAGCCAACCTTCTTCAGGTAAGTAGTAACCTCGGCCTTAATCTCCTCGTAACGAGCCTGGCCGTACATGACAGACGAGTCGTCCATCTTGTTAATAGCCACAACCATCTGCTTCACACCAAGCGTAAAGGCCAATAGAGCGTGCTCACGTGTCTGGCCTTCCTTGGAAATACCAGCCTCGAACTCACCAACACCTGAAGCAACCACTAGAATGGCGCAATCAGCCTGCGACGTGCCCGTAATCATATTCTTGATAAAGTCACGGTGACCAGGAGCGTCAATGACCGTAAAGAAGTACTTGGGCGACTCAAACTTCCACAGAGCAATATCAATCGTGATACCACGTTCACGCTCGGCCTTGAGGTTGTCGAGCACCCACGCATACTTGAACGAAGTCTTACCAAGCTCAGCAGCTTCCTTCTCAAACTTCTCAATCGTACGCTTGTCGATACCACCACATTTGTAGATCAAATGACCCGTAGTAGTCGACTTACCAGCGTCGACGTGGCCAATCACGACCAGTGAAATGTGAACTTTTTCTTTGCCCATGGTGAATGTACCTGAGATATCAAAGAACAACGTAAGCAAGAGTGATGGTCAATCCATGTTAAAATATCTCGTTGCAGGCGTACCTTCTTCTCCGCAGAATGGATAATGATTGCGGCTCCAAAGAGGGGGCTCTTGAATGGATGGCGCAGGAACGTTTTAAGATATTGCAATTCTAGACTGAGGTTTTATACTTTTTGCCAATTACTGCAAGATTGCGCGAGTTTCGGGTTGGTTGCATTTACAATAAAACCTCTTATAAATTGTAAGGAAAGAACGGGTACACAAGAGCTCTTTGCCACTTCAACATGCAGTTGCCTATTTTTTAGAATCGTGAAACGTCACTGAATTCAAGTGGCGGCATCATCTGTACAATGTGGGCCACATGGCAATTCAGAGCAGCCATATAAGCGACGGGCAAGTTTGACAAGATGATTTAATGCTATTGTTACGCATATTCACTTGCTGCACACAATACTGCTGCTTCCTTTCGACAACAGATCAACTCGTACATGGTAACAATTGTCCTAGTTGCTGCAAAGATAGAATACTTAGTTGTGCATAGTCTCCAGGTACTCCTTGCACTCCGCCATCTCCTGCGCCCGACGAGCCTTCGACCAGTCGAGCAGTTCACCCATCATGTGCACCACACGCGGCGCCATTTCCATGCCCACACCGCTGTCAATGAAGGCCAAACGCATACGACGACCAAGAATGTCTGTTGCCTTCTGGGCGTACTCCTGTCGCACAGCAAACACGACCTCGGCCTCCAGGTAAGGGTACTTTGGGTGCAGACGGCGCGGGTGGTCACTTCGCTTGCGGTCCAGGAAGCCAGCCTGCTCGATCTCGGCGACCTGTAGAGCGCGAGTGCCGTAGTTGCGCATCAAGTGCTCAGCAATCTCCTTGTCCAAATTGTAATTCTCACGCAGGGTGACAGTGATCTTGTCAAACTTTTTATTGCAGACCTCACCAAAGCGGTCGGCACCAATGATGCCCACGTCCTTCGTCTTGCAAGGCAAAGCCTTGGCCTTAATCTCCGGGACGGTCTCCACCAGCTTGTCAATCGCATCCTGAGCCATACGACGATACGTGGTCCATTTCCCGCCAGCAATCGTCACCATGTTTGACTCCGACACCTCAACAACGTGCTCGCGCGAGATCTTGGCCGTCGAGCCATCCGTGTGACGCGGGTCCTTAACAAGTGGACGAATACCCGACCACGCCGACTTGATGTCATTGCGCGTGACTTCCTTAGCAAGGTAGCGGTTTGCCTCATTAATGATAAAGTCGACCTCATCCTTCGTAGGCGACGGCAACATCGTGATCTCCGACTGTGAGTCCGTCGTTCCAGCAAGCGTTCCATTCTCCCACGGCAAGAAGAACAGTACACGACCATCGCTCGTTTTGGGCACAATCAGTCCCATACGGTTAGGACTGAAGTGGTCCGGAAGCACTGTGTGTACTCCTGCAGCAGGCACGCAGATCTTTTCCTTTTCGGGGTCATCCATCTGACGGAGCGAATCGGTGAATGGACCTGTAGCGTTTACGACGGCGTGGGCCATGACATCCCATTCCTCACCAGTTAGAGTGTCCTTCACGTGGGCGCCACGCACTTTGCCCTCGTCGTCCTTGAGCAGACGCACCACCTTGACGTAGTTGGCCACTGTTGCTCCGTTCTGCGTCGCCGTAAGTGCAATCGACACGTTCATACGCGTATCGTTCATCTGTCCATCATAGTAGACAATGGCGCCTTTTAGTCCCTCCTTACGGAGCATGGGGAACTGAAACATGGCTTCCTCAGCGTTAATATAGTAGCTACCAGGTACGAAGCGCTTGCTACCGGCTACAATATCATAGGCCTTAGCACCCACCCACATATAAGGCACCTCCCACCACTTGTAGATGGGGATCATAATGGGCAATGGCCGGTTCATGTAAGGCGCGGCTGAGAGGAAGAAAGAGCGCTCCTCGAGTGCCTCGTTCACTAGCTTAAATGCGGCATAATCAAGCTTCAAAAAAGCCGTCTCCAAGTAGCGGATACCGCCGTGGATGAGCTTTGTCGAGCGACCCGACGTGCCAGCGGCAAAGTCACTAGCCTCCACTACCGCCGTGTTAAGACCGCGTGTGGCTGCATCCAGCGCACAACCAGAGCCAGTGGCACCACCACCAATTACAAGCACATCAAATTGCTCTTTCTTGAGACGATCGAGCTGTACTGCACGCGACGGTGTTTCGTACGGAATGATGGTCGATCCATCCTCACATTGAATAGGTGCGACAAGACGCTGTGGTTCTTTGGCTGATACAATGGCGGATCCTGCGAAGCCGACGACACCTGCGCCCAGGCCAAGCACCACGCGCTTCGAGACGCGGCGGAATGCAAAAGACGCCATGCTATTTATTGGATGTGGTTGGGGGTAGTCAAGTCAAGATACCGGAGCTGACGACGTTCGTTGACGTGCGCTTGAGACGGCAAAATACAAAGTGAGCCAGCGCGGAGATTCGAAGGATGGGATTGGTGGAAAATTCGAATCGGAGCAAACGGATTGGTCGGATGAAAGCGATAGCAGGATGTGTGTGAGCTGAGCTGTGCATAGACGATTACGGTTGTTGACGGGTACAAGGCGTAATGTAATGTCGGCTAAATTGATGTCGTTCTAGGGCGTTAACAAGCAATATTGTGATAACCTTTGATCGTAAAATAGTTGGTTTAGTATCTTGAGAATTGTATGCTTCGGTGAAGACACCTACTGTCAGTATTTCATAGCATAATCTTGCAACTAATTGAGCTATCAAAGTCATTTGCAGAGTTGCAAGAGCGAGGACGTTCATAGAGTAAGTTTTTTACTCTGTCTTGGTCAAGAGACTAAGGCGATTACAGCGATGGCTAGTGCAAATGAAACTGCAAGGTGTTTGTTTGTCGCGGCACGTTGTTTTGATGAGACTGCTCCCGTTGAGGCACTACCAAATACGCCAGTGATGGCATCAGCTACAACGTCATGCTAAGCCCTTGGTTTTGTCGGTTTAAGTGTAACGATCATAGGTTGATGCTATACAGACCGCCTCATTTCAATGCTAATTTTACGACTGAAAATACAAAAATAAACATAAAACCGCTAAAACGCTTTTCTGACAATTGAGGGTTTTTTCATCAATTTTACAAAAAAGCACTTGCTTGAAAAAGCATAATTAATTTAGCTCAACGAGAAAAAATTCATTTCTCGTTTGCAAATTTTCGAAAAAAAAACCGCTCTTTCGACCAATCATCGTTTGTCATTTAGTAGATCTGACGATGTTGCGGCGGACGGCCAAGTCTCTGGCTGACTCACGCCTCTTACGATCGCTATCGCTAAGTGCTTTGTCCTTCAGTACAATCTCTGTAGGTGTGGGTACGATTGCACTATATGTGGACGCACCAGTAGCGGATATGGGGGATGGCAAGTACGACGGTGGACGACGGGCCGAGGTCTTCCCTAAATGGCTACATGACGTGGCACGCGTCCCCCTCTTTGCTGCTGCAACACTCGGATCCAAGTTTTATTTGTCAGTCATGAATCAGACAAAGGTCGAAGGCGTGGAGCTCCTGATTCAGCAACTGGAACAGCGGCCAAAGGGGACGGCAGTCATTACCGTGTCGAATCATTCAGCTACAGTGGACGATCCTGCTGTTTTTGCCAAGTAATGAGACTGTGTATAATTAATTGAAGGAATGAGATGAAGATCTGATTGAGAAACGATTGTATGTAGTATGATGCCGTGGAGGTATGTGTGGCCATGGAAAGGACGTTGGAGTTTGGCCAGGTGAGATGAGATGATCTTCTAATTGTGCTGTGGTGCTGGACTTTCAATTGATGCTCTTGGACTTTTTGTTGTTGGTAATGTTGTGGTTGTTAGTCAAGAATATTGTTATACAAAGGGAAAACTGGTTTCAGCGTTGTTTTTTGGGGCCAAGACATTACCAGTGAAGCGTGGTGCTGGCATTGACCACCAGGTACTTGCCCTCTTTCTTGTTGCCTTGTGGTTGATTGAAAGAGTGTCTTAGTTACAACTTTACAATCTTTACGGTCCGAATAGATGATTCAAGCTATATTTGATAAGTTGGAGGAAGGCTCGTGGGTTCATATATTCCCCGAAGGGAAGATCGTGCAACATGAAGGTGAGTCGGATGCAATACCCGTCATTTATTGCTTGATATGCACTAAACGTTGCAACTGTAACGGTATTGCATTTCCAATTGCTAGCACTCGGTGGCAGACCAAGCCCTCGTCGCGAGGAGATTGGACGTTTAAAGTGGGGCGTGGGCAAACTCATCGCACGTGCGACCAAGCGGCCAATTGTGGTGCCCTTGTACCATTACAACATGGAGCAGCTCATGCCGCAGGACGAGAACAATTCGCTAATCAGCGTCATGCCCCGCACGAACCTCAACCTCCGTGTGATCGTTGGTGAACCACTGTCATTTGACGACCTGTTTGAGCGGTATGCAGATGACCACGTAATAGGTGCCTCTCCATGGGAGACGCAGGAGCGTGAGAAAGCGCTGTACTCGGCCATTACGCGGAGAATAGAAAATGCGCTACTAGCACTTGAGAAAAAGCTGCACCAATAGACAGACAGACTCGACGCCGAAAAAAAAGTCGCAGGACGTCATGTCCCTCTGATACTTGTTATTATACCCTGAACCTTTCCGCTGCTCATGTCATTTTTGAAAATTCAAGGCTACAAGCCAATCAAAAGGTCCAGACGTTTGCCACATATTTGCCACATCAACTCTTTTTTTTCGAAGGGGAAGGATATTTTTTTTGCTCAAGGTCGTTGTTTCGTCTCAATCAGGATGAGCTCAACTCCCTTTGACTTGTCCATTGAGACGCTTGATACCTGGTGTGAAAAGTTATTGGGTTGTAATCCATTAACGGAGAATGAAGTAATGCAATTATGCTCAAAAGCAAAGGAAGTACTTGTACAAGAGTCAAATGTACAGCCTGTTCGATGCCCTGTGACAGTTTGTGGAGATGTTCATGGTCAATTTCACGATCTGATGGAATTGTTTCGTATTGGTGGCCATGCACCCGATACTAATTATCTATTTATGGGGGATTATGTTGATCGTGGGTATTACTCGGTTGAGACTGTCACCTTGCTCGTGTGTCTGAAAGTACGATACAAAGACCGAGTCTTTATCTTACGTGGGAATCACGAAAGTCGTCAGATTACACAAGTTTACGGCTTTTATGATGAGTGTCTACGTAAATACGGTAGTCCAAATGTATGGCGGTACTTTACTGATGTTTTTGATTACTTGCCACTTACGGCAGTGGTTGAAAACCAAATCTTTTGTCTTCATGGTGGACTCTCGCCGTCCATTGATACACTTGACTACATTCGTGGTTTTGATCGACTACAAGAAGTGCCACATGAAGGGGCCATGTGTGATTTGTTATGGTCGGATCCAGATGACCGATCGGGGTGGGGCATCTCACCGCGAGGAGCGGGGTATACTTTTGGACAGGATATCTCGGATCAATTCAATCATGCCAATGGCCTGACGCTCATTGCGAGAGCACATCAGTTAGTCATGGAAGGATACAACTGGTCACACAAATGCAATGTCGTGACGATCTTTAGTGCACCCAATTACTGCTATCGCTGCGGCAATGAGGCGGCCATTATGGAAGTGGACGAACAGATGCAGTACACATTGTACGTAATGGATAGTTGGTGGAAGAGACAGGTTGGGTGAGTGATTTGGTACTTACTGTATTGGTGTTGTTCTCTTGTGACTTGTGCAGCTTACAGTTTGACCCGGCTCCTCGTCGTGGAGAGCCTCACGTGTCACGCCGGACGCCTGATTACTTTTTGTAATCATGCGACGGATGTGAGATTTCATACTTGGTATGTCTTCATTGTTTGGTGATAGCTGAGGCCCTCATGAAGATGAAATCTTTTCGACAGCTCTCTTCAGCAAATGTGACACAATATCGCCTTGCAAAGGGAATTGCAAAAGCACAAGGTAGGAATAAAGTTGCTTGAAATACCGATGATGGGGTGGGTTGTTACAGTACAGATCCGTACGGCTGCCTTGCTCCACTCATTTTTAGATTGTAGTTGCGCACTTATTGGCCATTGCAGCTCGCTTGAATTGCAGCTACTTCAGCTTCTTCACTGCGGAACGCTGGCTGGTTGATTCGCGACCACTTATTTGCGTGATCCAGCAGATACGACGACGTTGCGAAAGGGTTGCTACTGCAAAGGATGCTGATCTGCCAGACAGCCTCAGCATTACTTTAACTTGCCGCCATCCTGCATCCAAGCTTGAACTGCCACCGCTCCACGCATTAACATCTTTAGTTTCTTGCAGAATCCTGCTCATCATCTCCGTCAGGCCTTAGCAACTTCATCATTGATAGTCGTCCAGACCTTCTCTGTCTGGGCTTATGCTCGCCTTCTTCGGTGTCTGATTTGCCTTCGCACCTTACGCGACAGACATTCGTTTATGCTGAAGCCGAATTTGCAATTTTACCATCCGACGAAGGTGCTTCTTCAGTGCTTTGTTGCGGACCCGCACATCCTTCAAGGACTGTGTGAGCTCTGCAATTAAGTTCTGGTAATCTTTCTTGCCTGCAAATTCTACTCGAGATATTGATGATCTCGACCCTGTAGAACTGCCACTCCGCCGCAAATCAGCACGCAGTTGGTTGCTTAGCTTCATTAGTTGACAGCGTTGTCTGACAAGACGCTCAATATCACAGTTTGCGGCTCCAAGCTTCCGATTTAGGTCCATTATTTGAGCTTCCAAAACAGCATGCCTACTTTGCAATTGTGACTCTGCTGTCCGCATCACCTCCAGTTCTTGGATCCGAGATTCAAGCTCGACAATCTGCCTGCTTTTGGTCTCGACGGATTGCTGTGCTTCAATAAGCTCCTGCTTACAGCTCTCAAACTGCAAAGCAATACTGCTGACAGAGCTAGAGTGTTTGTCTAGTTGTGTCTCGATCGCAAGATCGCGTTCCTGCGTTTCCACTTGCTGCTCAGCACGTTTGGAGGCGCTGTGACTCTCACCAGCTTGCTCCGAAATTACCTCCATCTCTTCTTCTTGTTGGGTCAGTGATTCCTTCATTTGTTGAATCAATTCGCGCAGCTTTGCGCTATCTGTCTCTAACGCGTTGACATAAGTGTCCGCAGTTGTTGTGGGCTGCAATAATGGGCTTTCTGTTAGCAGCAGTGACACACCGGAAGAAAGTGTACCAGGATCATCGCTCCAAAGAGATGATCTAACGGCTGGTGCGTACTCAGAAGACATCTTGGCAGCCAAATTGGCCGCAGACGCTAAACACTGAGTGTCGAAAGAATCCGTAATACCTGCGCTGACCTTCAGTGATAACAATTCAGAGCGCAGCCACTGCACTTCATTTTCAGCGTAAAGCAGCCGCTCTTCTACTGCGTGCTTCTCATCTCTTCCATGTTGCAGTTCACGGAGATGCAGCTCGTGCTGCTCGTCCAGTTGTTGCTTTTGCTTTTGCCATCGGTTTTCCCATTCCAAGTTCACTGCCACCACCTCGCGTTGCAAATCTTTCTGTTTCTCGATACTCTCCATAAGTTCTTGACGCAGCGTCATGTCTTTCTCCTTGAGTAAAGCTATTTGGCTAGTTGACTCTTGCGATATTTTCTGAAGCGTTTGAGCCCTTTCTTCAAGTTCCTGCAGTGCACTTCTTACACGTTTGATCTCACGTTCCATGTCTATAATTTTGTCATCTGCATTCTTCTTGGCATACATCAGCTCAGCTTGCAAAGCCTCCACCTTTTCCTCACTTTCACGCAATCTTACAATAAGTGCTTTTAGCATTGCTTCGCTTCTAGCACTCGCTTCCTGCATGTCGCTTTGTTTCCGTTCCAAAAGAGATCGCAGTTCCTCATCATGCTGTGTCTTCTGCTGCACAAAAGACTTCTCTACAGAACTCAGCAATAGAGAGAGCTCCGCTATCTTGCTTTCATACTCACCTGTAAGTTGCTGCTTCATCTCCGTTAGCTTTACCACTTCACTTTCCAACTCTCCCACTTTAGCTTCTTTCATGGTTTTTACATCCGTCACCGTCGACTTCAACAACGTTATTTCCTTATCCTTCTCCTGTATCATCCTCTCCAGCTTTTCATTCTTTGTCTTCAACTCTTCAACTCTTGTACATTGTACATCTGTATTTTGTACCATCATCTCGTTCTTCATCTCTAATGCTCTCATTTTCATCTGTAGCTCTTTGTTTTCTCGTTCAGACGCCATCTCCTTCTGTCTCATGACGTCGTCAAACGTCATTGTCCACTCTCTCCGTTGTCTTTTAACCTCCTTCTCCTTCTCTCTCAATAACTTCTTCACCCTTCGGCTCGGAATCTCCATAACTCTCTGTTGATGTTTCAATTTGTCTTCAAATTTCCACTTTGCACTTTTTACCTGAGCTCGAACATATCTCAGCTTTTGCTGGTACTGAATCTTCAGCTCATCTCTCTGTTCCTTGACACGATTCAGTTTTATCTGTATCTTCTTTTCTCTTGCTTGAACCTCATGTAATTCCGTCTCTTTATCCCTCAGAACGTTCTTCAGCGACGTAAAAATGACGTCATTTAACGCCAATTCTTCGTTACGACGTTCTAAAAGCTTCAATTTATACATGAAATCCTCTTGCAACTTGATGAGCGTTTGTTTCGCTGCATTAGCAGCTGTTTCCTATGCATCAAGCGGACAAATTAGAGAAAAACCCATGCGAGTACCCAATAAAACCCATTGAATCCATACGTACTTTATCACGCAATAGCGTCTCTAGTGTACGAATACGATACTCGTTAATATCGTGCAACTCCTTCTCTTTCTCTAGAATAAGCGAGCGGATGTTGTCGGGCCCTACATGTACCGCCAGAGACGACGACAAGGCGGCATCCGCCGACTCCATTTTTACAATAATTACACACCGAGTAGTGTGACATGGTTGCGCGAAGGTTGCTCCAGCATGGTCACCCTCTCTCGTGTATACACGATTGTGTTTTCCGGAAAACAGTGAATTGTACCATATACCTAAAAATAGTCGGTTATTTTGGTCGGAACAAAATGAGCTTGAAAAACAGCTGAGCTAAATTTGCGTCGTATTTGGAGAAATTATATGTCTATCTGTATACAAAAACTGCCTGTGGATTTGGAGTAATGATTGTAGTACAGTTACGCACACAATAGATCGCCCAACATATCTTCATGTGTGTACGCACAACTCTGGTACAAAGCCTTCGTCATTGTCGTCGGGTTCATCATTTGTTAGAAGTCTTTCCACAAATTTATTCACTTGATTAAAATTGTGTTGATAGGCGCCATCAATGAGGTCGGTCATTCCTCCAATATGCATTTGAGCCTCTTGCTCGGATTTGTACTTGGATATTTCAGGAATCAATTGAATCGCCATACGAGTGATACACCCTCGTGTAAAGTTTTTTGAACTGCTATCGCCCGGTATCACACCGCGATGTAGCTCAAAAGTTGATGCAGTACTCCATCCTTTCTCTAGAAGACGGAGAGAGATCGAACCTTCGATCTGAACGTAGCTACACCAGACAAACACCACACAATCTTGCTCGATGTGGCGACGAAAAGCAGCTCTCTTTGTAATGGTGACGTGATGTGACTTGGACAGCTCGATTGTATCGCGTATAATAAGGTTGTAACGGTCATTGTTAAGCACCTGCGTTTCCGTGTCGTTTACCACCAAACCATTGTGCATACTATTCCAGATCGCATAGTGTAGTTCCTGCAGCGAGAACGGTAAAAGCCGCGCTTCCTCGTGACGAAACGATATTCCATTTTCTTCTCGGTTGAATTTGAAGCCGCCTTGAAGCTTGAACCGCACAGACGATAGTCCATGCGTTGTGAGGACTCCGTTCACTTCGGCAAGCTGTGTCTCGAGCTGGCTATCCAAGTGTGCAAAGATTTCTTCCTCTGCCACATTCATGACGAGAGGCCGTGTCACTTTGCAAATGAATGCACTTGTTAGGAGATCATGAATCGACGTCGCTTTGTCAGTCTGATACTGTTGAATGGCAGCTTCGAGCACACGTGTGACTTGAAGCTGACCCAGCAGTCGATTGCGTAGCTTACGATTCTCGTTAAGAGAGATGGCTACCTCGTGCTTTTGGCGTTCAGCAGTCTCTTTCCAGCTTGAGAGACCTGACGTCGTTTTAATCATGGCAAGAGCCGTATTCTTGTCATCGAGACTCATTTCTGTATTACCGACTGTCACCAACATGTCCTGGAGCTCCACCACCTTTGCTCGCAAGTAGGCAAGTTCATCTTTTGGACGCCTACGATTGTGCCGCTTTGATGTCGAGAACGGTCTCTGTCGTCTATCCTTTGGCTTTACGACCAAGTGCTCTCTTGTCTCTTTCTCGACGAAAGGTTTTGACATTGCTACATTCGTACACACGTTCTCCTTCTTGACTCTTTCCTCTTCATCCGAAGAAAACAGTTCCTGAATTTCCAGTGATAGCAACAACGAGTCTATGATGTCCGATCCCTCTAATTTTGTAGACATGACAATCGGGATCTGCACATCGTCGGAAAAGTAGCCAAGGGCTTCGATCAGATCTTCGTCCATAATCTCCGTGTTTTGATAGGGGGTGGCTACGATTTTCATGGTCGACGACGAATTGACAAATGAACGAGATGTCCCTTGTGCAATCGGACGGGTAGAGATGTTCACGCTGCAAATCGCTGTGCAAAACATCGCTTTGCTCCCTTTAGGTGAGTACGTACCATGATTACTGGCAAGATAGACGAACACTAGAATTCGACTAAGCCAAAAGGGATGCTGCTGAGTCAGAGAGAGAGCGAGCGATACGTTGTGCAGATGGTTTTAACTCGATCGATACAGCGTTTGCTGGCTCAATTCTTCGATAACCAAGGGCTACTACTCTACAAGCACTGAAGTCTCAGATGTGGTTTGACAAGACGCCACGGCTCTTTCACCGGTCCCGAATGGAGGAGAGGTATTCAAGCACCCTGGTATTATGGTGCAGTAGCGAGGGCCGCAAGCTGTTTCGGAAGATTCAACAACAGAAATGACAATGCCCTGTTCTTTCTACCGTGTGATCGCCAGCCTTATCGTGCTCGGTGATTCAAATATCATAGCGTTCTCATGTTGATGGGAGCAAGGCGTGGTCAGACTAGATTTATTGTTACAATGAACCGCTGACATTACAAATCGACCAAAAAAACGAATGGTTTGGGAAACCTCAATGACGAAGCAAGATGCAGCTCTTCCTGCTGTTCGAAACCGTCTGATATCGTAGAAACCAACGCACTCGCTTCGATATTAGTTCGAGTCAGCATGATGGTGATGATAGAGCTTCCCATCAACATCTGCTCGATACTCTCCTACTCACGCATGCAGCAGGTGTACATCGTGATCCGTTTTACTTGAAGCTTGTTTTTCGTCCCATTTGTGTCGCCGCCACACCGACGCCATTGATGTCAATTGAAGAGTCTGTAGTTATCTCTTCTCTTTCAGAAGCATCTTCATCTGCTTCACTTCTTGAGTAGCAATGCGACACGACAGCTTTAAAGCTCTCGACAAAAAGTTGCTGGCGGTACGCGACGAGATGCTGTCGTTTGAGTTAACGACGACCATCGATGCGTTAATGACGAACGACGCGATTGACGATTTCGATGCGATGCTGCAACATGACAATTCAGTGTGGGAAGACGAGAATGCAACGTCGGACACGAAATCAGTTGCAGCAAAGCCGCCGACACTGAATCGATCTGGTGACGAGAAATAGCTCGACAAAGCCGTCGTCGTTGAAAGGCAAAGATGCACGTAGTATCCCGTTCTCGAAAAGAATGTTGTTGCAAGCGTCCAATAGACCAAGTGAAGTGTCTGCGGGCCAAAGTGGCTGACATGGAAATGGAGCTGCAGTTTCTACAGACGAAGCCAAAAGTCAAGTCTCCCCCTGTAATCAGCATTGCTGAGTCTAGTTGTTCGCCAGCGACTCATGTAAACCGGCACGAAGTCGGGGGCTTTCAGGACGTAGTGCACTGAGCAATGTGTGGGGGGGGGGGCACAGGCGCGACCAAGGAAGTGAAAACGAAATCTTTCTACCCTCGAGTCATTGTCGACAAGTTTTCGACAATGTGAACGTCACGTCACCATGACCGACTACATTGAAAAGGAATACGCACTGACAGTTTATTGAAAGAGAACGCATGATGGAGAAAATATATGGACAATGAATGCCTTAACAACATGAGCTTTACTACGCGATTGTCAATTCATGTAGCCATCTTCATACCTTTTTCCCTGTATACAGTAGTGCAGATAAATAATTAGCTCTTGAAATCCTCCGTACTTGAAGTACGTAAAGTTGTTCCATGGGACACGCCGCTTCTCTGTCCAATGGCTTCATTTGCTACTGTTGCTCGTAGCGAGTCTTTTTTGTGGTTGAAGCAACTTATCCAAACATTACCGCATCCCGAGCAATAATGCCATCTTGTCGACGATTATCTGCTGCGTCCTCTTTGCCACATATTTCTCCGTCGTTTCCTTTTCAATCCTCACCTCATTTTCTTTATTATCAAGTCTTTCGCCTTCTCGTTGTATTCTATCTGCTACTTTTACTCGAGAATTGGTGGCAATCTGGTTTCGAGGAGCTTGAAAATGAACACGAGCTCGAATTTTATCCGCTTGAGTTGCTGCAAGACGTGCACGAGATCGCGGACAGTGAGCACCTGCACCTCGCAATGTTGCACGAAGGCTGCATGAACCACCGTGACAGTGTCATCACGTCGGACTTTGGTCGTAATGGAGATGAGATTGGCACCCGTGGTCGATTCCAACAGGACGATGAAAATTTGAGAGAAAAGCTTGAAAAATGTCCCGACGTGGAAGTTTTCTTGCCCTCACACATACGAGGAGATGGGTATTGTGAAGATGCAATGGGTTATGTCAAATGTAAGTTTCTAAGAGAGAGAGAGAGAGAGACTCCATGTTTTGATGGCTAGACGTGTTACAATTGTGTATTGTTGTTGTTGTTGTTTGATCAGATTTACAAGGACGAGCATTACCTCAATGGGTTTTGGAGATCAAGTTTCTCGACAAGAAGACGAGCAAAACATTGACGTACCATGATTTGTGTCCCAAGACCCCACTGATCTTTATGAACCACTTTTGGAACGAAATGCCGAATCAACCATCATGGCCAGAGACAAAACCTGTCTATCTGATGCCAAACGTCGAGATGTACGAACTTAAAGCAGAACATTATTGGCGTGTAGACGTCGTGCTGTGCAAGACGGCAATCTGTGCGAGACGAGTGAGGATGTGGTACCAGCAGGAAGGCAACCCGAGACATACCAAAGTGATGTATACGAGACACACGACGTCGGATGCGGCGCTGTACGCCAAGCACCAACTTGGAGTAAACGATGAGGTGTCTGCCAAGAACTTTTCAGACGTGCACTTTGTTCACACGGCTGGGAAAAGGTTGGTTGTTGGTTGTTTATAAGTTTCTCATTGCTGAGATTGACTTGATCTCTTTTTGTGGTGTGCTCGCAGCGTGTTCAAAGGAACGAACGCAGTGTTGGACTGCTGGTTATCCCGTCCAGATTTTCCACCGTTGGACATCTTTGTGGATCAAGAGAGCTACGACAAGCTCATGAGGAAGATTGATGTCGAGCAGATTCGAGCTCATCCAGCGCTGAAAAAGATAACGCTGCACACTGGACGTGTGCCTGGAAGTATATTTGGTAGAATGATGATTGAGACTGCATTTTTACTGTGCACGAGCGTGCTGGAAGGTTATGGCCACTACATCAACCAAGCGCGTGCGAATGCAGCGCTGATTGTGACTACAGATGCGCCGCCAATGAACGAGTTGTTGTCACGGGAGTCGGCGATCCTTGTCCCGCATCCAAGCACGGACGTTGAAAAGCAGCTGCTTGGTGGTACTTTCAACGGTGAGCACGGCCTACGAGGTGTCAAGGGCATGGCCACTTACGTGAAGGGCGACGAGATTTGCAACGCTGTCGAGCACATTCTAGAAATGACACCGGAAGAGCGCCAAGCGATGGGAAAGCGTGCAAGGAAGCAGTATGTGCTGGATACACAATTCTTTGCTGTTCGGATGCAAGAATTGCGGGAACTGGCCCGGGCAGACGGGGTATCGTGGTATTGACGTAAGTCGAGGAATAATGAACTTATCCTGAACGATGTGGTATGGCGTGAGAACTTAGGCCACGTCCATGTAAACAATGATACTGTCCACTCAATGACTGTGGTCGCAGTTCCGTGAGCAAATCGTCGGCTGGCTCTAGGATTATCACCATGGCGCTTTTGCGAGAGACGGCTGGTACAACAAGCAGCCGGGAAGCTCACTCTCAAGGATGGCAGACCGGACTGTAGCGATGATGGACACACCAATGTCTCCGCTCGATAGCGGTCCAAGCGATGACCTGCTCGCTGTGCTGGACGAGATACTAGACTTTACGCCGAAAGAAGCTGCGTCGACAGACTCACTAGCGCAACAGGCGCTGGAAGCCAGCTATATCGCAGATGCGTTTGAGTTCCCAGAAGTGCCCAACCCGTACGAACAGCAGCCAGTAGAGGAACCAAAGCCTGCATTGCTGGAGGCAAAGGTGGAGCAAACTGCCACCTTCGTGCCTATTGTCACCAAACAACCTGCTCAACGTCAAAAACAACAACACCAGAGTGCTCAACGAAAGAAGGATGTTTGCACGATGACGTGTCCGACACCGAAGCGACGCCGCAAGCGCCCTAAAGACGAACTCGACTACCTTCGCGCGAAGGTGGCGGGTTTGGAGGAGGAACTGGCATGTCTTAATCGATCAACAGGAAGGTTTTCCTCGATAAGTGATATTGAAAAAGAGATGTTTGCACGTTGGAAACTAATCGCTGAACGCCAAAAAGAGGAAGCAAACAGAACTATTGTCGAGAACATGAAGCTACGAACCATGCTGAAAGCCCAATTTGAGATCGCCAAACGTCGTCAAATGATGATGGCTGAGTATCACCAACAGACGATGCCACAATCTTTGCCGTGGAACTTCATCAAGACGGAGTTTAATTTTTTTGATGTTGAAGACGTTGACGGCCCGCGCGTCCCAAGCATATCGGACGAGACGATTTTCGCACAGTTGAATGGGAGCCTTGAGGCGCAGTACGCTCAAGTCAGCTCAGTGCTTCAAGCAAATGGGATTGCAGATGTGAACCGCGAATTGTTGGGCAAGATTCACCTCAAGCAAAACATGAATGGTATCTCGTTTGGAATTCACGAAGTTCGTCTAGTGCCGTTTGCAATGCAGTCAGTGGAGCGCATCATGTGGTCCTTAGTGGGTGACAAAATTAGCGAGGTGCCCGGTCGCACCCAAATCATCAACAATAACCATCAAAACTTCAAGATCGGCAATACACTTGAATTCCCCAAGTCTCAGCACACGAAAACGTCGTCCCGGTTTGCAATGCGTCGGTACTTTGAAGGCAACCGCATAATTTTTGTCTGGAGTGCCTGTGTGGAGATCGCGGGCTCAGTGTTCGTCCGCCTTCGTGAAAAAGGATGCGTAACGATATCGTCATTTAATCTTACTGGAAGCGAGTTATCGAGATGTGAGGGCTCCATTTTGCGTTGCGTGATTGATGTGGAACCGGAGACTGTGAAGTTTAGCACTGGAGCAGACCCTAAGAAAAACATCAAAGAAATGACTGACCTCGTGCTCGCAGCGTATAACCGCAGGTTCGATACCTTCAACCAATTGATGGAATCACTTCTTCTTCAAGATCTCAGGGCTTCGTCAGCATAATGCGATTCTCATGAACCGCGAACGCAAAGTATTTGTACTTGTATTCGTGTCTACTGTGACATCAAACGCTTCCTATGCTTTGTTTCGGGGTGAAATACATTCCTACCCATTTGTTGCAGTGTAAACATCACACTGTGTGTGTGCGTCTTGCTTGCACTACGGTGCTCTAGGAGGATCACAGTCATGACTGGCAGCTTCCGTACAAACAAAAGTGCTATGAAAGTAAACTTGATGGAATGCTTGATTCCATCGATAGCTTAATGAGGCTAGCTGCTATCCAATATGTAAACTAAAGGCTTATGTCCATCGCAAGTCAGCAACACGAACTCATCGAAAGCTGCGGCACTGCTAGGCCAGACAGTTTAAAGTGCTTTGGCCACATGAAATTGGCTGCTTACCATCTTGTACGTGGTCGTCTCGCAATTCTTCTCCATTCGTCAACATTTTCGAACGTGAACCGGCATGGTTCATGTTTGCAAAAAGTCTTTCAAGTTTGGCAATTTGAGACCGCAAGTACTTGAGTTCATTGGTCGGCCGCTTGCGCTAAGGTGTCTTGCAGTGGTGTATGGGAAGTAACCTCTGCTCTGTCGTGACTTCTGTTTGGTGGTAAGCTACTTAGATAGGGAAGACTTGATGAGACTGAAGGGGCCCGAGTGAAGTAAGTATATCCATTCGTGGGCCCCCAAGTCCCTCCAAACACAACTGATGTGATGTGGTAAGACGATGTGAACTTAGCAGGCCCCTACTCTCGTAATTCTTCGTGGCCAAACTCCTCAAATATTCATCGATGTGAGTCGATATGAGTCAGGTGTAGATGGTGGGTTTTACTATGTTGAGCAATTGCAGCGCTTTGCAGTTTTCGAGTCGCCCCGCATGTTCTGGGGCCATACTGCATCTCTTTCTACGCTTTGGATGGTGATAGCCGAGTTTTGACGAACGCTCTACGTGCAGTCAGCTCGTGTGTTTATTGTAACTCGGTGCTCGCGTGATCCTATCCTCATCTCGGTTGTGAGACGACAGAATGTGAACCGTGATGACACCGACATCAAGACCAAGTTTCCAGCTCCCAGCAAACACAATGAGGCTCCATGCTCAGCTCTTTGCCACCTAATTGTTGGCAACTGGTCCCCTGTAGGAACAGTAACCAAAGCTTTTGTCTCTCAACCCAGTTCAATGAAGTGGCGATCGACCACTTGGACAATCCCCAAAAAGTAGCGAACACTCAACAACCTAAAGAACCGAAGCGTACAGGATTGGATTCCAATCGTCCGTCGCCAAGATAGACCGTATAGCCTGTCGTGTTTGTCCTACCTCAATAAATCGAGCAATGTTCAAATGCGCTGGTAGAAGCTGAATCTTGCTGACTATGTTTTGCTAGATCAAGGAAGTGGTGGGTCATGTACAAAGTTGTTTACCACGGTTCACTACTCGAATGCTCTAGTCCTGCCTCATATCTGAGCTCTTTGTCCATACGGACGACTCTAGAAAGAGCTCTTTAGAATTCGTCTGCGTCACGTAGAGCAACTAATCGCAATATGTTTTCTTGCTCGGCAAAGACGCGTTGCTTGTGTTGCTCGCGACATGCAGATGTTCCGTGTCGAATGTTAAGCTCATGCTACTAATCATGATACTGTTAGACCAACGAAAGCCAAGCCTTTCCCAATGCTCAGCTGCCTTGTATGTAAAAGAACACTCGCCTCAGCAGGTCCTACTCATAGAAAAGCTGACGAAAACGAAAATTGGCTGTTCATTTGAAAACTTACCGCTTCGAGATGCCTACCAGTACCCTCTTCTCACCATTGAGCTTCACAAACCAACCACTACATGATGATTCGAACATCATGCGCTCATCAAAACACGCTTCACCTGTGACATCAGTTGGATCAAGTGAGTGCAATTTGTTGGGTCTGTTTGGGTCTCCTGCATCGAGTTACTCGATTAATGACAAGTCTGATCGAGGTGGTCACCCGTTTCCATATACCCGCTCCAAGACACGCTGGCGCAAACGGCCGACCAATGAACTCAAGTACTTGCGGTCTCAAATTGCCAAACTTGAACGACTTCTTGCAAACTTGAACCATGCCGGTTCACGTTCGAAAATGTTGACGAATGGAGAAGAGTTTCGAGACGACCACGTACAAGCCCTCCACAAGCTTCGTACAGAATGTCGCGAAAAGAAAGTGGAGGATGCATTGGCAGAGAATCGAAAACTCAAAGCAATGGTAAGCAGCCAATTTCATGTGGCCAAAGCACTTCAAACTGCGCTCGACGAGAGCATGCGACTGCGAGCTCGTAAAGTGTGCTGGCCGACCAGTGCCGCAGCCTCCGATGAGCTCGTGTTTGCCTTATTAGACGAAGAAAAGGAGCTACAGTACGCTGCTACCGACAAGGTCATGGACGAAAGCGGGATCTCCCGGATTTACCACCCGTATATCTCAGAACTGGTATTCCAGAACGACAAAAATGGAGTCTCCTTTCAGCATAACGACGTTCGCGTGATTCCGTTCCCTGTGGCAGATGTCGTGCGAGCTCTACGTCACAGTCTAAGGCATGGATCGAGAGTTGGGCCGTCGCAGCACTGTCGCAAATTCCTCATGCACGACAGTTATTCCCAGGCTGTCACGGTAGACAATATAAATGTTCCTGGTACACATCAAGCGGAAGTCAAGAGCAGGCATTTGCTATGGTCTGTCATCGAACCTGATCGAACTGTCATCGCTTGGTCAAGTTTCAATGAATACCAAGGTCGAAGCCACGTTCGCTTACTCAAGAGATTGTGGTTCTCGGTTGAGCCGATCAAACTTCAGACCAATTCAGGAACCATGCAAGGTTCTATTCTTCGGACCATCGTTCGTTTTACACCGGTTGATCCTGAAGTTAACCTCAAGCATATCGCAGACATGTCGGACGTCATCATTTGCGCCTATAAACGCGATTCCGTTCGCGTTGTTCTAGCAGTGAGAGATCAATTGGCAGCGTTAGTCGCAAAGGGTTGAAATCGTGTAGTGTCTATGAACGTTCAAGTTTATCAGCATCAGTATCGATCTGGTAACACACTAGCACATGCATTAACACTGTGCCTTAAGTAATTGCACGTTGTTCACGATCTATACGTTGAAGGGATCGCTGATTACATATCCACAGTGCCGTATCACACGCAGCTCTATATCGCGCGATAAACAGCAGGCATCGTAAGCTGTAACAATCGATCTTATATATGGCAAAACCGGCATGGTTCATCAGTTGGATGCCATTCAGCATCCGATTTCACCACGTACTCTTGGTCTGTAAGTTGATCAAGCAAGCTAAGAACCTACCAGCATATGAGCAGTAGCAGGGCTAAGCTCACAGTACAGATGACTAGTCTGACCACATGACACATATAATATATGCTAACTCACAAAGACTTCTCATCTCTACATTGGTGACATCTTTACTCTTGGGCCATCCAAGCTAGACCGCACAATCTAGAGTTTTTCATGTGTGTTACCAACTCAGAACGCACTGTCAGGGTATTTCGACGACTCGAAGGTTGATCTACAAAAGGCTAAAGATGGCAACCTGTCCTTGTCAATACATACGAATGCAATAGACACTCAATGTCTCGAGCATTGGGGTGTCTAGCTGGAATAAAAAGCTCGTACTGTTGATCAGTTAAACGCGCGAGACTCGATCATTAGTCTTGCCATGTGTGCTTCCTGGCAGTTGCTCTATTTATTTTTGAGTTCATGACCAAGACGTAAGGGTTCCTTCAGATGGTCGACGACACATGGTGCAAATTTCTGCTATCTTGATAACCCCACCGACGTTCCTGATGACAATTGATTACTATGTCAGTGCTCGTTTTCGTTGTTGAACTTGTGCATGCAATGGTATACCAGCTCATTCTGAAAGTTATCGCGTCGAGATGTCTACCCTGCATCAATCCTCTATCCAGCCGAATGGACAACCAGTCTCGAAAGATTTCTTGGTGTCCAATTGCTCGCCAACTTTTTCCTCAGCTACCGACTCCGATGAATCCAGTGAGAGCAAAGGTGAACGTTTGCTGAGCCTATTCGAACAGCCTGAACCTAGCCACCCAAAGATAAAAGTCCGATTCGAGAGAGGAAGTCGTTCATTTCCATACACTCGGTGCAAGACTCGATGGCGAAAACGTCCTCAAGACGAGATCAAGTATCTACGTGCTCACACGGCTGAGCTGGAGAACCTGAAGAATGCATTGAGCAATCCAGACACGACACCCAACCAGCTCGAAGAGATTGGTAGAGATCGTAACATACTTCGCGACGACTGCTGCAACCAAAAGCTAGATGCCGCGTTGATAGAAAACCGAAAGCTACGTACGATGGTTGCGGGTTGTTACCAAGTAGCAAAAAAACTTCAAGATGCAATTGATGGACACGCGAGGATGAAAGCACGAGAAGTATACTATCCTACCAATGCAGCAGCGCCAAACGAGTTAATCGTCGCCTTGTTGGATGAAGCTACAAAGCTGTACTGCTGAAATAGCATGTATGCCGCTAAAGTTTGCGGCACAAGACACCGAGCCGAAAGTCATTGTAATCTCAACACGAATTGGACTCTGGTTAGCGATATGTCGATTGGTGCCTGCAAAATCGAAGTTGGCAACGGTTTAAGAGAGTAAAGTAAAGACATGGAGATACACGCCAACGAGTTCGAGCTGCTGTGTCTGTGTACTATGCAATGGAAGGAGCTTTCATGTCAATGAGTGTGTGAGCTCACGTTTATTCCGTTCAAAATGATCCGATACTTGCACTTCTGTGGCTAGTTCATTAGTGCACCAGTGCTGCTGGAATTCGCGTGATGGAAGAACGAGCCCAGCTCGTCAAGTAGATGTGATCTCCGGAACGAGTAGCACCAGATATGAGCGGTGTCTGCCCCTGTGAGGCTTCATAGACGTGACGGATAGCACCCGTATCCAAGTCTAGCGAAGCGAACACTCCAAGACGGTAGACAAAGATCACTGTCATCCACGTCGGTAATAGCGATAGAAGTTTGCGCATCTTAACACTCTGCTTCATGTAAGTGAGGATGCCTCCATCGTTGCGGGACACCATTCCCACTAGTAACACTTCCGTCCCATTCGGACCCACCTTTGCGATCGAAATATTGTCTGGCTCACCAGGCAAGAAAGCAAAGTCCTTAATCTTTTTCGTCTTCAAGTCAAAACGCACGATCTTGTTCTGGAACATGAGGGTGATCAATAGACCAGAGACATCTTTATCGAACGTCAAACCGTTTGGGAATCCCAGCTCACTTGCCTCTACATCCACAGTCCCTTTGCTAGGGTCGAAATGCAACAAATAACCCGTCGGCATGCGTTCTAAAAACTCCATCACCACCTGATTGCGCTGGAAACGACGTGTCGACTCTGTCACATAAATTTCTCCTGTTTCTTGGACGACAGCAATTCCATTCAAGAAATTAACATGTTCATCACCAACTCGACTGAACAGCAACGTACGCTTTCCATTAGCATCGAATAGTAGCACGCCCTTATACGCATCTGCCACTAGCAGTACTTGGTCACCTTCAAACAATTTGGCATCTGGAATTCTCTTGATAAATCTAGTAAATGGCTTGGCAGCTGCAAAGATAAGTCCCATTGGACGTCCACATGTCGGTTCCATGTCAAATGTACCACACTCGGGGACGTTGCGTCCTGTTTGAGAAAAGTTACGAAGCTCGTCCGCTTCGACTCGGAAGCTCGCAAGGCGACCGTCGGCCAGTCCCACGTATGTGTCACCATTCTCACTCACTGCCAAATCTTCAGCACTTAGCGCTTGATTAAGAAAAAGATGTTCCAGTATTGGGGCATCGAATAGTTCCGTATTGCGAACTAAAGCTTTCGTCTCGTCATAATGAGCTTCCTGTTCACGAGTGTATAGATCATAATCATAATCAAATGGCTGAGGCTCCACTTCACTTGGATATTGATCCAAAGCAAAGGACAAGAGCATGACGATAAAACATGCTCCAAGAAGTTCACGAGGTAAAAAAGAGCGCAGAGTTTGCATGCTTTGGACACCAACAATGGACAAATGAGTCGGATTGAGGTTAGTACTGCGATAAGTTAATTGTCCTAAAATATCGAGATATATTCGAAAATTCTAAATGGTTGAGGTGTTGGGTTGAGTTGCACGAACGTTCCTTCCTTTTTCTCAGCAAGATGCAGTCGTTCCGTGAGTTCTGATAATTGTTTGGAATCTCTGAATTTAGTTTAGCTGAGCCTTTAGTTACCCACCTTAGCGCTCGTATTCACGGTCGCGGCTATTTCGGTCGCGACGGCGCTCCTGGCTTCGGCTCCGACTGCGGCTGCGATTACGGTTACGATCGTAATAGTCGTTGTTGGGGCGGCTTGGACGGTAGGATCGACCGCGGTCTGAGCGGCTCTGGTGATGAGCTTCGCTGCGGTAGTGATCGTTGCGTTCACGGAATCCGCTGCGCTCGCCTCGTTGACGCACGTTGCGGGGCTGACCACTATTTTTCGTGTTGCTACTGTTCATTGCGGCAGCTGCCACCATCTCTTCGTGGTGACGCTTCTTCGACTGATACTCATGTGTAGATGATACGCAGAATTTTGGCAGACTGCAAAAACGCAACAAACCATGTCAGTCTGCAAAAGAAGAATGATTCTGCAAGAACGAGGTAACTTACTCTCGCGGCGTACATGTTTGCACACGCCAAAAGTAGTCGTGGTCCATAGCATCTGCGGCTGTGATTCGTTTAGCAGGATCCAAGTGCAGCAGCTTTTCCAACAAATCCACGGCGTGCGGTGGAAAGCTGTAAAGCATATCCATTAAGCAACAATCAGCCAACTTTAACGAGATGACATGATTCTGGTCAAATAAGTTGGCACTTACTTTTTGAACCTTTCACGCAATGGACATACGAATTTATCATCCATCTGAAAGTTTTCAGCTCCTGACATTTTAAAGAACCCAGGCCAAGTTTCCTCCGTCGGCATCCCGCAAAACCCAAATGTTAATTGGAGCTGTGTACCATGCACGCCATGAACAGACAACTAGCGTGAGTGTCACCTTCACGCATTAGATTAGCACTGAAAATCACGAACCTGTTCGATCTCAGTCTTTCCCTGTAAAATGGGTTTTCCCAGTAGCAGCTCGCCAAAGATGCAACCAATAGACCAGACATCCACCGAAAAATCGTACGACGTTGAGCCTAACAGCAGCTCCGGTGGTCGATACCAAAGCGTGACCACCTTATTTGTGTATCGTCCAGCCTTGGCGTTCACTTCGTTCCAAAACCTAGAGAGGCCAAAATCTCCCACTTTGAGCAATCCCTGATTATTGAGCAGCAGATTCGATGCTTTTATATCTCGATGAATAATCTTGTTGCGGTGCATGAACGCGATGCCTGTGAGCAACTGACGCATATAGCATTGAATCTGCGTACGAGTAAACTTTACACGCGGGTGATTCAGCAGTCCTGAGAGGTCGTGCTCCATGTACTCGAACGCAAAGTACAAAGGCGGCCTCTTGCCTTCTTTAGGCGGGGCTGCAGCGAATGCAACAAGAAACACGAACAAAGCATGTGATTGTTAAGACGTGCCGTCGCTTGAACAAAACCTAGATGGCAACAATCAACGTACCACTGGACGATACAATCTCCTTCAGTTCCACGATATTCGGATGCCTAAGGTACTTGAGGATCTTCATCTCGCGAATGGAAGTAACCGGAAACTGCACCGCAGCAAATTGCACAAAATCCTTATACCATTAGAATTTCTCAGCAAAAACTACTACATGGTAACACATCTTACCCCGTTCTTTTCCACGTCCGGTCTTAGCTTTTTTAGTGCCACAATATCCTTTGTCACTTTATGCTGGCACTTGAACACTTCACTACAATCTGTCATTAGTATTAACGTCATGCTTGAGCTCAATATATTTATTCGCAAAAACGTACCCATAAGTTCCAGATCCGACCTTGTCAATGATGCTGTAGTTGTCGATGTCTCCGATATAAAATCGTGGTTTCTTGACTGGCACTTCTCGTACAAAGTCCGTCGCCATAATCTCCTTCTCTCCCACTGCACTTCTCATGGACGCAATCACCGAGGACGACGAGGTATCAGCGAGCGTCGTCAAGTCCGCTGGTTGCAATATCTCTTCTCGTTCATCATCCCCATCTTCTCCATCACTTTCTTCTCTCTTTTCAGGTAATAAACGAGATGCTTCCGTCTCTTTCGTGGCCTGTATGGCGTTGTCCAAAGTTCCTGACAAATCTAAAGTGATCTTGGTACTGGGAGGGGAAAATGGAGGAGGTGGCGGAGGAGGGGGTGTACCCATTGGAGATATTACAGGAGGAGAAGGTGGAGGAGGAGGTGTCGGAAAGTTTTGTGGCTCCATGGGCTCGTCTGCGCTCTCTACGCTGCGTGTATCGTCCTCATTATCCTCCAATGGACGGTATTTAGGCGGTGTAAATGATGGAGGAGGTGGTGCTGGAGGATCTTCTGGACATGGAGGAAGAGGAGACGAAAAATTGGAGCTTTGACCGTCTTTACTCTTTGTAATCGCGTCTCGTGTCTCGATACTGAGAACGGGAAGTGTACGCATTGTTCTTCGTGTGTTATGCGCATCTTTAGTGGAATTTTTGATATGGTTAGAAGCAGAAGAGGCCGTTGACGAAGGAGATGGAGGCGCGAGAGGAGAGGGAGGAGGTGTCGAAGGCACAGGAAGTGCCAAAGACACGTCGTCCATGATGGCCTTGTGTGCTTGTCGATTCAAGGCGTCTTGCGTTGTGAAGCAACTTGGAGCAACATAAGAGCGTTGATGGCAACATATGGAGAGAGTTGTTTTGTAAAGTTGCAGAGAGAGTGTTGATCGTATTGTTGAAGTTGAAGTGTAAAGCAGCATGCGACAATTAAAGACGGACGCAACGTTGACACGAACGAGATTGAAACTACTAATTGGAGACGGTGTACTTGATTCAGCTTTTAGTATCACAAAGTGTCGGGCAAACGGAGTGACGACGTTGCTAATGAATAGTGCCAATGAAAGTATGTACTTGATGCCCTCGTCGTTTGATGGTAGTACGGATCTTGTGACGATGAGAGAAGAGATTTCAGCTCATCAGCAACAGAGTGAGTAGCGTATAAATCAACGATCCAGCGTGCGTATATTGCTACTGACTTTTATTTATCAATATACAGACATTCAATCCTACGTTTACGTGTTCCTGGGTGTCGTGGTCTTGCTGACTGGAAGATTCATGCTGTTTTACTGTATCAGTCAGCGTCGACTGCAGCAATTAGAGCAGTACGACAACATTCATAATAATATGCAAAGGCATTTACTTGAGGATAGCGCCTTGCATGATGGACAAGTGGAATGGCAATGCTCAGTTTGCTACCACGAGAATCATCCAGCCAAGAGAGAGTGTCTCATGTGCGGCACCTCGGAAGGTATGGCTGAAAACATCTCGTCACTTGTTTTCTTCATGCTTATTAACCACTTTTGTTGCAGTTATCTCTCAAGGAGGGATGATGTTGACAGCACCGAGTACGACAAAGTTGTTGCAGCTATCAACAAGCGAGTCGGCCGAGTCACAGGCAACGCTGGTTGCGCGGAACCGCTCCTTTCATGTTAGACGTCTCAATGAGATGAATCTCAATCAACGACAGCGAGGTGCACGACGGCGTCACCTATGGCAACGCGAGATGGATGCCGATGGTCTGTACCGCTGGGTCCGTGTTGACCACTGCCAGCCATCTCGTATCACTAAACTTGTTTCGAACATTCGCGCCAGTTTGCCATTAGCTGCGGCATCCCTTCTACCACATGGAACTGGAATGGAGAACAAGGGTTTGTCGGCGCCAGACGACACATACAGCCTTGATTCAGACGGTTCAATAAGCTCGTTTTTAGTTACCAGAATGAGCCACAGCAATAATGAAGACGAGGGCATGGAATCGGAGCTGAGTATGATCAAGTCGGCAGGTGTCGACAAAACGTATTCTCCTCCTATCCGAAAAAACGTCCGTGGATGTCATAGTCCAGCCAACTGTGACGGTCTCTCCGCATCAGCGGTAAGCACCGACGATGGACTGATAGCGCAGCTGTCTATCGGCTATATAAGACATGTGAATGAGCAAGGGCAAGCTGAATGGGTACCCGCAGACTCACTCGTGCACGAGCGCGCGGTGGTGACCAAAATTGACATCAAGAAATATCCCCGAGCCTCCAACTACATCGACTTCGAATCTGTTGCTGCTTTGCCGTTCAAAACAAAAGTGAGATGGTTCCATAAAGAGCTGGATAAGATGACTGTACCTCGAATAGACGGACATTTGCTCTTGAAAGTCCGTCGAGAAGCAATTATGAGCGACTCCATGCACCTACTTATGTTGGTTCCTGCAGCAGACCTCCGGCAGCGCTTGCAAATCGAATTCACTGATGAACCGGGATTAGATGCGGGTGGCCTGCTTCGCGAATGGGTTCTACTTCTGTGCGAACAGCTCTTTGACGACAGTTATGGCCTGTTCCAACGAACACACGCCGACCTGTCCGGCTACTGGATAAACCCGAAGTCGCGAGAGATTCATCGCGATCACTTTCATTGCTTTCAGTTTGTTGGACGCCTGCTTGCAAAATGTTTGCTGGAGGGACAGCTAATGACGGTGCACCTAGCGTTACCGTTGCTTAAGCACCTCCAATTTCATTTTCCGATCTTGAATACCTGGATGCCGAGTTTCACCGCCATACGCTTTGGCTGCGCGATAACGAAGGCTCTGAAGCCCTAGAGCTAGACTTCACCGCGCAGTGGCGGGCAGCTGATGGCACTGTCGTCATCGAGGAGCTCAAACCAAGTGGGAAAGATATCCTAGTCACGGACGCCAACAAAGAAGAGTATCTGAGACTGTTGCTGAAGCATAAGATGTTCGGTGGCGTGGGTGAAAGAACAATACCTGTTTCTTGTGAACTTTTTAACAGCTCGAAGCGCTTCTCCAGGGACTCTACGACGTTCTCCCTCGTACACTTTTGGTCGTTTTTGATTACCAGGAACTCGAGCTGCTTCTGTGTGGCGTGCCATCGATCGATGTCGCCGACTGGGAATCTCACACTGACATCCACTACTTGCGCGCTGGACAAGGTTTCAACAAGCCAACCAGTCCAGAGTGTCATGCCGTGCAGTGGTTTTGGGACGCTGTTCGTGCGTTCTCTCAGGAAAAGCGTGCACGATTGCTCCAGTTCGTCACAGGTACGTCTCGCGTCCCAGCTGAAGGTTTCCGAGCTTTGCTCAGCAATGGCGGTCGCATCCGTCGCTTCGGTCTTCAAATGGTGTCTATCAATGCGTCACCAATTGGCCTCTACCCAAAAGCTCACACTTGTTTCAACCGCCTGGACTTACCCGTCTACCGGTCGTACGAAGAGCTCGTGACGTACCTCACCCTCGTTATCAACATGGAAATCACCGGATTCACCATGCAATAGCAACCAAGAACAAAAAGAAGAAGACAAAAAAAGCATGACCACAGCCACTATTGTTGAGGTAAACGTACATGTATCAACATATCTATAAGGTGCGTCCGAGGCAGCTACTACCTGAGCTGCTTAGTTATTGACCGAAGACTTGTGTCCACATTTCTTACACTCGTAGAACACCGTCTGACCTTCATCAGCCGACCGGAGCTGCAGTGTATAGTAGTCCATCTCCGGATTGCCACATTTGGGACACGTCTCCTCCACTGTGGCGCGAGCCGGGCCTGTAACTTCACTCATAACCTTCTCAGCGTTCAGCCACTTGGGCTGCGGCTTATCCTCGCTCCGTGTTACGACAGTGAGTGACGGCAAGTCTGAAAACCAATTTGACAATAACGTGAATTAGAAATGTGTCATGAATAATTGATAGAGAAAGCACAGAGGGACGCCACCTTGGTAGCGACATCGGTACTCGCAGGCAGAGCAAACGATACTGTTCGTATCTGGATGGTCCAAGATCGTGCCACAGTGTGGGCAGAAGGCCGGGCCCGTGGCCGTGGAGCTCGAGGCAAAGAACTCGGTCGACATGTATAATGTGTCAATCAATGCTTATGCCTTTCAGCCTGAATGGTTGACGTTTGGCAGAATATAATTATTGTAAATTGAAAAAAAGGCACAGCAAATTACAATTATTGTCAAATGAATAGGAGGCTCAGCAGATTACAATTATTGCGAATTGAAACAAATCAAAATTAATTGTGTAGCCGTGTCCTGCATCCGCTCATTCAGGAAAACCACTCGTTCCATGCGAAATCACCACGTTGTTGAGCATTTTGAGAGCTTGATGAACTGTTGTAAGTGGAGCGTTTGGCAGCGATCTCTACGCGACAAATTGGACATGAATTGCCAATCCGTAGCCACTCGTGCAGACATGCCGTGTGAAACATGTGCTTTGTTGCAAAAAAGGTGACGGACAAGTTAGGCCAAGTCAAGTCAATTCGCGCTTTCGAGTTCGTACCTGGCACGGCATCCGCGTGACCTTCATACCAATGGACATTTCCACCTGACAGATAACACACTCGCGTGCATCCTTTCGCACGGCGATGTCGGCTAAAACGCTCTCGTTGCATTTGCCACGCAGATACTCGATAAAGCTACAACGAAGAGCAAGAACGACAAGAATTGTCAAGCTTTACAACAGTAACCATTACGATACAGGCATACGCACCCTTTGCCATGCTTTGCACTCATCATGAACGCAGGAATCTTCACGTCTTTGCTTTCACCAGTCGAATCCGTCATTGTGTATGGCCACACATCGACAGTTTGGATAATGATCACGCCTGCAGCACCCTCGGCTTGTGCACGGAGAACCTTGCGCGCGAATGTGCAGCCACCACGTGCCATCACCACGATCTGCATACAGTAAATGACAAGACCAATGATCATCGAAGACACGAGCGTGTACTACTACTAACGCTCATCACGGGCTTGACATCGTTACCTTATCCTTCATCTCGTTGGCATTTTCAAATGGTTTGGCACCATCAAACGGCTCCGCGATGATCACATTGCGCTCTTCAAGTGGCTCGCACGGCCCAAAGTTTCCTGGAATTGCGATCACCTGGACGAGCACAAAAGTATCGAGGTGTCAAACCAATCTCATCACTTCCGTTCTGCATCATCAGCCCTTCGTTTACATTGCCTACCTCGCCCTTGATGCCCTTCACAATGACTGCCACTTCAATTGTCGATGCCTGATCGGCAACGAAAGACCCCAAATTTTTCACTAGAAATTTTCCAGCCCAGCCCAGCACAACACCAAACATGCCATTATCAAACCATCCGTGATAGAATAGAGTAGCAGCACAGCATTGTCACCAGCTTTGTCAGACGCCGGTCGACGCGCCCCCGTGGTCCCTCCGTTCCAATCTTCTCCAATGTGATCCAGCAAACGCATCACCATAGTCTGCAGCTCCTGCACATTCATCTCAGAGCCGTTCAACACAAAGCCAGGAGAGCTCTAATAATCACAGCATATTTTAGAATCATAAACACCGTAAAGCCTCGACACGCGGCGTACCTGTTCCGTTGATGTCGGCTGCTGTAGCTCTAGCTCACAGCCGCAGACCAAGCACCGCTTGCCGTCTATTGCATCGATATTCAGCACAATGTTATCTCATTCTTGCAGTACTGTCCGTAAACTCCATCCACCCCCTACCATTTGTCATGGCTTGTGGCACTTCGTCACAGTCTCGACAGAAGAGCTCCATAGCCGTAGCCGCTGTAGTCTGCTACATACACCATTGTGTTGCATTTAAGATAGATATCCTGATCAGTATTTGCTCCTTCCTCCCAAGCAGTTAAAGCGACGTACAGGCGAACCCACAAAGGCCAAATCATCAAACGAAGCCATGCTTTCTGCCAACTATGAGATCGTACCCGTCTAAATGAATCGACTGTATCCATGTTGATGCCTCGGAAGACACGGAAGCTGCAGGATTTTTCCTAGGCATCTGTCTCTGTTTACGCCGCGTGAGTCTTGCATCATTCGGAGCTGTATATGAAGTCCAAATGAGACGGGCCTAGCAATGCTGACAGGAGACTGACACGCAAACGTTGTGATTGATTTGAACGCTACAATGTCCACACACATTGTTGTGACAGAATCGTAGAGACCGGCCATGATTGCGCATGGCGCATGGAGTGTTAGCGGACAAGACTGATCGATATGGGAGTCCATTCATTCATGGTTAGAAAAAGGAAGACCGAGCTACCAGAACCACCAGAGCAAGCGTGAAATGTGTTCTGTACAATCTTGCAAGCGATTGTCAGAGACACAACTTGCAATCATTCTGGAATGACGCCAAAATCCTACTAAGATGGGGAACACGGTGAGAGATTGGCATGATCCGGTTCGTCTGTTCCAACGGATCATCATCATCACCAATGTTAACGCTGTCAGTTTGGTACGAGTCTTTCGTGCAGGACGCGTTCAATTGTCGAGTCGGATAGTTCTGTATATTTTTGTGACCGGGGGATACACTTCCTCGGCATATTTTCACGATTCCATGCATGCCATAGCATTCAGTATTATCCTTGAAAGCAAAAGGATGAGTGCCTCCGCCGCTCGGCACATCAAGGGTTGTGTTCTTGCGCCAGACCAGGCGTGCCACGATTGATTCCTTTTCTCGTGGCAGACAAAATTCAGTATGCAGTTCATTGGATTGCGCTCCAGCGGCGATCTCAATGTTTTTGCAGCCGGATGAAGTGTCCAGCAACGCGTCTACTTTTACATGCATGGACTCGCTAGGGTTTCGATCCGAAAACAAAAACGGCGCAGTCGCCCACATACGTACCCGTAATCACATCACCAGCGACGGGCCGAACAACCAAAGCCTTCGCTAGAGACGATCATTATTCAATTTGAGTCCACGAGCTCACATCAATAAATTGAGTGCCTGACGAATCATCCAACACGACACGAATACACACAATCAACCATGACTGGAACCGTTCTTCACCACAAGTACAAGCGCCCGTCCATTGCAGCCAAGAATCCCATCAAACCTCCTTGCAAGCAGCTCGAGACAGATGACATGTATGATCTGCCTGTTGGTATCGCCACCGATCGTGGCGTTAAACTCAATCAAGAGGTGCGTCTTTCGATACTAATGACTTGCACACAGTCTCGTATCAGTTGAACTCACTCTTTGTCTGATCATTTCATTGCCTACAGGACGCGTACTTCATTGGTGGTAAAGTATCCGAGAGACTCACACTGAATGGCTACTCCAGCTCGGCGAGTGGCTGCTTCGGCATCTTTGACGGCCACGCTGGGGACCGTGCCTCGCGCTTTTGCGCTGAGCGTATTTTCTCGCGGATCCTTGAGCAGCTCGCTCACAAGTCGTCCGTGAAAGACGCCATTACAAATGCAGTGCAAGCCCTCGGTACGTCACTCATCTTTGTCATTTGTCGACAACTGCATTCACATCTAACTCTTGTTCCTCTCTTTTGTCTCCTCTAGATGCTGAATTCTGCACTATTGCTCTTCGCGCTTCCAACTCTACAATCGTCTCGAACCCACGACGAAATCATAGACGACCATTCGCCACAGACGACGGCTCGACACTTCTCGTCGCCATTGTTCGTGACGGACTTTTGCATGTAGGCAACGTCGGTGACTCGCGTGCTGTCGTTGTCACCCGTGGTGGCGACGCCATTCCCATGTCTTTCGACCAGAAACCCAATCACAAGAATGAGCGCAAGCGCTTGGAATCCAAGGGCGCTTTCGTCACGGGCAAGCCCTCCTTCATGTACAAGGTCTGGCCTCTGAAAAAGTTGATCGACGTACCCCGTGTAAATGGCCAGTTGGCAGTCTCGCGCTCCATCGGCGACGTGTCATTAAAGCCATACATCTCGTGTGATCCTGAGGTCAAGACTCGCGTGATTTCCAAGAACGATCGGTTCCTCATCCTAGCGACGGATGGCCTTTGGGACGTGGTTACCAGTAAGGCAGCAGCCAAGCTCGTGGCTCGATTCAAGGACCCTCAAAAAGCTGCGGACGCCCTCGTCGCGCTTGCACTGAACAAACGCACTACTGACAACGTCACGGCCTTGGTCGTAGAGCTGGAGACAGACGACTTCAATATCGGCCGCACATCTTCAGTCACAACCACATCGTCAGTGAACAGGCCTCACACTTCTTGCTTCACCAGCGTCTTTGGACGCCGTCATTGACCGCGCTCTTTTCATGTTATTAACTATATGCACTCAATCCCAAAGGCTAATTTGATGGAATTCACAAGTACTCCTTACATGAAGTCTAGAAGACGCTACGTCCGTATCACTCGATTTTGCACAGCGCTACATCATGGACTCGCACTCCGTTTGATCTACATCAGAACGTTCTTCAAGGTGTTCTTTCCATACAAAAATAGTTCAACTAGCTACTCAATCAGCTGCAAATCTACAAGCTTTAGGTGCCCCACTTTCCCGTTCTTTCAGTACTTCCCTCTCCGAGAACGAACACAAGTAGCAGCTGCACTGTCTCCCCGTATCGCACTGTCACCACAAGCTGCTCTACTCCCAGTAGCTCCACTTTTTCGGATTCCTTTTAGAAAACTGTAAGGAATACAAGCTCCTAGTGATACATGATATTAAAGGTCCTACAACTTCAACCACGTAGCAAATAAGACCTTCAACATTACCGATGTACCACGTTGAAGATGGGCGTGTATATGAAGACAAAATGTCAGCCATCATTGTGATGATGTAATCGATAATGTTAACGTCATATCATGAGATGCGTCATCACCGACAACATAACGAGCACCACCGATGACTATACAGTACAACAAATGGCTAAAACCTCGAGTATTAATTAGTACAACTAGTCCGTCATAAAATACGAATTTCTACTTTAGAAATGCTATGCTGTGAGACGACGTTTTACTAGTTTTAGAAACGATTACATGACTACATGGTAGTCACTTCAATTCTAGACTCTAGTCTCTATATCATCATAATGCCGGCGCTTGAGGTATTCGGACGTCGTAGTCGCGTCGTGGGCAGTGACGACCTGTACTGCCCGTCACTCTTCCTGTTGTTTTACCAAATGCCATTGATACTACTGTGTGTATTGTACACGAGTGTATGGCGACGATGCTCGTCCACAGCACTGAATACAAGCGGCCTCTCGTTCTGGTACATCCTCGTCGCTATACCGCTTGTGTTTTTTCGTGGGTGCATCTACCTTATGATTATGCACGTGTCATCTCAAGGCACAATAGTCGACCATGAGCGTCGCATGCTGATGCCCCGAATGCTGCACGTACATACACTTTGGTCGGGTCTACTCGTGGTCTACGGTATTACCGGTCTTTACTGCTGGTATTCCCAGTATTTGTGTCACCCCGATGGACGTTTTGTAGTGGTACGTAATGAAGGAGGTATTTCTATTTCTAAACGGGGCATTGAATTGAGGTTGTGTACATGAACATATGATTCTTGACTTTAGGCCGTCAGTGGGTTTTTAGTCGCTGAAGTAACGTTTACGTTTTCACTTGGAGTATGTATCATGAGTGACATTCAACCGGAAGAGCTATTGGATCAAGTTAAATCTCCAGTTTCAAGTACTTTGGATCCTTATGGTAACGCTATTGATGCTGAACGTCAATCGTTGTTGTTGTTGGATGGTACGTCAGGGGCCTCAACTCAAACACGGCGTCCCTGAAAAAAAAGTCGTGCTGATATCATGATGTTTTTTTTCTAATGTAGATGCAGAAATGGATCGAGCAGTTCCAAGCTCGGATGTGCATGTACCACAGAGTCAAAAGTTGTGGAAACAACGGTGTACACGGTGCTGCATGTGTCTGCGGTGCTTTACGTGCAATTTGTTTGGTGGAGCAGGCACTCACCATGATAGTATGTCGGTAGTGGCAAAAGTGTTTTCGAGGTTGTTCTACGGTAGTCCGAATCTCGTGATATCGGACATTATAGCAGGTTTTGTGCTTCTGGCAGCGGTGCAGGCATATGAAGATCATCATGAGATTGTTGCTACCTCGCCTCATCGAGAAGAAGACGAAGAAGTGGAAGAGACGCTTGGAAAAATTCGTGCTAGAATTCGCGCTAGCACAAGCAAGATGACATTACTTGGCAATGGAGCTGCAACCACGGCTTCAGCGAGAAACGCGTCTCGGAGATCGACGGCGTTACCGGCTTCCGCATCGGACGGCAACGATACGAGCCAGTTTGTCTCCATTAGCATTCCTTCCTCGATCGAGTCCCAGAGGCAACACGGCGTTGGCTTTGAGAATTCGGCCAAGCCTTTTTACTACCATCCTACAGATCCTCACCTCAATGACATGGAGCTGACGAGAACGTTGAAGGAGTTGGCACACTTTATGAAATATGCGATTGGTATCTACGGTTGGATGCTGTTTGTGTGGTCTCATCCGTGGAGCGGTACGTTTGGGATAGCCTTTTCTTGCCTGCGTCGCAACCTGCGATGGGTGCATGGTGATAACTGGTTTCGCCTCGGCCAGACCGCACTGCAGCTTGAAACGAAGTTGCACAGTGATGATATCGTGTACGCGAGTTTCCGTAACTCGGTATACCGGCCAGCTTTTGCAGTGATGCTAGACCACGGACGCAAGGAGGTTGTTATTGCGATCCGTGGTACACTGTCTCTGGAAGACTGCCTTACTGATGCCATTGCATACGGTATGTCCATGAACGACGTGGTCGATCGGTGGGGGTGTGATGGCACGGACGAGTACGCACACCAGGGCTTCCTTACGTGTGCCGAGTCGGTGTGTCTGGAGCTCAAACGTCTCGGTGTCCTCGAAATGCTTTTTGATAATAAATCTACTGCAGCAGTTGCAACGGGCGAGGTTAACCTGTGTGAACGTGGTGCGTATCGCGACTACGGTCTCGTGGTTACTGGCCACTCGCTTGGAGCTAGTACGGCAGTACTATTGTCGATCCTGCTCCGTCCCAGGTACCCGAACCTTCGTTGCTTTGCGTACAGCCCTTCGGGCTGCACTGTGTCTCCTAGACTCGCAGCTCGTTGCGCAGCCTTCACGACTTCGCTCGTTCTGGGCGACGACATCATTGCTCGGTCATCGATCACTTCAGCCGAGGTACTGCGTGACAGTGTGCTAGATTTGATTGGTAGAAGCAAGGTGAATAAGGCTGTTATCTTACGGCAAGTCATTTCCTGGAGGAATCCAGATGAGCTGCTTTATAGAGAATCAGATGAACGTTCTGCTGTTGACGACGACGGAAGCGGGTCTACAAAAGTGCGCTCGACGTTCATAGCGCATTTGTCCAATTATCGCACGATGCTACAGCGTATACAGGAATCGGAACCAATCCATGAATTGACCATCCCTGGACGTGTGGTGCATCTCAAGCGCGTAGTGCGTGCCAAGGAAGTAGCTGGGTGCTGGGTTTGCTGTCGTCCTGGAGGCGGCGGAATATGCTGCACTGCGCGCACGAACTATCGTTTTGCTTGGGCTGTGGAAGATCAGTTCAAGCAGATCCGCATTGGACGAACTATGCTGGATGATCACTTCCCTGACAAAGTCCATCACGTGCTTCAGGACTGCGTGAAGCGCTTGCGCAGGAATCAGGACGAGAACGAGACTCAGTGTCTATAAGAATGGATCATATTTACGAGCGTTGCCCTGTTCACAGTGTCATTAAGGCAAGACAGGCTATATGCATGACGATTATTTTTTTTGCGGGTAATCAAGCACTTTATCGATTCAAGTTGTCGTTACCGTGGCGTACGGCCACATACGACGCATTGAAGGACGTTGGCTGCGTTAGTCTTGGTGCAAAGGCCGCATGTCCACGGTGCTGTTTGCACTAACATCGGTGCTGACGTAGGATATGGTGTTGGTGTTCGTGGCAACACTGGAGGAGCACGGGCATCATTCAAACTTCCATCGCTGCTAATGGAGCTGCAATTGCTGCTAGAATGGTGGAAATCATTTGAGAAACTTCCCTGGTCGATAGGCATCTCTGGCTGGTGTTTTTGCTGGATGCGCGCAGACATGTCCGATTCTGCTGCTGCTGAATACAACGGCGGATACGAAACGCATGGTGACCGTGGAAGAGGAGCAGACTTTGCTGTAGCAGAGCCAAGTTCGTCTTCTAACGCGCGGATCCTACGCAGTGCAGCCATCATGGCAATCTCCATATCTTCCTGTGCACCACTAGACGCTGCAGTGTCTTCTCCTAAATCGTTCACTGCGTACATTGGTGGAGTAGGATTACCTGCCGGTGATGCTGGAAACGGAGCCCCGCGAAAGTAGTATGAACTCCACAACGTTACTTGACGTAACACGGACGATGGGTCCGGCAACAACGCTGCTGTGTTGCTACCACGGTAAAACGGATTCACGAAACGATCATCCTTCAGGACAGACGCATAAAGTGAAGGGGTTCGTTCACGCACACTCCAGGTGCCACGCTCGCACTCGCAGTTTCCCAAAAACGTGCCGTATCTCCCGGAGAAAATTGCGTCTGCCATTGTCTCAAGCATACGTTCATTGAATTCAAAGTGTGTTGGAAAGATGCGAATGAGCTGCCACACGCAATCGAGGAACTGCAGGAAAATCGGCGCTTGTTGATCGTCGTCATCTTCAGCCTTACCAGGCGCGACACGATCCTGAAATTTGTGACCAGCACGAACCCATTCCTTCTCAATCACCTCAAGAAAGCCTCGGCGTGTACGATAATGACCGTCGACTAGTAGTTGTGCAAGGCCACAGAGTTGAGCCGTGCGGTCCCAACCATCGCTACAGTGCACAACCACGGTGGTGGCTTGGGCTTCAAGTGCGCGTGCAACTTGCAGTGCCCCACTCAGGACGCGGCGCACATGCAAAAGCCATTTAGTATCCTCGACGCGAGTGCCCCACGAGAGATCAATTGACTCCGTGTTGTTTATTGAAGCCATGAAGCCTCCTAGACTACGAACAGCTTCGATGCTCTCGCGCATGGCGTGAATATTCCCAATGTTTAAGAACGTCACACGTGCATGAGCAAGATTCCCACTCTCCGTACCGCCACCTGTCAAGTTGTTTACACGCGCATTCAACTCTGGACGACAATCTGCAATCCAAATCATGCGAGTTTTTGTCCCTGAACACAACGATGTTGGACCAGATGAAGCACGAGCAATGTGGAGCAGATACTCTTCGTCTGCAGGACTCTGGGTATGAAGAATACCGCGATTAGGCTGCGCGCATCGCCATAGTGCAGCACCGTTCTGCGCGTGCACGTAACTACATATCGGTAGTCTTCCCTTCGAACGAAATGAAGCCACAGCCCCCACCACCGAGTCACTAGCAGCTGCTGGTACCACAAGTTGTCGAGGATACGTCGGACACATTGCAAATGCAGTATTCAGCTCGGTCACTCTGTACGCACTGCTTCCATCTCTCAAGGCGACGCCCATTCTTGTAAAATCTTCATACAGATCGTACAATGCGTGTCCCTGCAAGTCTTCGGGTGTCAAGAATTCCATCGACTTGAATGCAAACAAACTCAATGGTGAGTCGACATAAGCGTATCGGTTCAATGTGAGCAAGAGTTTTGTCACGTCTCCTTCTAACGTCCATGATCTCAAGTCCTTGAATTTGACTACGAGTCTTGTAGGTATCAAACCTCCTCCATTCGTGTACGTGTTCAAGGGCCTCGACGACGACGTTGTTGCTTGTGGGTACAATAACCTCGCAATTGAAGCTCGTGGCATTCCATACATGGCCATGTCGAGTAGTCGATGGAATCCGCCAATTTCTCGTAACGAAGAGCTCTGAGGTTCAAATCGTAAGCGGTACGACGTAATGTAGAGCGTCCCTGGAATTTCTGGAAGAGCTAAAGCTCCAGGAAAGACAAAGGAACAAGTAATAGTAGAGACCACCGTCTCTCCTGGTAAATATTGGAGTCTATTCTCTCTCGAGAGAGCTTCGTTTAAAGGGGAGAGTTCAAACGACGAGGAAGAGGAAGAGGAAGGTGAAAAGGACGGAGTATTTTCAGAGACCGTTGGGACGTGGGGCGTGACAGCTTTCGGTACTAATGCCATGATACGAGACATTCGAGCGTGATGAGAGCATTGGCCGGTCGAATCATTCGCTAAAGACGAGCATCGAGCTCCTATATGAGTAATGGCAGTACACGTTCCTGCAGGTGCCGACATTTTACTGAATGACTGGCTGGGAGGTGGTTGGTTAATGGAGACTTTCAATTCGAATTTAACAAGACCAACAAGTGGGGATTTGGAGACACGGGTAGCGAGTGAGTAACGTCACATTGAAAGGAGCACGAGAGTTATCATCACTATTGCAACATGAAGACTTGATCGTGACGTGGTTGAGCAGGAAAAGGGAAAAAAACCGCGTGGTTCTCGTCGATTCGGGGCAGACATGGTCTTGTTGCGTTGTGGAATTGTAGCATTCAAATCTTGATCGGTTGTCGTGGGTGAAGTGATGGAAGGAATACGAGTCGTAGTAGCTGTCATGCCATCGCATAACTCCGTGTCACTCTGTCCAAAGTTTTGTGTCCAAAAGTGCTTGTACAGTCCATCTGAAGTGTACGCGTAGGCACTGCCTAACATGGTAAAGTCACCCAAGATGTTATGACGGTGGCCTTCCGAGTTCATCCAGGCATCCATGACTTCCGTTACATCAACTTGTCCAGCAGCGACGTTCTCGGCCACGCCACGCCAATCGTATCCGGCGGCAGATACTCGTTCCGCAGGTGTGGAACCGTTCGAACCAGTATGGTCCATAAAATTATTCGCAGCTTGGTCGTCCGAGTGACCTTGAGCTGCTAGTTGCAATTTCTTGTTGATGCAAAGAAGTGGAAGTCCTTGAGCACTTCGTTCGAGATTTACGCGCTCGAGCATAAGAGCTTCATAATCGAAAGTTTGAGTATACGTCTGCAGTCGACGTAGAGATCCTGAAGCAGTAGCTACGAGAAGAAAAAGCACCGAGGTGGTCCAAAGTTTCATTATTGAGACGATCGGATCGAATAGGAAGGATTACAAAGTGATCGCCATGAAACGAACACCGACCTGGCAGCGGTTACAGGAATAATAGACACACCATCTGAGTGCTGATGGATATCTTCTCTGGCTTTGTCTGCCATCAAGTGTCGCATGCAGAAGGAATAACGGAGAGACCGGTACTACTGGGTACTACCAGTCTTCTGCTTTGTTGTCGGGGTTGGTGACGCCTTTGTAGCCTTACGTTTGACTCGAGACTTCTTCTCTTGACCTGGTACTTCCAACTTGAAAGCAGACAAATCTGCCGCGAACAAAACACTATGAGCCCAACCAGCTTGAGGTGCAAAACGCGTCCGGAAAAGATCGCCAACCATACGATACACGGTCGGTGTGATACTCTTTCGTTCACTGAGAGTCGCGTCCAATTCGCGGCATGCGATTTGCCACACGTGCGTGTCAACAGGAATGGCCTCCATCTTTTCCAGTGAAAAGAGCGCCACACAGTCTGCTACTTTTCTCCCAACGCCTGAAAATACCATCAGATCATCCTGATACGCATGATACAGTGTCATCTTTTCCTGTGGCTCGTCGTCACTCGCGAATGTGCTCGACTTTCGCTTCTTCTTCACTTCCGGACGGACGATTTTACCGTCTCGGATATCGTTGAGATATGAGACTCCTCCGAGTTTTTGTAGCTGCTTTGCAGTCTTTACGATGAAAGCGGCTCGATAGCCAAACCCCAGAGTTCGCAGTGTAGTTTCTTCACACTTGGCAGCTAGTGTATCAACCGAAGGGAACGCGTAGAAATGACGGTCTTGTTCTTTGTAAATCAAATCTCCGTACGTGGCTTTGAGTTTATCGACCATCCCTTGGATCCGAGCAATGTTGTTGTTCGACGAGCAGATGAACGAGAACAAACACTCCACAGGGTCCTGTCGCACGATCCTCAGTCCTCGCATTCTCAAAAGAATCGTTGTCATCGAATCACTCGTTGTCGTCCAGCGCTCGTACAATGGCTCAGCATCCACCTACAAGAATCATATCAACAAGACGGACCTAAGTATTCTCACTTCTTCTTCTTCATCTACTGTCAGCAAAGGCTTACTTCCAACCGAAAGTAGTGTGATAGCTCCTCAATCCCCTCAGTTGTAGGCACTGCAAAACACAACAACATCAGAATCTCAAGTGTAAACTTCTTCTGATCTCTAGTCGAAGCAATGACATACAGTCCGACGGATGGAGACACTGGAAGTGCACAATGTCATCACGTTCCCGCAACGCAAAGACTCGGTGCCCCACAACTCCTAGCCATGATGACACTTGTCTTGGATGTCTTTGCCAGGCGAAAACTTGTCCAGATTCCAGTGTGAGAGCGCATGAAAGCTCCCGAGTACTGCACAAAGGTGTCCAATCGTTGAGATTGAATTCCTCCGCCTTCACGTGGGTTTTGAAGGTAGGAATTGCTGCAGAAGACGCAAATACGACAGACGAAGAGATGCCTGGAAGGTTGTTATCAAAACTCTTTACCTTGACGTCACGCGAAGCGGCAGTCACAAGACGAACGGAACGCCGCATAATCGAGAGCGAAGATTCAAAATACCGAGTAGCCAATGGTTTCTAACAATCCCCCCCCCCCCCACGTACTCTCCTGGAAGACGGTCGAATGCTGGCGTCCAGTCACGGCTTGAATGGGACTGACCACATTCGCCTAAAAAACGACTACGTGGGAGTACGGGAAGACCGATCACCTTCCGAATACGAGCCATACAACGTCAGCAAGTGACGTTGTATGGCTCACTACCAGAGGACAGATTGTGATGGAGCGCCTGGAGCGCCACCGATATGCTGCCGGTGGCGTTCGTGTGTAACCTGATGGCTTAGGAATGAATGCCCACATGTACATACATAGGGGGGAGCTGTTGCTCATACTCTTAGCTTAGGAATCATGTATAAGAACGATTCAATGGTCTATGTTTGTAGCCCCATCAACTGAAGTCACGCCTTCGAATTTGGAACGGGAAGTCTTCCCATCATGGGTAGAAGATCAGGAGATGGATATCTTTTCATAATCATAAGGATTCAATAGACAGTCGGCTCAGCCCTCACCTTCAACGTCTACTTTCATGAACCCAAGCAATGTGGAATCACTACTACCACCCTCAATGACGATTTTGTTGACATGCTGCAGAGTCCACCCACCACCTTGTGAATTCTTGCGGGTCGTTGTTTCCATCCATTAGTTTTTTAAATATCACGCACGTGGTTAGCAAGTCCTAGAGCATCTTGATACTGCGTTCAGCGAGCCTTGCCACCAATTCAACGATTCCTGCACGTTCGAAAACACACATGATCTGGAAGCTCTTCTTCTGCAGCATCCCTCTCTCGTCTTGGAGGCTCACAAGCTCGATCTTCAAGTGCTGGAGCTGCTCCTCGTGACACGTACGAGCATCGCCCAAAAGCTGAAGCATCTTTTCCTCCTCCTCGCGTTCCTCTGCCATGTTAGACATGACTGAAGCAACGTCTCCCATTGCGGGGATGTTGCCGGCGTCCATCTCGCGTACAAACTCGTCAATGGCCTCGATGCGGTCGCAGCAGTCAGCAATTTCGTCGGTATACGACTCGACCTCTTCCTGGTCCTCCTTAAACGCCAGCTCCATATCGATCAGCCGTACTTGAATATCACGCATGCATTCTACTGTCACCTTAAGCTCCTGCGCCAGTGCATTCATGTTCATAGCGAATGGAATAATTGACGACCGATCGAATCTTGTTGGCTGAGAAGTGAGAGCAAAGGTTATCTCGACTTGTGTACGGCAAATTCGAGACTGAGCTGCAACACACGTTACGATATTGTGATAGCATCTGTCACCTGTTAGGCGCGCCTGCTGAAGCCAAATGTTGTCGACTCTTCGTCAAGCAAAAGGTCGTACCGGTGTGTCCTAATGCATAAAACTGTCGTGCCGTTTTGCTTGAACGGGCGAATGCATTTGGTAACGCGTAAATCAGTAGCACATGAATGCTTTGGCCAAAAAAGTGAAGCGTTCAAATCACTCAGGCTACAGTGCAACTTCCACCACCATCAAATTTATCATCTTTAATGGATGGTCAAAGACTTGTGTAGCCATGGATCAGTGCCCTTCCATAGGTGTACTCGTATCTCTTCCCTGTGCTCACTTGGCCTGGTCCACTACTCCACACACATCGTGGTTTTCTCGTGGTGTCAATGACTTTTGTTATACAGAGTCGGAATGCCTTCTCTTTTGTCAATACCCATGACCAACTTCGATAGTCATCGCTTTAGTCTTCTTCTCACGAATTACGCTGCTCTGCCGTAAAAGCACGTGAAATCTCTGCGTCCAGCGCACGAACCAGCATGAAAATTCTAACAGGGTGAGTTAAAACCACAGCATAATTTGCTTTCAGCTCTCGCGCAAAACTACAGCTTCAAACAAGCTGAGAGAATTAGAAGAGCGAGACGAGTGCGAGATCCAGCAACTTCCACACATGAAAACCAAGTCCATTTGGTGGTAATGCATTCGTTCGTACGAGAAACTTGTGTCACAAGGTGTTGTAAGAGCCGATCAATGTCCGACGTCAACTTTCAAAACGGTATTGAAAGTCATCTTGCACTCTATCCGTCGCCCTTGCTTCAAAACAAGGTCATACTGCAGACCCGGTAGTTTTGGTCTCGTTACCATTGGCTGTGATCCTCGTTGGGGCCATCAACAATCTGCTGTGGGTTTTGTACGGAGCCTTCTTTACGGCGTGTACCATGAATCCAGCGGAGCCGTCGCATCTCCGGATGAGGCGCCCACATATATTACCTACCCTCCGTGATGCGTCCGCCACGTCCTTATCAATAGCAAACGTCGAGGAGGCATGGAGGCCTCGTCGTTATGATAGAGGAGGCCTAATACCACTACCTCAATAGTCATTGTCCAGACGCTCTCTCAAACTTTCAAATACGTCCATTCATCACTTGAGTAGGAATGCCTTGCTCTCAATAAAGACATGAACCATCACCACACGATATTCATTACCCGAATCACCATCCAGAAAAAAGGGACCAAATGGTTCATTCGTAATCGTTGTCGTCTTCGGGGTCAGTATGATGAATGGACATACTCAAAAGCTCCATCAAACGTTTCGTCCGCGGCAAAATATCGTCCATTGTGGTTGCGCCTAGTTCTCGTTTAAGCTTCCTGATCAAAATACTCATCCGCCGAACTTGTTGAACACCTACCAAGTCTGTTTCCAAATGTCTATCGCGTGCGCTCACCGGGGATCGAATTTTTTCAACGACGTAGTTTTGGCTCTTGCCAGCATAGTCTTCTGTGTCATCACTGCTCGGATTTTCTGTATGGAAGCGAGTTGCATCGACTGCACCTTCCTGTAGTCGTTCCTTAATGACATTCAAGCAGTGTACTAACGAGGTATTTTTTCCTGCAAGACATACCATTGATCACAAAATGAGATAAACCTCGAGCGTGCAATATAAGTCAGTAGTCCAGTGCTTACGCAGCCCACGTACTGAGGTGAAGAACGTCGCGAGTTGCGTGTAAGAAGTTCTTGATTTCGTTTACTTGCAAATAGATTTCCTGCCGAGTCCATACCAACACATACACGCACGGTTAGTGCGACTACTACATTCAACTGGTTGGCAACTCCGGACGTACATTGATCTTTGGAAGAACGCCTTCAATATTCTTGACTTGAAAAACATGTGAGAAGTGTTTTACAATCTGGTTGGTTAACACATTTGGGCGGCGCTGGAGGGATACACGAGAACACACACAGTGCATGGTAAGCTTCAACCACTCAAGCAGCTTCATCGACATCTTACTCACCTCTACTTCTGCAGCAGCTTGAGTATACATTTCACGGTGATACATGATACTTTTCTCGAGTTCCACCAGTTCTGAAACCATGTGAATAGCGCGTGACAAAGTCGTTGGGTGGCCGAGCGAACTCTCGTCACCGCTGCTGTCCTCACTATCGTTCACAATACCTGACTCGACAGTCCGCTTGCACAACTCAGTGAGAACTGACGTCTTGAATTCTTCCAAAGCGTACAGCTTTCTGCGCTCCATCGCCCACTGTTGTAATGTAGGGATAACCTGTTCCAGCTCGAAACTCACGCTAGATATGTCCGCATTGTCATTCAAATGCAAGGAAACGAATCCGCAAACGCCACGGATAAATTTCTCCATGCGCGGAACTGCTGTGACCACACTGCAAATCTTATCAAGACTCGGTGCAATGAGAGTAATGTCCGTGAGGTGAAGCACGCGGCAAACATGCTTTACGACCTCCAGTGTTGTCTCACGCGGAAGTGAGTCAAGCCGGCTAAGATGCAATCCGTGAGTTAAACGATCACGCTTCACAAGCTCTTTCGTCCCCATATACTTGCGCAGTTCATTAAGGTCACTGGCTTCTTCCAGCGCGAGCTTAGTCTCCGCTATCTGCCGCTCTAACTGGCGGATGCGACGCTGGTTTAGGCGGTAGTCACGTATACTAGGACGTGAGTCCGCCTCCAAGGATAAATTCGCATTCTCTTCTTTTAGTTCGCAGATAGTCTCGCGAGCCGCAAGCAGCTCTTGTTCAATCATTGCAACTTTCTCGACCATCACAGCCTCACGATGCCGCAACTTTGCTGCAGTCACTTCCTGTTCACGTCGGGCCGCTTCAAGTTGCTCCAGCATCACTTCGTCCGAAGCAACAGACGACGATTCGTGTTGTTGGTTGTTTCGAAGCCGCGACTGGGTTACAGATACACGGCCAATGTTGCTCTCATCTAAGCACCGCTCCCACGCTGGAGGTTCATTGTTCAAGGATGCGCGTGCTTGTCGTGCGATGAAATTATCCTTGTCACGAAGTTCACTATTAAGCGCAGCCACTTGTGACTTGAGATAATCAATCTCTTCCTGCATCTGCTCACGCTGCGCTTCATACACACCTATTGTGTCAAGCGTCTGGGAGTCACGCGGGTTAGCACGTCGCGGATCGCGGTCCTGAAGATTACGGAAGGCGCGCCGGTCTCGCATCTTATTCAAAGTATCCTTATCCACTTGCTGCTGAATCTTGGTCTGCATTTTCTCGATAATAATCTCTTTGGCTTTGACGCGGTGCTCGCTGACCTTAAGCTGCTGCTGCAGTCGGAGACACGAGTTCTTGAGCTTTTTCGACAAGAGCTCGGCGCTTTCATTTTCCTTTTTCTGTGAAGCCTGTCAGGATCCCACACAAAGTATATGAAGCAGTGAGTTACGAGTATGTAGCATAGAGCTAATCATGTTGCAAGCAATATTGGACTTCCACCCCACCTTCAGACGTTGAATTTCCGCTTTTGCTTTCTCCAAAGTCTTTAGTGTTTCCTCATTCTTCATTTCGATAGCTTGAAGTTCGCTCTCTCGCCTACGTCGTACTTTTGAGTTGCGTTGGGATGCTAATACTAAATCTTCAATCGTCTACACAACAATATAGATCAGATCCTTCATCCTCTATGTTGATAACAAAATGCATCCCTACCGAGTTCTTGTGTTCCAACTGCACTCCAAAGTCGTGAATAACACTGAAAAGTGACTCCTGGTCTGGAAGCACCTCTGATCCAACATTATGAAATCGAACAGCCGGAAGCCCATTTTTCCGTAACAGGTCATTGAGTCCGTTCCAGGCGCCTTCGTCAATTACAACTGCATCTTCACGCTTAAGGTTCTGCTCGTTCTCCGCAGGAGTATATCGAGTGCTCTTATCGTCGTTGTCCTCTTTCTTCTCATCGGCTTCTGCATAATCCAAGCCATTTTCGTCACTTTGCGGTCGATTCTGTCTACTACTTTGACCATCCGAACCATGCATCGATTTGACAGCATGTTCATCCTGACTACTATCTTTAATCGAATGTTCAGCATCTCCATCATCTGCAACCAGTCCTCGTTGCGTTCTTGATGTACGCAATGTCGTTGATTGTTGTGTCTGCCGATCTTGATCATCTGCTGTTCGCTTTCTGTGCTTTAGACCCTCCTCTCTCGACATCCTTGACAATAAACTCAATCGATCCGCTCCAGTCAATGATCGAGGCACTCCAAGTGCATCACTCAGTTCATTATCCAGTCCTCGTTCCGATGAAACAGACGAGCCCGAGTACGAATCGAATGACGGTGACAGTGATGGTGGCAATGATACAGATGAAGCTGCAGACACCATCGTCACATGTTCCATCTCTTTTTGCTGCGGTATCATCTGATACCCTGACGACAACAATGTCAAGTCTTGCTCTTCTCCCAGCTGCTGGGCCATTAGCAACGAAGCAGAGAAAGAAGAACAAGAAGAAGAACATGATACAGACGCTACCGACGGCATCTCTCGGTCTTGATTGTTCATACGGAGCGTATCATAAGATTGAGAGAGTTCCGAGCCTCGAAAAAACACCGACGTGTCTAGTAAACCCTGTTCCTGTTGATATTGTTCCTGTAAAATCAATCTGTCGTCCACTGTATCCATGTCGTGGTTATTATTGCTGTCTCTTTTCTTGTCTTGTTGCTCTAATAGTAGCCCCTCATCCTCCAAGAGCACAAAACGTGGCGATTGATTCGTACTATTGCCCTCAGACGACGATATGTGACGTTCCTCCGCGTCACTAAGTAGCAGTTCATCATCTAATACTTCATCTCCACTAAAAGATGTAAGACCTAACGCCGTATCGGAGATACTGAACCCATTGTCCCGTAAGAATTGATCCACGCTGGACAAGCTTTCGTCGTCTTCCATGTCATGAACAAAGTGGTCCACTTCATGTTCAATACGACAATAAAACCTGTGCCTAACGAAACGAATGTGGTCCACTTCATATGCAATACGACACTAAAATTCGCCTGATAATGAAGCGAGTTGGGCTGCTGCTGGGGCTGCTGGTGTTTGTGGTGTTTGTGGCTGGAGAAGAGGATCCATACAGAGTATTGGGTGTCAAACGCTCGGCTACGGAGGCAGAGATTAAAAAGGCGTATCGATTGCTGGCACTCAAGTGGCATCCGGATAAGAATTTGGGGAATCCACAGGCTGAAGAGCAATTTATGCGTATTGGAGCGGCATACGATCGATTGACGACTGTTCCAGTTGGTACAGGACAGGAACGACGTCAGAGACAAGAGCACCAGCACCAACGCTATGAAAGGAACTATCATTATCGTACTTATCAGTATCAGATTCGATGGGATCTATCGCATTTGACGACGCCTTTTTTCCTCTTGATTGGAATTGCTGTGGTGGCGGGACTGTTGCAATTGGGAACGAAAACGACGGAAGAAGGAGGAGAAGACACGGCGGAGAAGCAGGTGGGGGGGGGGTGACTGAGATTGTAGAGGTTATTGACTGGCTGGTTTTAATGGTAGTGTTGATGTAAAAGAGAGAGAGTCCATTGGGACAAGTAGCCAAGATCGTTGCACCGTCAAGTTATGAGCTGAATGTGCTTTATTTGACGGCGAAAGGACGACGGACGCTTGTTTTTTTACCGGCTGAGGATCGACATGGGTGTAGTGTACGAGGTTCGTGGAGTTGGTAGATCTGTCTTGATTCAAAGTGGAGTGCACTGGACTAAGTGGTGGTTGCTGCTGGGGTGACGCAATAGATCAATTTAGCGTCATCGAGAAGCTAGCAATTGAGTTTCAACGCGACCCACTTACTTTTTGCTGGCTGGATCTGAAGACACAACCTGCTGATAAGTGCATGCTATGGGAACAGCAGTTTGGGACGAAGATACCTGCTCGTACGTTTCTGTATCTTATTAAGGTGTTTGATACTAACGCATTTGTCTCACGTACTGTTTTGCGTAGCGTTTGTTGTTGCATTGAGCTACAAAGGAAAGAAAATATCACTGCTGCCTCCGCGCAACAGCAGTAGCAATGGTCGTCACGTCCTAGAGGAAGATGTTCGCAAGTGGCTATTGCGTCTATTAGGTGGCGAGGTGGTCCAGAAGCCGACAGCCCATGGTTTTATGTGACCCGGGTTTATACTGCGAATTTCTAAACCCAGGACAAGACCAAAATTATATTGATAATTCTGTTTTAAATGATACAATCAACAATTATTTTATTTCAAAGGTCAGCAACCGATTTATCTACACGTTAAAGCTTGGGATAAAAAACCTCATCCGATGCTCGTCAACTGTATATCATGTCATCCACACCACATTCCTGTTGTCCACATAAATCCCTTCACTGGCCCATGTCTCGTCGCCATCTCCTCCAGCTCCTGCCTCGTCGTCGTCTCTTGTGCGTATCATCGCCTCCTCTACCGTCCTTAAATACTGCTCGTTTCTATCGTATTTCATCCAATGAAAGCTCTTTAACGCATTGTCGTTCGTCTTCCTCAAGTCGCAGTACGAAATCTCTCAGTCAATTGGTACATGCGTTGCGTATTTTCCATACCTTGGAGCAACATTTTGCTGTACCTTTTAATTTTGTCGTACCTCGGAGTACTCTTTGGCCTCGAGAATTGCATCATGTACGTTTGGGTATGAAGGTACATAGGTTTATGCAAGTACAGAGGAAAGACGGCACAGCATCGACGACGGCCTTGAAGACAAGGACACATCATTTTGAACAGTTACAAGAATTACAAGCCATGGGGTTTCCATTCGACTCATGGCAAGAGTATCAATTTCAAGAGGTTTGTCTTCCTGCTTTAAAGACGTATATGAAACAATATGGAGATTTATTTGTGCCACAGAAATTTGTGGTACCAGAAGAAGAAGAAGAAGAAGAAGAAGAAGAAGAAGAAGAAGAAGGAGTTATTTGGCCAAGAGCAACAAGGGGATACAAATTGGGACTTGTTGTCGCAAAACTACGAAAACAAATGCAACAACAAAAACAGAGAGAACAACAACTGCTGAAGGACATGAAGAAACAAATGGCTACTTCAGCCGCTTTGCCACCTTTGCCGAAAAATCAAGTGGATGCATTGAATGAATTGGGATTTGTATGGAGAGTACGAGATACGAAATGGTATCAATTTTTTCTTCCTGGTCTAAGACGATACAGGGAATTGAATGGAAATGCAGACGTACCATTGGCATTTACAGTCCCGTCCCATCAAGAAGACCCAAGATGGCCGAAAACACTGGAAGGATACATGTTAGGACGACATGTGCACATGGTGCGATCGGGAAAGTATGCGACGCAGGTTCGCGATAGCAAAAAAGAGCTAGAAGAACTGGGATTTTCGTTTCGACTTGTTGACAAAGCATGGGTAGAAAGCATTTTCCCTGCACTTGAGGTCTTTTCCACGCAATACGGTCACTGCGATGTGTGGCAAGATTTTGTGGTGCCTTCGGAAGAGGCTTGGCCTACAGACTCGTGGGGATTGAAGCTGGGAGACACAGTAAAGAACATCCGACGCGGAGCATATGATACTCAGGTGCAAGCGGCCCGTAAAGAGCTTGATGCTTTAGGTTTTGTTTGGAATGCGCGCCACCGCGTGGAAAAGTTTGTGCGTAGCGTGGTGATTCCGGCACTGACGACGTACCAGAGACTGCACGGCAACGATGCCCTCGTGACGACGGACTTTGTAGTACCTGATCGCGACTCAAACTGGCCCGTACTCTCGCGCGGCTTTAAACTTGGTCAGTGGATCACACGAGTACGCTCAGGTCAAGTTGCACTTTCGCCCAAACTGCGTTCGGAGCTGGATAAGGTTGGCTTCGTATGGCGTTCTTACGACCGGCGTTGGACCGATATCCTGCTGCCAGCGTTCCAAGCGTATGCTGAGCTGCACGGTGGCACTTGTGCGTCGATGAGCACGAAATTTACTGTGCCACCTGAAGCGCCGTACCCACGCACAGCCTGGGGCGTGAATCTAGGTGGCGCCCTGTGGCACATTCGCAATGGCGACTCGTACGTGAATTGCGAAGACAAGCAGCGAGAACTGCGAGCGCTTGGGATTCTGACCGACGATGCCGTGGCGTAAAGCCAAATGGACTGGGATTTTTCCATTTTGCCGGCGCGAAGACATGCCGTCATATATAACTTACTTGAAGAACTTTAGAATCATTTTGTAAAATTCACATCGTGACTCGTAACTCACTAGCTTACAATTACTTGACGACAGCTCTGTTGACAATGAACACGTGCTACTGGGATCGTCTGGCCATTAACTTCAAGGTGAAACCCAGGGAAGCAAAGTATGCCTGGCCGAGTGGCTAAGAGCCTTTTCTGTGTACTGAACTCGCGCCGACGATTGCCGTGGCTTTCCAAACACGGTCCTAAATTGAAGCGCTCGAGCTGCTTACCCACGAGAATCCAATCGTCCTCGCTGCTTTCGTTAAGACAAAGAGACAATGTATCTGTGTCATCTGCCATGGTGGCCATGTTAAAGTGTGAAACTTCCTCTTGCACATGGATTTGGAACGTTACAGGCTTGCTTACAGTGGCTTCAACAAGTTCGCCCATAAACGTGTGGGCCTCGTCCTGGCCTCTCGGGAGTACATCAATCCGGTAGCGTTTTCCCTCCACTTCTTTTAGCGGCACATGTATAGCCATGGTCTTTAGCCACGTTTCATCAGCGCCATACTTTAGATCCAATTCAAGTGAGCAGTAGCTGCCACTACTTTCCTTCTCAAAAGCTGGGGAGCAAGCTAATGTGAATGCGAGATATACACGGTCGTTTGGGCGAAGATTCGTGCCCCGTAACTTCGTGTTCGGATCCTGCTCCACTGCTATTACCGGATCGTGCACAGAAGCATTGCCGACTTGTCCAAAGCATCGCAAACAGTAGTGTCGGAGCACAACGGAAATAAAAGGATTACATACGAGTGCGATGGAGGCAAATATCCTCGTGCCCACGCGTCGAAGCTGCACTTCCTCGGTCAACGGTTGTAGCAAGCGAAAAATTGATTCGGTGTAGCGTATTTCTGTAGTCGTTATTGGTGCATTTGCATTCACCCGTTCCCGTTGATATCGTACACTTGCACGGACAGTAACGATGGTGTTATCTTCGTTCTCTCGCTCAGAGCTGCTTCCAGTGGAATCGATTGGAGGTATCGTTACGGTCACGGCATATCGCAGTAATTCACCACGGAATAATGTCGGTAGTGCAACACTCAACAAATTGCCGCATCCTCCGTGACTTGCAACATGGTTGTTCTTGGTATCTTCTAGTGATGCTGTGGTATCCGACTCATCAAGCTGTTGTATCCCAATCAAGTGGGCCCCGCACCCTTCCTCGCTACCACTTCCGCCTTCTTCTAATTCTTCTTCTTCATTGTTTTGCGTGGCATTATTATCACAGCTTCCATTCCTGATGCGTCGAAAAACACGTAGCTCTAGAATTCCATTCACCACCATATTGTCGTTCGCTCGGATGGAGACTGCAATAGTTTCCACCTCAGACAATGGCCGCGGTATAAGTAATGGGGCACCGTCAATGCCAACATGGACCGCTCTCTCTTTGGCAGCGATTTCAAAATTAGCGAAAAAAAGCGCGCTAGGAGGAAACAAGTGAAAAGTGCTTCCCGCGATGACGCATTCTATCCCAGTGCATGTGTACTGCCCTACCGGAACGCCCGAGTGCAAGAACACCAGATTGACACCCGTTTTCTCATCGAGGTGGATATTCCTCTTCTCCAGAAGTAATTCTGTGCCATGCTTGTGCTCTCCGCCGACATTTTCAACCGTATCATCAGGAGTTATCGCTGACTCGACCATTTTAGTTTTGCTACGGTGACTGCAATCGTGCGTAGATGTCAAGTCGGCATCTAGTATGGTGTTCTTGTCGTGTTCGACAGAAGCACCAGCAATTCTGTCTTCGTTCCATCCCAGATCGTCATGGTGCAACACATCTTTTTGAAAAGAACTCTCGTGTGATTCTGGTATTGCTGAAAAGCGAGCGCAAACTTTATCGAGATCTACTCCTGCCGGAAAATCATTTGCAATAACCAGTGTGACACGGATGTCCCCGTGCTCCAGTTCACTACTGCTAGCCTGCGTCGTCTCGACGGTCATTGAAGGACTGAGTAATTCGCCCAAATTGATCTCGGACATGCTGCTGGACTTTTCCGTATCTACCACCGAATTAACAGAATTATCTGCATCACCATTACTCTCAAGACTAGCCACGAGAGTAATCAGTAGCTCTTTCATCTCCTCTTTGCTCACACTCACTTGTTCTTTCTGCGCATGTCGTAACATACTAAAGAAGGCTGCAACCGCTTGTGCGGATCGTCCTAAGGCCAGCTCAGCCCGACAGATGCTTTGGACACAAACACCAAATATTGTCCACCAACCGTCCTCTTCGCTTTGCCGGGCAAGCGAACGCAAAAGTCGCGATGCGCTGTCAAACTCTCCACGTGCGAGGTGGTACTGAGCACATTCTCCTCCAAGATACACGGCAAAACGATGGCGTCCAGACTGTGAAAAGTGCATTGAAGCGAGGTGTGATACCTCGGACAGACAACGCTCATAGGAGTCGCAGGTCTCAGATCGCCGCCATTCTGCAGCTACAAACACTTGTTCGAGTTCCTGATACCACGTTATTGACGCTTCTGCATCATCCGCATCAGCATCCACATCCGACAAGTTTGTAAATGGCATATGAGAACCATTCCTGGACTTTCTGCACTTTGCAAAATTCTTTAGCACCCGCCGGGCAAGATACAATACATTTCCGAGTGCACGAGACATCTCTTCGACAGGAATCGCTTGTGCGACTTGGACAGACACACTGGAAGCAGTCCACTCTTCATCACGGCCACTCCACGACAGCTCACATGCATATGAAACTTCCATACATGCGCCCACCGCCCACAGAAATGGTTGATACCACTTTAACTTGCCTTCCGCTGCTAACTCCTTCAATTCAGCCAGAAAGAACTCAATAAATGAACTAGCACGCTTTAGCAGCTGCGGAAAATTACCCATAACGTAAAGCGTCCGAATTTGTCGACAGAAACAGTAGAGCGAGACAAGACGAGCTGACGCGCAATTCGACGCAATGGACTGCTGGATTTCGGAAAGATCTAATGCCAACTGTAGCAACACAAAAGCACCTTAGACTCACTCATTATTCTCGTCGTTAGTCCAGCCCGTAAAACCTGATAAAAAAACAATCATTTCAACGTACTGGAGACTGCGTAAAGACGGGATCGTGCCATTCAAAACAAGTCTTGCTATTGTCTTGGAACACTTGTTTTTCCGTCTCATTTAAGTTGACGAAAATTGCGTCTAACTCGTCCAACTAAATATCAAATCATCACATCAAGTCAGGCAGGACAAGGTCACCCCCCAGTTTGCAAAAAACTAGCAGTTTCTCCACTGCTTACATGTCGAATAGCATCGTCTTGTAAATACATATCTTGATACATCAACGCCAGTCTTTCTTTGGCGACAAAGAAATCTCCAAAATTCCATCCAACGGCATTTCGTTTTCCATCCAGAATCCGTAGCTTTTCTTCATACTGAAAACACTTGAGCTCGAATGCACTCATGATGCAACATTTTAATCTCATGACCAACTCTGTCCACTGCGATTCATGTTGTTGTTGCTGTCCGACAATACTTGTCCCCTCTAAAGTATCAATTTTACACACCCGCTCATAGAAAACCGAGCTCGAACCACCACTAGTGGGTCCAAGCAAGGAACTGTTCTTTTTCTGTCCAAAATCCGTTTTCAACTTGTCAAAAATCTTCCTATAAATGGGATGGGGTACATTTCCAGCTGTTTTGGGATGTGTACCCATTGGCACATAAAGGAGCAACCACTCAATTTGAGCAACTGTCATCGCATCGACCCAAGTGGCTATTGCCGGTCGTACCATATGTTTGTAAGTGTCAAAATCTTCACATTTGACCAAATAAATCCAATTAAATGGCACTTTTGGTGTAATATTTGCACTTGAAAGTTCCATAAAATAAAGTGGCAATTGGTTGATACATTTCGTCACTCCAACGAGGTTACGCCATTCAATGCCACGTAAAGGAAGACGCTGCATTAAAGAGGGAGCGAGAAATTGCCAGACGCCGCCTTCGTCGGTGTAGGCCACACGAAGTCCTGGAGAGAGTAATTGACGTGTAAAATCGGGCTCCACGGACGCGTACATGATTACGAAGTGTCGAGGTGTATACTATCTGTATACTTTATTGGGGATGGAAGGATGACTGTCAGTGTGGACGGTCTCTGCACCGTTTGTTGGCTTAGAAAAGTTGCAGTGATGGACGGTTAGAAATCGTCACTTGGAATTTAGAAATTACTACTCGCTACGTATACTATTAATATATTAGAAACAAATATGAAGACTTTAGTTTATTACTATTACTTATAGTAGTATACTATTAGAAGTAGTAATACTATACATAGGTCTACTCTCTGGTGCTAGTACTTCCTGCATAGGTGACAGTCATCATGTAGGTCCAGCATATCAAAAATAGTACCCTATCGTGTCAATATTTCTCACAGGATTAATATAGCACAACAAATGCTGCCTCGCGACTTCTTGCTGAATAAAACACTTTGCGACGTTTTCCCTTGTTAGTCTATCTATCATTCCCCATTTTCATTTGTCGCTTCAGCAAATACGCTTAAAACCCCGTTGGCTGCACAACAATCTACTAACTATCCACCTCATGTATGATATGGCTTGCACATTTCCCTCTGCTCGTCTTGAAACGATGCAAACCAAAACGAAATAGCCCGCAAAAGTAGCGAAATCACTTCCAAAGGTAGCGGCAAGCTGGTCCATCGCACGTGACCAACTAAATTATTGGATCGTCAGGAAGCCACGCAATGTGTTGCGAAACTGACCGAGCTTCTGCGTAAACTTGTCACGGTTTGCAGCCTCTAGATTGGGGCGCACGTCAGCGAACAACAAGGCAAAAGCCTCTTCAATCTGTACACGTTTCTCGGGTGGTTGCGAAGATTTCAGCTGTTGTTGGTAATTTGTGAGTGCTTCCTCGCTGCAAAGTGTTAGACTCAAGATTGGCCTGGACAGGGTCCATTGTGAATTCACCTCGCCGTACACCACAATGTCAAGCAACGCCGCCAGCAGCGTTGACCACATGGTCGGCGAGCCCTGTACATGTGCGCATAAGATATGCTTCACAGGTGTGTCCCGCTTCTTCTTCATTTCCTGGAAATACAATGACGCTAGATGGTCCACTGCCGTCGCGCATTGAGCTGCAATTGCTAGGTCATACGAGGTTATTCCTTCGTGTAAGGACTGTACAAGCTGGCGAAAGATGCTGTCTTCCAACGCCACCACGGACGCCAGCTGATTGCGGAATAGAATCTCCAGGAAGAAAAAGTAGGCATTTTTCAACTTCGGGTAGTGCATCAAGTCCTCGTGGGGAATAGATAGGACAAGCTGCAGTGCAATTTCTAGTACGTTCTCCAGAGACTTGTCATTGTAGAGCTGAAACACACCGAAATTCACGTAGTTCCCGCCTAGTGCGCGGTAAAGAATACCCAGACATATTGCCACGCCCTTATACTTATCGCCGTATGGATTCTTCCCTGCCGGCACTGGTTGTATCCGCCGCCCGTACGCCACTATAACGCTACTCAACTCGTGAAACAGCAATATACCGCTGACTGAGCTCTGCTCAAACGTAAGACGCTGAGCCTTGTTGTAAGCCAGCTCCTGCAAAAACTTGAGCAGAGCTGTTGTTACAGCCGGGCAATCATGCAACTCATCTGCAGCTCGTACAAACACTGGGAAATAAGTCGGATACAAGAAGTCGAAGATGCAGCTGTATGTGTGTCGGTTGTGCGTCTGCTGCACAATTCCCCGCAGATCGCGACACACGCCAGTCACAGCCTCACGAACTTCTGGCACACGATAGTTGACGGTTTGCAAAAGCTGGTTAAGAACGTTCTCAATAGGGTCCATGAATCGTTCAAACCGATCCGAAGACTCATCGAAAGCGGTCGTGAAAATAAGCCGCGCAATGGTTGAGTGGAACATCGTTCGGTGTCGCGTGTTAGCTGGAACCACCAGAAATGGAAACTCTTCTGCCGTGTGGTTCCCGATAAGGTACTGCACCGTTTCCAAACCAAGAAGGAGCTTCCCGGAGGAGTATCCAGATGCAACTTCGAAAAAAAGCGCCAGAGTCTTGCTAATAATCACCTCAGTCTCACCCCAAAATTTGAGATTGTTGCCCACTTTCGTTACCACCATGTTCACGACAACCGTGTGGTCACCCAGTCCTAGTCGCTCGAACATGCGCAAATATGTTTTGTGCTTAGATGACATAACACTTTCGCTAGGAGCCATGATTGGTGATGAGGCCGACGCTGACTGCAGGGATGACGACGGCGTAGGTGCCGATGGCATGCCATGCTGCTCCCCGATGTAGCTCTTGCGAAAACTACTAAAGTAGTAGAGCAACGATAATTCAAAGTGCACGCTAGGTTTTGCATGTCCACCCGACGCAATGATCCGATGCTCCGTCAGCTGCATCGCGCGAAAGACCCGCTGCGAGAGGTCCGCGTCGACAAACTCATTGCCCTCCGTTGACGTGGACGAGTATGTCTGCCCACCAAGAATGGCGCCAATAACGTACACGAGCCAGGCTACCCGATTCTCCATACTTCCCAATTGCTGCTGCTGCTGTAGTGGAATTGTGGCTCCACCAGTTTGGTCTAAGATACTGCACGCCTCCGCGTACTGATTCAAAATCGGATCCAACACTGACACAATGTACTCCCCTGTCTGCCGGTAATTAAAGTGGCACAGCGTTGGCAGCTTTTCAAGTTGCTCATATAGACCACCCTCGTCATTCAGCGGGTTGTCCAGCGTGTCATCAAGAGCACATTGTTCTGCAGAATCTAGACGTGACTGCAAGTACGCCTGAATAATCTGAGGTACACGCGAGTCCAGGAAGTTAGCAGTACCGGAGTACGGCGAGCACGACACCGGTTCTGAGCGCACATAAGGTAGCGCAGCCACTAGGCGCGACCACAACGATAGCAAATAGTGAGTTGAGTTCGCAGACCACTGCCATTGACGGAAAGACTTGATCGTAAAATCGGGTGTAAGGTCCATCCATTCTAGGAATGAATCCGTCTTCATAAGCTCTAAGAGCTGGTAATTCGACTTCAAGCGGCCGGTTAGACGGCAAAACTCGTGGTAATTTTGCTGATCCGATAGCCCTTCCTGTGTGCGCAAAATAGCGCAGATACCTTTTAGTAAATGAGAAAGATACAAACCCCTCTCTTTCTCCGGCGAGAATAGATTACGACGCACGGACGCAAACAGCATGAGTGCTTCGAGGCATTTGGACGAATTAGGCGGATTAGTCGTCGTGTAAAAGTCAAAGAGCAGTTGTAAAGTGTCGGGATCCTGAATAACCGAGCGCCACGACGTGGGCACCTGTAGCGAACTTGTCTCATCAGCCGACTCGTCTAAATTGGCACCAATAAAGTCAAAAGATAGACACTTGATAAGTAGTGTCAGTGCCTGGTCTCCCATTCTTGCTTCCTGCTGCGGCGTTGCCCCTCCAATGTTGTGCATCTGAAGTTGTTTAATGGACGTGAGTGCGACCTGGAAAATCCGAAACAGCGAATCTTCTCGAAAAGACACGGCACTTTTGCGATGAAACGTGATGTTACGGCCGACTATAGGCAAGCTCATTTCCGTGACCAACTCACTCAAGATTTGGAGTCCAATGACACAGTGATCTACTGTAGCTTGCAAGAATTTTGTCACTTCTGCAACAATTTCACGGTGTTGCTCATCATCAAACCAGCCGTACTTGGTAAGACGACAGACCATTTGAATTAATGACGTTGTCACAAATTTCTCCAGTGTCGGTCCCTTTTGAGCCAAATATCCCAGTACATAGTTTCCTATCATGAAAGAAATAATATGAAAAAAATAATGTAAAATCAGTACAATACATAAAATTAGGCAAGGGGCAATAATTCTGTCGGTTTGTGACGCACGAATGTCGACACGTTGGGAAGTTGTAAAATTGTTCCAATGTGACGTAAGAAGCTTTGTGAGACTTGTGCTAGCAACGAGCAGCGCATAGGGCGACGATGAATTGTCGAGTACGTATTGACACTGTGGAATGTACTCGGCTGAACTCTGCAAAATGAGCACGGCCTGCTGTGCATGAGCGCGTTCTGATTCATTTCCACTCTCATATAGTACGCGACATAGCGTCTCTAGCTCACGTAATTGATTGGCGTCCATGGTGAAGCGGCAGAACTGCAATTAGCTCGCTCTTTATCTTGCCGAGGGGGGATTGATGCAGTTATGTTGTATATCAGGATAAATCCTACGATAGGACAGATCGAAACGCCTAATGTAGACACAAAAGTAGAATGTACGACAGAAAAGTCGCCCGACTCAGATGGACAGTAATGTAAGAATGACGACTGCTTACCGGCTTTTTCTGTAATTACAGAATCAATGAGATGTATACAAACAACACTTTTCTCACCTTCAAACAACTGATGGATTTTAACCTTTTACAATGACTTCTTTGTTCTTATCAAGCGACATAACGTTAATACTACCATGCACACCATCCGTTGGCAATGGAATTGTGATTTTCATAGCGCTGCGCTTGGAAGTTGAGCTCTTGATCTGCCGTCCACATACAAATATAGAGACGATGTTACGGTCGTCACCGAGGAAGAGGAATTTCTGAAACGTGTGCAAAACGTCTGCAGCTTCGACGTGGTCAAACGATTCGTCGATAGGACTGTTCTCAATGTAAGGATCCACCACCAACGCATCAAAGTCTTTGCCGATCATGAAATTGCCAATCGTGTCGCCAAGTCCAAGTGCTTCGGCGCTACCTACGGTCGCAAGATGAAAAGCTTCAGCATATGAGAGGGATTGTTCTTGTGGATCATCATTGTACTGATTGCAAAAGCTTCCATTACCAATGGAGACGAGCTTGGAGGCGATAACGGCTTGACGAATGGCGTCCAACATGGACGGAGAATAGCCACCCGATACATCAGTTCCCAGGCCAACCTTAATTCCCTCCTGCAGCAATCGTCGAACATTGAGAACACCACTGGAAAGCGAAAAGTTAGAGTTGGGACAGTGGATCACAGCCGTCTGCTTTTCATGCAGAAGCTCGCGCTCACTCGTACTGCACCAAACGCAGTGTGCCATGTAAGACCGCTCATGTAGCAGACCATGGTCATCGTAGACGCTCGTATATGTTTTGCATTCCGGGTGCAGACTCTTGACCCACTCGATCTCCTGCCGATTTTCGCCCAGATGCGACTGTATTGGTAACTTGGGCGCATGTTCTCTCGAGATCTCCGCCAACCCATTCATGAGCTTGGACGAGCAGCTAGGTACAAATCTCGGTGTGATCACTGGCGTCAGCAAGTGGTTCTGCTTGCTTTGCACGTACTTTACAAACGTTCTCGTGTCATTAATAGACGTTTGGGTGTCCTCTACCAACCCGGACGACGCGTTGCGGTCCATATTGACCTTCCCCACGTAGCCCCGTTGACCCACTTGCTCCAAGATGTCCGTCAGTATCTTGCATGCATCAAGATGCACCGTAGCAAAGTACGAGCACGTGGTGGTGCCATTGTTGACATGACGACGCACTGCCTTGTCGTATACAGCTCGTGCGTACTCGAGATTCTGGAATTTTGACTCGTACGGGAACGTGTACGTCTCGAGCCACTCAAGCAGTGGCAGGTGCATTCCTACGCCAATGAATGAATACTGAGGAGCATGTGCATGCCCATCGACAAAGCCAGGAAGTAACAATTGGTTGCCCAAGTCCACAAGCTCATCAAAGGACTCGATGTCCATCTCTAACTGGTTCAAATCCTGCACAAAGACAATTTTACCATCTTCGTCTACACCCACAAGTCCAGGTTCAAGCACTTGTAATTGACCCAGAGCAATGGAATGCACCACATTCGCCTTGTATGCGACAATGCGAGGCATGTTTATTTTGTCAAGTCACGTGCGCTGTAGACTGTAAATTCGTCAATGACCCTCTTTGTTTTTCCTGTTCTTCACATTCAACGACGAAAAAAAAGGCCGTTTTGACAATTATTATTATTTTTACGAAAGGAAAATATTCGGGTAATTCAATTTGATATTGCAATAATACGTGTACCATCAATAGCAGAGGTCCATAATGATCAAAGGTTTGCACCCCATTAGCCAAGCGTTACTTGGTACGCTTGTTACCTGGGGCTTTACTGCTCTTGTACGTTTATTCCTCTTTCATCCTCTTCTTCTTCTTGTGGTTTATCTTCTCGTTATCCTTTTTCTATACAGGGCTCGGCAATGGTGTTTGTACTGGACGTGGAGAATAAAGCAACAAGTCGAAAGATTCTGGACGGCATGCTCGGTTTTGCTGGTGGTGTCATGTTGGCTGCTTCCTATTGGTCTTTATTGGCACCAGCTATCGAGATTGCAGAAGAGTCTGAGCTCTATGGACCAAATGGTCGCTGGTCTTTTGTCCCGGCAGCTGTGGGGTTTACACTTGGAGCAATGACGCTCTTTGGTACTGAGAAGGTATTGCCTTTTGTCGAGAAATACGTGGTCATTTCTTCGGATGAAGAGCTCAAGATGAAGAAGAAAGATGACGATTATAACGACGAGAACCACGGCAAGCCAACGCTTGGCAATACGAGCAGCTACCGACGAGTGCTGCTGCTTGTTATTGCAATTACACTGCACAATTTACCCGAGGGGATGGCAGTTGGCGTAGGATTCGGAAGTGTCGGTCACAGCTCCAATGCGAGCTTTGGCAATGCCGTGAATCTGGCGATTGGCATTGGACTGCAGAACTTCCCAGAAGGGTTGGCCGTGTCAATGCCATTGAGAAGAGAAGGTGCATCGGCATTTAAAGCGTTTATGTGGGGACAAGCGAGTGGGTTGGTCGAGCCGATTGGAGGGGTGAGCTGCTTTAATGAGGAGAAGAAAAGGTGTGACGTGCTGATTCTTGTTTGTGGGTTTATTTTTGGGAAATTTATAGTTGATTGGAGCGGGCGCGGTCTTGTACGTGCAGCCAATTCTTCCGTACGCACTGTCGTTTGCTGCAGGAGCTATGATATTTGTCGTTGTGGACGATCTCGTGCCCGAGACAACGCAGAGTGGCAACCAAAAGCTGGCAACTTTTGGCACTATAATTGGCTTTGTTGTTATGATGGTAATGGACGTCGCACTCGGATAAAGAGATATGGTAAACTTACTTAGACTCATTCGAAACCACAATGAAGGTGAAAGGAGGTCTGATGGCCTCGCGAAAAATGCATTTTGCGATGAATCTTATTGTTGCCGTACTCTGATTTGTTTGGTTTTGCCTTGTGGCTAATGGTGCAGTGGTTCCAACACCGGAGGATTTGACGTCAATAAGGCAAATAGTCCAGGAGTCTGATGATGATGGTCCTTCAGTGGATTAAAGAGTGCTAACACGACGTAGCTAGAGATTCCAAGGACTGTTACGCCAATTTCTCGATTATGCTTAAGCTTGGTGGCTCATTGCCGTCAGCTCTCACTTACTGGACAGCATAATGTAGTCCGGCCGCGCATCAGCGTCGAGAGCTTGAACAGTGTTGTCCACATTTAGGTGTTATTGGATGCGTCGTGCACTTTTATCGAAGACTCATGTCGCGCTGCTCCTATCCACAGTTGTTCGGAAGTGCGGAAGTGCTGTAGACTACCAAGCACATGAAAATAAGGAGGTCCACCTGACTGCAAGCCACATCAGCTTCTTTTAACAGTGCTATGAACTGGGTTTGCAGCAAAACTCCGGATGAAAGATGATCCTTCACGGAAGGAACGCTGAGGTTGAAAGTATGTTAGAATCTGACGTAGGTACGGAGTATTGCATCTAAATAGGTTGGTACTGTTGACGATTTTGTCCGTTCTGGTGACGGTGACGACTTGCGTAGACTGTAGCCACAAGCAACAGGACGGCGCAGCAGACGAAGAGCGACACGGTTGCACTCGACACGATTTCATTTGGTGCACTTGCCTGCAAGATTGTTGCTCTGGTCTGTTTTGCGAAAACTGCATCGTGGTACACATCTTCCTGAGAAGGACCAGGTGCTTTCGTGTCAAACACATTTCCTGCTGCCTCACGCTCAAACAGGCCGGTAGGATAAGACATGACGGTGCAGTTGTCGTCACCGTAGAGAAAGCAGTCAAAGAGGTGAAGGCCGTGAAGCGGGCGCACAGCGGGCACCATGTGACCTGCACCCTTCACAGTCTTGAAAGTCAAACCAAGCTCGAATTGCTGGTGGTAACCGGCGATCTGGTTGTCCGGGCCCAACCATGCTCGCCATGGCGACGCAGGCTTCAATGCGAGTCCGTCGGCTTCTGTAATCCAGCGCTGCGTACCGATAAAGTTTACAACAGAATCAGCGTCACCACTGTAGATAAGAACCTTCAATCCGTTGCCGAGCAGCTTCCGGTACTTGTCCAGCGACGAAACCGTGCGGATGTAGTTGCGCGAGATGTAAGACTGACAATCCACCCACTTCATCGGCAACTCGCCTTCAATATGTATCGCCTGCTGCACGTCCAACTTGTTCAAAAGAGCCTTGGTAAAGTCACTAGCACACGGACCGACAACTCCACGGTACATTTGAATCTTTGGACCAACATTATCAAGCAGGTGCAAGTGCAGCGCAGACCGTTGGTTGTTTCTCATGTGACACACGTCGCCGTAGATATAGTAGTGATTGAACTCGTCCGTGTCTGCAGCCTCGTGAGCTTTCAAAACAGCCTCCTCGCAACGTGTCGTGCAGTTAACATCCATGAACATACACTGTGCCACATCGTTGTCGCAGTACTCAAGAAGAGTCAAATAGTCTCCACGCGAAATAAGCCCGTGTGTGTAGTAATAGTACATGTACGCGTTGCCATCGATCTCCATGTCCGTAAGCGGATTACCAATGGCAAACCCCTTAAGATTCAGCCCCTCCACGGGATCATCCACCAGTCGTTCTACCAAGAACGGAACGTACATACCAGCATAGCTCTCACCCGTCACGTAGAACTCGCGGCTTTTGAGTTCTGGGTACTTGGCTAGAAACTCGAGTAGAAATCGCCGAAGTCGGTCCGCCACAACATCGTCATTGTAGTAACCGACCGGAGCTTGTTGCGGTTGGCTAAAGCCAACTCCAGAGGGTGAATCCACCCAGATTATATTTGCACGGGCGTTCCAGCCGTACGGATTGAGGCCAACACTTCCGTCACGTTTGGCGACGAATGGTCCGTTTTCCGTGAAAAACCCTTCGGTCGACGCACAGCCTGGACCTCCGTTTAGCCAGAGCACAATGGGATCGCTTTCGGGTGAGCGTCGAGATTGTGCGTACCAATAGAACATTTTTTCCTTGGTGACTGTAGGTAAATGCAGTTGTCCAGCGTAGTGCTTGAATGGGACGTCCTTTTGCTTGAGACCAGGAAGATCCCCAACGCGATGAGCGTCATACGACATGGTAGGGGATGCGAAGAGCATTGCACCCAACGCTGCAATCGTGACAGAGAGCTTCATGGTTAATTTGATTACGTTGGCACTAGATAAATTATCAAATGGGGGTATGATCAAACTGGTCAAGCTGTCTACGAAGATGTGTGCCTAGTACAGTCGAATATATCCGTCATTGCGAAAGGGATGGAAGTAACGGTTGACTATGTGGAATGATTCAACAAATAATGAGCTTCTAAAGGGGGCCTCGTCGACATTGATTGAGCCACGTCGGCCATTGAATCGAAACGATTTGGCAAGTGATGTCCAATCAAGATATGACTTACTTGGTCATCATGACCACCTACCTACCTACATTCACTGAAGATACTGCGTTTACATGTAGGCTTAACTGCCATATTGCATGGTCTACCTGGCCAAACTAAGCATAGCTGTCACCTAGTTACACTACGGCCTGGTAGCCATTGGCGCATCGACGCTGGTATATGCCCCGCTGCCGGATATTCTGGATGGCAACGGCCACTAGCATCACGATCAATCCGCATGCCACGATCAAAATTAATGACGCCTGGGACTCGTTCTCGGAGATAACGTTGCCATTGACAGTGTTATCGACGTTCTGGTCTACCACCGTCAATCCAGCTTCGATCTCGTTGTCATCTATGGGATACAGAAACTTATTGCAGGCGTTCTGACCGTACACGAAGCACTCGAAAAGATTGAGACCGTGAAGAGGCCGAACTGCAGGCACCATGTGACCAGCACCCTTGACGGTCTTAAAGGTCAGACCATTGTACATCTGTTCGTATCCAGCCAACTGCTTGTCCGGACCAAACCAAGCATGCCACTTCTCCTTGATATGCAACTTGAGCCCTTGACCACCAATCCAGCGCTCAGTACCGACAAAATTTACGACAGAATCGGCGTCACCGCTGTAGATAAGCACCTTGAGGTCATGTTTGAGGATGTTCTGGTACTTAGGAAGCGAAGACGGGCTGGACTTGTACAAATCTCCAACTGGATCGCTGCAGCCCTTCCAAGTGACGTATTTGCCACCAGGCTTTGTTACATGGATGGCTTTTTGCACACTCCGCTGGTTCAAGTACGCGTGTGTGAGTGAATCGGCGCAAGCACCAATGTCACCACGATGTGTGGGCGACAACAGCACCGATGGTTTGGCTCTCTTGCGCAAAGCCTTTGCCTGTGTATTATCCAGCAGGCATTTGTCACCGTAGATGAAGTACGGGTCCAGTGCGTCGGCATTTGCTTCCACCTCAGCCTGCTCCAGCAGCACTTCACACTCGGCAGGACACGGAGTCTCGTCAAAGAGGCAGCCGATGTGCGCACCACAGCGCACCTTGATCTCCTCGTAGGCTTCGAGCGAGACCATCGCGTGCGAGTAATAGTAGTCGATGTAGGCATTGCCATCAATGATGTTGTCCGTGAATGGGTTACCGATTGCAAAGCCTCGAAGGGTCACACCTTCAATCGGTTTCTCCACCATGAGATCAACGAGGTACGGAATGTACATGCCGGCGTAGCTCTCACCCGTAATATAAAAGTCTCGGTTCTTGAGCTCACTAAACTTGCTGAAGAACAAGCTGAGGAACTCACGGGTCTTGGCAGCAATGACATCGTCATTGTAGTAATTAGGGCCCTTGACGTCACCACTGAAGCCCACACCAGCCGGAGACTCGAGCCACACCATGTTGACCTTGCGATTCCAAGAGTACCGGTTCACCTTGACGGACAAGTCATCCTGGACAACAAAAGGTCCATTCTCGGTGAAGAGTCCACCCAATGACGAGCAGCCTGGTCCACCGTTCAGCCACAACACGATCGGGTCGTTCTCGGGGTCGCTCTGACTCTCCGTATACCAGTAGAAAAGTTTCTCCTTCTCCTTAAGCTCCAAGTGACCGGCATAATGTTTGAATGAAAGGGGCTTCTGGAAGTCTAAACCAGGCAGATGCGTGACCAGTGCATCGTCATTGAGGGCGCCTGTAGACGACATCAACATCGCTGCCGTGATCATTTGGATTGCTAACTTCATCTTGATCGCTAGATGCGTACGCGACGGGAAGAGTGAAAGTGAGGTGAGGAAGAGTAGGTATTCAAGCAATGAAATCTGGAAAGGACATTTTGCAGAAAGAGAGCAAAAGACAAGAAGCGGAGGTGGTATTCAGGAAGGTATCAGGTTTTTGAGGAGCTTTCAGCTGTCACGCCCTATGCTTGTTCCAGCCAATCGCCAAAATGCCAGCTGGAAGCAAGCATCAATACCATGATGATTGACAATTATATGAACCGCTGGACGATATAGGGTCAAATCAGATTTGAATCCACTTCAACTTCACCAATACAAATGTCAAGCTTAATAATATCATGGTCATGTCTTGTTGGGGCTACGAAATGCTTTTAGACTCGGTTGTTTTATCAGCTGCTTGGTGTACTTCTCAGGTGTAGCTCGCTCGTTTCTATAGCAGAGGTCGTTCTTGTGCTGTCTTCTGCTTCAGCCGATTAGGCCAACACAGTGCGTAGTATGTTCGCTTCTTCTCACCTTATTCTACAGCGTGGCTGCCAGTCTTCTCATCGCATCACGCTTCTAGAAGCTGAACATTCACGTCATACAAACGAAGCTTGGACTGATGAGCATCAATGTGAGTAGAACATAGCACGCCAATCGTCTTGCAACGCGTGTGAGCTAGATTGCTACTGCCTTCATGGCGTGTGACCATGACAAGCTGGTCGTAGGTGCCACGCAACAGCAGTGTGCGTCAATAGTGCCAAAATTCTGCAAGTAGCCCGTCAAAGAGCAGTCAAGCTTCCATGAAGTAATCAACCCCACACATTGGACTGGATAAGGTGTCGTTTTTGTGATATTAAAGAATGGTAGCTTACACAGACAGCTCAGTAGTATATTTGTGCCAGATCCTACTGCCACGAGCTGCTATGCCCACTCTGGCAGGCAGTTTGGATGATGACGCATGCCTGAAACAAACCAATCTCAGCAGTTCTTAATTTTTGCTCACTTTAACTTGAAGATGCTAAACTTGAATGGAGGTACAAGGCGACACGCCAGGCATATGGAAAGCTTTACGACACATTCCGAAACACAAGGCTGTATTGTGCAATGCTAAAAATGAACAGATAGCGAACTCGTGGCTTGGCTGTAAAGCCAAACCACGACTTCAAAAAAAAGCCACCGGAATCATAGCGAAATAGGCACCTTGCTGTAAGATTAAGACAATTAGAGTCGCTTACCACGACATTCTCGCGTGTCGACACAGACAAAAACACGGTGTATGTCACACTTACATACATTATATTCTGTGTGATGCCCTTTCCGATTGTAGCGATGATTGCAAGTCGGGTGGAGGAGAGTCTGCTTCAATTGCAGACTCTCCTCCACCCGACTTGCAATCATCGCTACAATCGGAAAGGGCATCAATATGCTGACTCCAGTGCTTCAATCGACATCTGCCCTTCACTTGCTTGGTTCGCGGCAAATTATAGTAAGTAGCTGTCATTACTATTTTTGTATTTGGAGGATGGTAAATCTGTGTTTATATAATTCACACTTTGCATCGTTTCAAGATAGATACTTTTGAGCCAATGCTTGATTATTTGCTTACGCTATATTATCCACCAGTCTCTGTTCACCTAATTAAAACTTTCTGCGAATTAACGTCATTCCAGAAATAGCCAAAATGTTAAGTATCGCTGTAGGTATTCGCCACCGTGTCTTGGCGTTCGAGGCGCCACTACATGAACATAGAGCCCTTCAAGCACTTAAATATGTCGTATCTTCATACAAAAATCATTCTACTGCACCTGCTAATACAATTATAATGTCTTACGGTAGCGTGGCCATTGTAGATGCCAAGGTTTTCCAGTTCGTGTCCTTCCTCCTATCACCCGAAGGCTTTGCAACGTATCCAGATGAGACGCAACAGCTCCTGGCTCTTCTAACTTCACTCGGCACTAATGATACTATTCAGCTTCCAAAGACGGGGACCATTACCCAATGGAAAGATGCCGTCGCTCGCTATTCAGTTACAGAGACAGATGATACTCGTCATTGTCGAGTGTTTGTGCTGGTCACGTACCGCCCCAAGGATCTTTTGCCATTGTACATGACATCAGCTAGACGTGCAGTCAAGTTTGTCAATGCCGTGGTGGCTTTGGTGACGGCTAATGCCTACATCTCGACGCTCGGTGGAGGACATTTTTTGTGTCGCCACTTGAACCAGTCGACGCTCTTGGCCAAGCTGCAGATTGGCATTTCAATGGGACTGAAGGACCCTATACTTGAGAGCAAATGTAGAGTGAATCTCATGTATAATGCCCTGCAGTTGGGCAAGTTTAAACGGGCAAGGAGGATCTTAAGACAAGAGGAGCTTGTGGCAAAACAGCTCGGTAGTACTGAGCTCCACAATGTCTGCCATGCTGCCAGTGTGTACTTGGACAAGATGGATCGACTACACAAGGAGCAAGTGCTGCACCATGAGAAAAACGGACGTCCAGTTACGCTGCATGATAATTTCTACCGTCAGAGGATTGTCTGCATGACCAAATGAGAGGATGACATTTTGTTCAAGACATGATGCCACACTCCGTTTCGATTCCATTTTGCAGCAAAGCTATTTGGACTGCATGCGTGATAGATAACGGTACATACTATTTAAGTTGACAGTTGATCAAAGCATTTCTGTCGTGAAGAGGAGCTCAACATGTCAAATGAACATGCATTAAGTACGATACCAGGTTAAGTGGACAAAGTCTCCGATAATCGTCGACATGCTGCACTTTCGTCGTCTAGTCGTGACGTGCACATCTACTGGTTGTCGTGGTTTCCATCGTTCGGTGGGTATTGTGGGTATGCCCAATGTTGGAAAATCGACACTATTCAATGCATTGACCAAGACGGAAGTGGCCCAAGCTGCCAATTATCCGTTCTGTACCATTGATCCAAACGTGGCGCGCGTGGCGGTGCCTGACGAACGCGTTCGTCACTTGGCCAGAGTCGAAAAATCCAAGCGAGTGATTGAGACGCAGGTTGGAAAACGACGAGCTATTACAATGCAATGTTTGATTAACGGACTGAATGACAAGGCACTGAATTTATCTATTGATTAGCTCGAGTTCGTAGACATTGCTGGTCTTGTACGCGGAGCTTCGCAGGGCGAAGGACTTGGTCGGTTTTACGTGTCAATTATGATCCTGCATGCTGCTGATGATATCGTGATTGTTTTTTATTCCAGGAAACAAATTTCTAGACAACATACGACAGGTGGCGGTGACTGCTCACGTGGTGCGCTGCTTTGAGGACACTAATATCCTCCATGTGGATGAGACGGTGGACCCGATCCGCGATCTCGAGACTATTCGTACCGAAATGATCCTGGCAGACTTGCAGACAGTTGAAAAAAGGTTGACGAACCTTGCCAAGAAGAAAAAGTAGGTGGTTTGCTATTTGCTTGTGAGGTGCGGACTTGTCATTTTGGTTTATTGCATTATGGTAGATCGATGGATCCGATGATTCCATCACTGCTGGAGGTTCTCCAGCGTCTACAGCCACATTTGGAGAATGGAAACCTTGCCGAAGGTCTGACATTTGAAAAGCCAGACGAGCAATTGCAGTTTGAGCGTCTGCAGCTGCTGACGGCCAAGAAGGCACTATATCTGTGCAACGTGTCGGAAGATGACGCTGCTACGGGCAACCATATGACGGAAGCTGTGCGTGAGCGTGTCGAGGGAGAGGGAAGCATATGTCTGACGGTATCGGGCTCCTTGGAGGAAGCAGCTGCCTCTTTCGAGGATGATGAAAGTCAGCTGGAATACCTCAGCGAGAGCGGCTTGACGGAGACAGGATTGACGCAAGTCATCCGTGCTAGCCAGGAGCTCCTACAGCTGCAGACCTACTACACTGTTGGTGAGAAGGAAACGCGTGCGTGGAATGTGCTCGCTGGATCAACGGCAGCTGAAGCAGCTGGCGTCATTCACTCGGACTTTGAGAAGTTGCTCATCCGTGCGGAGACTGTCGGATACGAGGACTTTGCGAATGCTGGTAGTATGCGTGCAGCTAAGGACAAGGGTCTACTGCGCTCGGAAGGGAAGGACTACATTTGCCAGGATGGGGACATCTTCAATTTCCTCGTGGGAAAATAGACGCCGACGTAATATAGGCATCGTGCTTGCAATTCCAGAAGTAAAAGTGCCATATTGCACCCTAGTTCCTGCTCTGCTTTCCTGTACTTGCATGCACATGTACGAATGAAAGTGTGTGGGGTAACAACACAGCTTAGACGACTGTGAAAAATATGGTTGTGATTGCAAGTTAGAAGCTTACAACTGAAGCAAATGCCAGCAACACCGAAGTTTGACATGTTGCTGTCAGCGAGTCATACAGGCCCAACACTTCTATCACTTGATCCACGTAAAGGTCGCAATGTCAGTTACAATGACCGCTACACGCAAAACTTAAGCTTCGCCAGTCGCTCGCTCTCATCCCACAGGTTTCGCGCCGCAGCTTCATCGTGAACCGTGCTTTTGGCCTGAACGCGCTTCGGTGGACCCCAAATTTCAAAGTAATTACCAGGGCCGTAGTAGTCGTTACTCTCAACATCAGGTCCCGTGGCGGCGTACAAGGTGGGGAGTGCTCCAGCTCGTGCATCTTGAAAAACGGGTAAGATCCCAATTATGCGCCACATGAGACGACTAAACCATCCTCCTTCTGTGGCAGGAGAGGCCATTAGATTTGTCGAAGTAAAGCCCGGATGACAAGCCACAGAGGTCACACCCACTACATTTTGCTCCTGAAGACGTCGAGTCAGCTCAAAAGTGAACAATAAATTGCTCAGTTTTGACTCAGAGTACACATCCGATGCCCTATATCCTCGGTCATCCGAGCGCATGATCGGAGACCCCGACGTGAAATGTTCCAGCTTGGCACCCAAGTGTGCAAGACTGCTTACATTGACTACACGAGATGCCGTGCTTTGCTTCAATAGAGGAAAAAGATGCGCCACCAAGGCAAAATGACCGAGATGATTGGTAGCAAATTGACGCTCGTAGCCATCGACTGTCTTGGCGTATGGGACTGCCATCACCCCCGCGTTGTTAATGAGGAGATCCAGTCGATCGTGCTTCTCTTTAAACTCGTCTGAGAATTTCTGCACGCTACCGAGGTCACTTACATCCAGTATCATAAAGTACACATTGCCAGCATCAGGTGTGGTCGATAAGACTTGCCAAAGTTTCGTCTGAGCTTCGATACCTCTACCTTCGTTACGGCAGGCCAATACAACGTCTGCCCCTTTGCGTGCTAGCTCGAGTGCTGTCTCATAGCCGATACCAGAGTTGGCACCCGTGATGATAACCGTCTTTTCTTTTTGGGATGCAATGTATGACGCATCCCAATTGCGAGGAACTTGTGGTCGCGACTCGGTGAGACTATTATACTCAGTGCCCATTCTTGTCAGTTTGAGATCTATTAAGTAGCTACTCACTATGGACCACAACCTCAGATAAATAGAAGCGTTTAAATTCCAATGCGTGGTATAAAACAGATATCAACATGTAAATACAGTAGTACTCTGGATGGGTCACTACTGTCAAGTATTCCTCAAATTGACAAAAAAATAAATAAAACAGTTTAAACATACTTGTTTTCGTTTTTTTTTTCGCGAAACGCAAGTGTATATACGTTTTTTTTGTAACAAAACTTTCAACAACTTTATGTTTTTATCCTTGATTTTTGGATTATAAAGATTAAATACCTTTTAATAATGGGAATTTTTAAGGTGTTAGAGGAGCCTTTACCTCCTGAATGGGAAGTCGCCATGTCCCGTTCCAAGCACATGCCGTACTATTACAACGTACAAACGAAGAAAGTGTATTGGGTTGATGACGAGCTTCCACGTGGTTGGTCACATCAGTTCGATCGAGATGGGCGACGTTTTTACTTTCATGTTCGGGACAAGAATGGCACCATCTCATATGACAAACCCAGTTTAGCACCATCAGTGCCGTTAATGAATGCACTTGATTCTTCAGAGCCACTTCCGATTCCGGTGTCGTCCTACGATGACTCGGAGTTGCCCCAAGTTCCAACGACGGACTCACTTGATGGCCACGCACGAGCTGATTCAGGCGAACCACCACAACTTGTAAGGAAGAAATCCAATTCTCTTATGGACTTGCTGAGTCCAGGACCTCCTGCTCTTGGACCAGAGGAACTACTACAAGGTAAAGTGCACTATTGTCATAGTATATTCAATGTAGAAGTAAAAAGAATGGACTCTTTGTTGTGTAGATAACGAGTCTCCAAGAGCGCCACCGGTGCAAATGATGACGACGATGAACATTACCAATTTGGTGTCAGATCCTGAGAAATTGCTGGAAACGGGGGACAAGGTCAGTAGCTCTAAGAGGTCGTATGATGTCATGTCCAGAGACTACGATGAGGAAAACCGAGAGAAAGACCCGGATGCTGCGGCGGCATTTTACAATCAGTTACAACGAAGTGCTCAGAGTGACAGAGCAGACAGTTTACTCTTTCATATGCGTGCACTGAACAACTGGGTAAAGTCTATCTTGATTAACGAATACTCTGGACGTGAGGGAGATCGGGTGCTGGACTTGGCGTGTGGCAAAGGTGGAGATCTTATGAAGTGGACCAAGCGCAATCTTGCCGCGTACGTGGGTGTGGATATCGCGCAGAAGTCGTTGGAGGACGCAGTAGAGCGGTACACTTCCTTCTCGCGCGGTGGAAGAGGAGGCGGTGATCGGGATAGGAAAAAGACCGAGGTGAAATTTATTCAAGGCGATCTAGGTGTGGTGGACTTGCTGCGCGATACGATGCACTGCTGGAGCGAGCATGAGGGATGGCACGACGCGGTACCGCTTGAAAGCTCCGCGGTAGGCAACTTCAATATCGTGTCGGTACAATTTTCATTCCACTACATGTTTGGTGACGCAGAGCGCGCAAACCGTTTCTTCTCTACCGTTCACGAGCTACTTACTGATGGTGGTGTGCTGATCGCAACGACGGTCGATCCGAACAAACTGTTAATGAAGTATTACCAGGGTTTGCGGCCACCGGAGAAGGAAAAGGAAGATCGAGCGGTGAACAAGCCTGATGTGAGCATTGTGGACGAAAAGAAGCGCGAGGTATGCTGCATACGTTTTGACGCAGCTACACGCGCTCAGTTATCAGGGCCAGGCGCAGCATCCAAAGGATCTTTTGGTCTGCGCTACAACTTTACGTTGCGTGATCGCGTGGAGGATGACGGGGACAGCGGTGGTAGCCAAGCCGTAGATCTTCCTGAATATCTAGTGCCGGACGATTTGGTTGCCGAGCTACTACGTGAGCACGGCTTCGAGCTCCTTTTAAAGCAGAACTTCCACCACTTTATTCAGCAGCGCAAGGACCAGGACCGCAATCATTCGCTGCTGGAAAAGATGCACGTGACCAATATTCGCGGCTCCATATCGGATGCTGAGTGGGAAATCGCTGGACTTTATCAGGTACTCGCTTTTAAGAAGTCCTATTGATATTGCGATGTGTTTTGTATACTGGCACAAGATATGTTTGACGTAATGAACAGATTCATAACCGTCCTCGGCTGCATTATCTTTCTGAGTCGTACCGCACTAAGAATTTGGCCTGCTGAACACATTTACACGATGCGGTTCGTTGTCACAGACCGATTGTAGACACTGCCAGTACGGTTTCACGGCAACTGTCCCGATTATTCCTAATAAGTCATTGCATACCAAAACAACTATCATTGCTGACGAGGTGAAGCAGGAAAGGAATTCATCTTTGCCGTGTCATACGGACTTGAAAGCAACCTTTCTAGGTAGGAACCCACGTGCTCATTCTAGATAGTAAACGTCAACTTCGCCAACTTCTCGCTATATTCCCACAACTTCAAACCAGCAGATTCGGACTTGCAAACATTCGCTGGTTCATGACGAGCCGGTTCTCCAGTACCTCTGTCCTTCGGTCCAATATAATCGCCACCAATTACTTCACTTCCCGTAGCAGCGTACAACGTCGGCATTGCTCCCATCAATGGATCTTTTCCGCCCGGTAAGAAGGTTATCAACTTAATCACCAGCCAGTAAATCCAATTGTTGTTCGCCGCCGCCATGTTCGCGCCCAAGTTCGTGGCGACATACCCAGGGTGACAGGCTATTACAATCACATTTGTAATCCCCGCAGCTTTAAGCCGTCTGTCCATTTCAATTGTGAATAAAATGTTGCACAATTTCGTCTCTCCGTACGTCTGCCATTGTCCAAACTTGTCTTCACTTGTAGCCATGATCTCATCTTCATTGAAACTAGCTTCTCCTCTCTTGTGTAAGCCACTACTGACATTTATCACACGTGAAGCTTCACTTTTCTTCAACAAGTCAAACAACTGAGCCGTTAATGCAAAGTGGCCCAAATGGTTGGTTGCAAACAGGCGTTCGTATCCGTCTACTGACAAAGCATAGGACCCGCCCATTACACCAGCATTATTCACAAGTAAATCCAATCGAGTATGAACCCGTTTAAACGTTTTTACAAAGGTGGAAACACTTGTCAAGTCACTCACATCCAATGGCATAAATGAGACAGATCCATGTTCGGACTGACGATTCAACGTTTTCTTCAATTTGCTTTCAGCGTCGTGGCCTTTTGCTTTGTTTCGACAAGCTAAGACCACGTGAGCCCCTCGAAGTGCCAATTGCAATGCGGTTTCGTATCCGAGACCAGAATTGGCACCGGTCACGATCGCTACTTTGTTCTTTTGTGAAATAATCTGAGAAACGTCCCATGCATCAGGCACAGCGGAAGGTTCTTCTGTCATTTTGTAAGACTAAAGTGTTTACTCAGCTGTATACGGTTTTCTTAACCGACCTATGTATACCCAAAGTAGTTTGCAAAAAAGTACTTAATTATGAGCTGGCTGACTAATGATATATGGCGGTAAGTTAATTGCCCACATGAGTCCCGCATATTCATGTCTGCCGTGATTTTGGCTTCATTTTGAGCAGTTTTGCTGTAAACACCACTGAGTATATGCTATTGCTGTTCATATTGATCTGGCGCTGTTTACAAATGCACGTACGCTCAAGACTTAATGAACGTTGGCGTGAAATTGCTGTGAGTCACGTGGAGCAATGGCGTAAACATGTCGTCACGTGTGCACAGCTCAGCCCATGGCACCCAGCTCCAGCCCTCACACTTGTTTGGCTCCATATTCCTGACCGTTTGCTCGTCGTCTACGATGGCTTGCATTAGAATCGTGATATAGTGTTTGCCTTCATCCTCCATCGGGTCGTTAGTGACAGTAGCAAAGTGGGCTTCCTTTAAATTCAAGTCTAAGACAACGTCAGCATACTAGTTACCTTCGCTCAAGCCACCAAGATCACGCGTCAGCTAGCTACTCACCTGTTTCTTCCTTAACTTCTCGAATGGCACACTCTTCCCAGCTTTCATACATTTCCAAGTGTCCGCCTGGTAGTGCAAACTTGCCTTCCCCGTGCGAGCCCTTTCGCTGCCCGATAAGCACACAGTCTGGGTGTTTCTTCGACATGAGCAATACTCCTATACCCACACGAACAACGGTCTTCTGCTCCTTCATCTTGGTATATTCAGTCGGTTGTATCCCCATCCTACATCACACACCCAGCAACCCCATAAAAAACCAAATTACAAATCTCCTCCATACAACCAGCACCAATACCGATTGGGCTCTGACGTGTCTTGCGTCTCCAGAAAATGTATGATAGCGTCCAGATTCGATGTAGAGCTCAAGTCACTCCACTGACTGACCTGACTGATCTGACTCAGCTGACTAATAGGTTCCATAAACCCATCACCACAAGATTGAAAATCACGGTTCCACAAACTGTCTTCGCTCTCTCCTTCCTCAGCTGTTGTATATCCTGGTGGAGACTGTGACAGAGCCGAAGTGTCCGTTTCAGCAGCAGGAGGAGAGCTTGACTCGGTTTGGACGATGTTGCTTGTTGACTGCAATAATATATATAAACAAGTTAATAGAAGACCTTTAACGGGACTGCACCAGACCTACCTCAGTGAGCTGACTGGAGCACATCAACGAGTCATCTTTTTCAATGTATTTCAACAGCAACACCTTCATTTTGGCGTTCTCTCGGGCCTAATAAATCCATTTTCAATCAAAACACATTCACCTGATTGCGTTTAAAGGCATCTCCACCAACCGTTAGCATAAGTTTTCGTTTGGCTTCTTGTAGTGCATTGTAACAGGCTTTTAAATCAGCTTCCGCATCACGCAATGTCCGTCGTTTCTTTCTAAGCGTCTCGTTGGAGGACGACGAGGAAGAAAAAGAGCTCATGATGCTCGTTTCTGGTCGGTATCAATTATCGCACATTCGAGCAATTCACACAGTAAAAAAATGTCTTCACTTTAGTGACTTGATCTTTCATTTATGGCTTTACGGTACATCATCCAAAGTCGTACTTAACATTATATCCACTGTAATCCCGCCTCTTCGCTTGGACAAAGCGATCACTAGTCAAACAGTAGCTAGTGTCACTATGGCCGCCGCTGGAATGCGCTTTTGCCGCGAGTGGTGAGTCCTCAACGTCTTTTATCATCGCTCCTTGAGCTTGATTAGTACCAGAAATCTTCCATCATGCCACTTTATCCTCTATCTTGCCTTTAAAAGTAACTAGAAGAGACCTTTGAGTGGCATCCTCCATTGACGCACTTCTTCCTTTGTCTGTGCAAATAGCAACAATATGTTATATCCGAGCCAGGACCGCGAGATTCGACGTTTGGTGTTTCGATGTCGCAACTGCGGACAGGCTGAGGATGTAGAGGAGAACTGTATTTATGTGAACGAACTGGTTAAGGACACGCGGTGCGTCTCCTCTCCTGTCTATAGCGTGTTCCTCCTAGAAGTGACGTCTTCTCTAGTTGTTCTCTGACACATCTTCTCTGTTGTATGTTGTTTTTACTGTTATAGTGTCCAGCTGGACGTGCTTCCAGGTGATGTAATCGACGATCCGACACTACAGCGCGACTTTGACGTGACTTGCCCTGCTTGCAGCCACAACGGCGCCGTGTTCATCCGCTCGCAGGACGGTGTGAAGCAGTCGACCCTGGCTCTTATCTGGGTGTGTCTCAATCGTGACTGTCAGGTGGATGAAGAGGGCAACCGTCTACCGTCTTATCGCTGGATGGGAAGCTGAGAGCTTATTAAAGCAACGTGTTCAATTGACAATCAATGCCGCTGGAACGAGCCGCAATTTAATCTTGCAGCTTTTCTATAGTGAACAGAAACATGTAAACCGGTCTACTCCTCAAAGCACTCTGGTTCTATACTTTGATAATAGAAAATTTGCCTTTTACAACTTGTGTCTAGTCTTAGGAATCTTGCTGCTGACGGCCATGCTACAGTACTGATATTGATTATTAGTTTACGAGCGAGCATTAAGAATATACTATCTAGTAGCTGCAATATTTCAGTTTACTTTTATTGTTGATTATATCCATTTGTTTTAACTCCTAAAAAAATATATGCTAGGCTTACTATAACGTCGAGGAAAAAACCGGTATGTACTAGTTTCACGCTAGCACCTCCGACGACTACTAATGGCATACATTACATTACTATTTTCATGCATAATTTCGTCAGCGATGAGCAGACCTATAACATCGTACGATTTCGCTTTGTTCACGTCGTTGCTCCAAATGATCTTCACTCCCGTATTCGTCGTGTCATGGAGTTGGCTGGCATGTAGCTCGATGTAGATGAGTAGATAATTCATATTATACTGATCATACTCTTTTTCTGTCGGCACAAAGCCACTTTCTAGCTAACGTTCGCTATTACACCTGCTTTGGCCACACGAATGTGACGTGATACACATTCCACACAATTACCGCGACTATAGCGGCACGGACAAGCATCAACAGCACGCTGGCGTGATGACCGTCCATAAAAGGATCTACCAGCAACCACTTCAAGCTGGCAATCAGTGCTGAGCGCGGTGCGACTGACAGCTCATTCTCGTTATTGTCGTTCTGTGCGGGGTCCCGCACCACTTCATCCGCGGTGACTGCGATGCTACCGCCGGACGGACGCAAAAACCGTAACTGCATCGTCACGTACTGAGCTTCACCAGCTGCGCGAGCTCCATCCAATCTCTCCAGCTGGATGTTGGTACTGAACTCGGCATCGCCCTTTAAGAGATCGGACCCGACAAGTACTACTCCTGCAACCTTGACCGAATGAAAGAAGGTGTGGTCCCAAAGCGAAATCTCCACCACTTTAGCGAGTTTGTGGGCATGGATCCTTAACGGAATATGGTTCCACTTGGGATTCGAATCTCGCCGCTTCACAGGGCTCTTCCACACCGCTCCTGTTTTAGGACATCGGACAATCACGAACGGGTTCACTGTCTTGCGCTTCCGAATAGGCGTCAGACCAATGCAAGAGATCTCGGCCAATTTAATCACCGACATCGACTTCATGGAGCCACCAGGCGACGGCACTGATTCCATATCCGCCTCATTGACTCCACTTTGACTGCTACTGCTGCTCGACAGTCTCAAACTTGCAGCCGTAACCGCCGACATGGCAGCGCTGCATCGGTCTGCTGAGCTCTTGGGCTTTTTACGTCGATATCGTGCCTTTACTGGCGCTGCTGCATTGGCATTATGGTTCTCAGATTCCTTTGTCGCACTCCCATCTGACTCTCCGCTGATTTCACTTAAATCTTCGTCACCTGAACTCCTAGTTCCAAACGAAAGTCGCAGCGGTGACGACTTGCAGAAATCATGAGAGGTCTTGCCGCTCTTGGCATCGGGTATAGCAGCGTGCACTATCCGTACAACAGTGGCACTGTGGGGCTTCCAGTCCAGCATCTCCATGTACAGTGGGTCCTTAAAGACGACACCATGCTCGTAGATGAACGTAGACTGGCACGTGCCCGAGCGCGTGGGACAGCCCTTGACGCGCAGATTAGAGCTGATTTTGGTCATGCACGCGCCTACAAGATAAGCGAGTACGGCCGATTGACCCTCATGGCGCGCGCCATCCACGGAGATGAGCGTCACGTCCTTGGCCAGGAATTGCAGGATCATTGCAGCATCGTTCTTACGAAAAGCGTGCGCGAAGCGTAGGTGCTTCACAAGCAGCTGCTCAATGTACGGCTTGTCATCATTAAGACCGCAGGCGCAGTCATTATCCATGTCGTGGGCAGGCGAGGTTGGGCGCGTCGGCCACTCGTACAAATCTGTGGATTTGTTGTTACTGCTGCTTTGTGGCAGAGGCATGGTAGAAGGGAAAGGGCGGTGATGATTATCGACAAGCAGCTCTAGGCCCATGTAAGAGAAAGAGGAGGGTCGACAGTCGGCACGTGTGGACGACTGTGCTGTTTGCTTTGTTGATCGTGTCGTCGGTCGACTCGCTGTGTCCTTCGGCGTTTTCCCGTAATTGAGGGGGATTGGTGTGCGTGATGCGTCTGTCCGTCTGGTCGTAAGACGGACGGATTGAAAATGAAGGAAGCGGAGCTGTGGTGGAAAAACGGTCCCCCTCTGGCTTGGTACAGGCATTGCGGGTAGGGGTATAATGTGTCTAACCAATCATATAGCTGTAATGACTACTACGTTTAATGAGGAGGGTTCCATGTGATTGATTACCCACGAATTTGCTGGGCACGAGTCTCAGTTCCATCTATTTATTTCACAAGGGCAATTACTGCGTGCACCGATACTTTGGCTGTAGGCATGACGATGTCTTTTACCATGTTGATAAGCTGTTTCATTGGCTGACCTTTCGTCTGGCTGACGCCAGCGTTATGTGGGTCCCGCTCTCTGCATGGCCCACAATGCTGCCAGCAGGTTAAGAAAGCGCTGGCTATCACTTGTTCCGAGCAGAAATCTGTTCCTCAGTCGTGTGTAAATCTGCGTAGCATTTGCTGCCGGACAGCAGCGGGCATTGTTGCAAATGCAACGAAGAGATGACGCCGATGAGGCACGGACGAATTGGCGATGGTTCAAGCGAGCGTAATGCTGCGACAAGCTCACGGACTCGGCTTTGTCCGACCACAGTGGTACTTTGAGATTGGTGAGTATTAAGAAGTGTGTGCCCTAACCATGTCGAACATGGAGTCAACAACCACATGCTAAAACTCGTTCTGTATCTAGAGAATCGACCAATATACAGATCATAGTGTATACTAGTGCTTCTTCATCAGCACCCGATATCAAGTGAGACATTTAGTTATGTCCGTCGCAAAGGCAGCAAAATGAAGCGCAACTACGGACTCGCAAAGGGCGTGACGAGAAAGCATCATGAGACCATCTGACATTGTCTGTATGTATTTATGGGCGTGCCTGGAGAAAACATTGCTTACGTACCAAGTTCAATGCCTTCTTTGATTGGGCAGTTTCATTTTCTGTCGACGCCACGTCATATGTATTGTCTGTGTACAACGGAGATCAGAAACAAATCTTCTAAGAAATTGCTGACGCAATACCAAAGCTAGGAACAATCGAATGGCGCGCGAGTTCAGGGGTGTCATGTCGATTACGGTCATTTACATCATTGGCGATGTATATGGACTGTTCCGTTACAGCTGGTCGTAATGGATTGAGAAGAAACTTTTCGACGCATGAATCATTGTACTGGTGATGGTTGTATACTGAGTAAGCCTAGAAAAGAACGACGTGAATCGATTGGCGTCAATTTGTTGGTCGACAATGACACGTCGTCATGCTGTCTTGCCTGGGTTGTTGTGCTAGGGCTAAGTCATGCTTCGATACGATAACAATGGTCTTTATAGATACTATCTCTCACGCCACCATTAATCAATATAAACTGTTACACGAAGAAGAAACTTGCTTTTTAGCGCATATGCCTTCTATTGTAACCATCAGAGCTGGAATGGCATTTTTGCTTCGCTGCCGTCCGCCAACTGACAGGCCAGATGATTTCCAGTTGCAATGTGATGAAAGGTCATGTAGCTGCCAATCAGTGTCACTGCTACACCCTTACGACTAGTTCTTTCGGGTCTACTGACATATATTTACACTCTCGTGTAGCATGTTTCGTTTCGTAATCGAGATGATCATTCTTGTAATTTTGATAGAGTCATCGGCTAGATACCCTACAATTAAATACATTGTACGTATCATAAAAGGAAATATACGTATTCATACAGTGCCGGTCATGTAAAGAGTTACATAATATTGAGACTTATATGAAGTGTCTTATTATACCTAATAATCTTTGACAATATTATCTTTTTCTATAATATTGTCCTCGCATCTCCTTGAAGTTGGAGATGCCCTATCATTGGTTGATATTGGCCATTATATCAACCAAGGCGCTGACCAATGACCGAATGACCGATAGACGCGGGCAATGAATGGAGGGTAATATGCATGTTTGTTCTTTGATATAGCTAAGACAAGTTATTAATAATTTACATTTATTAAATAGCTTAACGATTTGTTCTCTCTCTTTTCCCTACTTCTAAGCGTATTATTTAGTCAATAAGCTTCCTCTGTCTCTTTGTGTGAGAGAGGTTCTGAGGCACCTGCCTTCACTGTCATCAGTGAGGTTGATTATACGAAAGTATAATCAAGAGTGTGCCCCATTACACATGGTAGCACTTCGTGGTCCGTTCAACAACCACCGTACCATCTGCTATGGGAATCAGCGGGTGATGAACGTCATCACGCAACGCGTGATGATTTCCGCCATTTGAGTGACCTCGAATGGAATGCGGTTCAGCGTATGGCTGAAACCATCGGCAACCCTGCCGTTGGTGCCATGTTGCTCTCTCTTAGCGGAGACGAACAACATGCAACCATCGCCAAGTTCATACAACATGAACTTGACGAAGTCGTAAAGAAACTCACCTTGTTACAGAAGCAAGATTCTCAACAGGTTGACCTGTTGAGAGAACAAGGCGCTCAACAAGCTGACTTGTTGATGCAATAGGGTGCTCAACAGTCTGAACTGTTGAGACAACAGCAGGCAGTGCTGCTGCTACCGGGTCGACACATATACGTCGACCCGAGCCCTTGACGATTGATGTTTCCAAGTACAAGGCAGCTGAAAGCGACTCCTTGTTGAGATGGTTCGTCGATCTCGACGATGCCATTGAGCCCCGTCGCGTCGATGGTGATGCGATGAAGATCAAGTAAGCAATGTCAAACTTGGCTGGACGTGCCAAAGATTGGGCCTTAGGGATCGAGCTGCATAACCCATACGTTTTCCCATTGTATGATGTCTTCAAGGCGCGACTTAAACGCATGTTTGAACCGCCTCACGCCAAATTCAGGGTTCGGGCTGAGCTCCTGGATTGAGACAGGGTAAGCGTAATATACACGCTTACGCCCAACATGTACGATACCTCGTTAGCTGTATCTTACTGAACCCAATCGATGAACACACACAGGTTACTGTGTTCGTCAAGTGTCTGACGGATGGTCCCGGCAACACCCACCTGTTCCGCTTCCCACTAGAATTGCTCGATCAGGCGAATTCTGCAGCGGGACAGGAGGACTCTAGCCTACAACGGGCTCATGTCCACTCGGGATCCTATCGTCCACCGAGACGACAGGAGAGCGGAGGTCCAGAACCAATGGACCTCTCCTATGTAGATATTGAGCGTCCTCGCTCTCGAGGAAACAAGCGATTACAAAAGTGCGATCGCTGCCAAAAGAGGGGTCACTACGCTTGCTTATGAGTACGCCCAGTGCTTTATAACACTGGGAGTGACGATCATCCGTCTGCTAAGAAGGGCCATAGACGTGGATCGAACGTTGCTACGAATTCGAAACAGCTTGGCGGAACATCAAAAAACGGTCGGGGAAAGTAGGGGCGGAGCGCCCTACTGATCCAGCAATGTCAAGAGAGTTCATGCCTTTGCCTGGCTATTTAAATTGATAAGATTAATACCAACCTCTACAGAAATGAGCAATGTATCGATCAAACCTCATTCTGGTAAGTGATATTATCAGGGTAGATCCAAGGCCTCCCTAAGTAATTACATGTCCAAAGTGTGACGTTCGCGCTTCTGTTGATCCTAATGGGAGAGAATGGGTCGATTAAAAAATGGGGTGGGTCAATTAAGTGTAGGGGTGGGTCAATTTAGCAGCAATTCCCTTAATTTTGAACATTCTAAGAAATTAATACCCAAAACAACAGCTCTAAAAGTCCCACATTACAGCGTACATACAGGATGAAGTAATTAGCACCGTCGGTACAAATAAATAAGTCAATCTTCCACCAAGTCTTTGTAAATCACAATATCTCTGTAGGCAGTATCATCATAATGAATTCATGTCAAAATGTTGTGACAATACAAAGAAGCTTTTTACTACCACTTGAACGAGCTCTACAATGAAAAAACGTCTGCATATAAAAGAACTTCACTCGGCCACGGATTCCAGAGTCAGTACGCTCTGGATCGTGCCGCGTTTACCGTTGTACCGCCACTTTAAGTCCTCCTTCTCGAGCTTTGCCACGATGTCCGCAGGAATCCCAACCACGGGGTTTGACTTTAGCGTACGGAACGATACGAAAGCAGTCGGGAAATATGGAATAGCCTCCTCCACTGGCGTTGATGGTGGCCACAGGCGGTCTCCCAACAGACGACGGTAATTCAGATCTCCCTTGATAATCACGAGCGTCGCCTCATGGGCCAAGCGAGTCTGCAACTCCACGGGCATCTCCCAGTAGTAAGAGTACCGGTTCCAGAAAATGTCGGAGCGAATTACGAGCTGATCTTTTTGGATGTATCTACCCAAGCGCTTACCCAGAGTCTGAATTTCAGGCGTACGCGTCTTATGCTGCATTTCAACAATGTGTTCATGTACATCAGCAGGTGTCGCATCTGATACGTACATGGGTTCTACCTTGACGTTCAGCGTCACCTTACCGCACCAACCATGATCGAGCAAGTGGTCGGCTAATGCCAAGTCGAGCAAAAGCTCTGTGCCACTATTGTCGTTAATGTATTGCACGTTAAGGCACTTTGCATCACCAGTCTCCTGCGCTTTTTGCTTCAAGTAAGTGATGACCTTGTCACTATGGTCCACCAGCAGGAGCTCATCGTTAAACGCTAACGACGCGTCTGCACCACTGATGGTGTCCTTTACTTCCTTATAACAGCCATCAGCCTTGTTGCCCCACAGACACAACTTCATGAACCGCTTCAGTTGGTCGTGGCGACTTTGTGAACTGGCCTCTTCTTGAGCCGATAGACTCACTGCCGTCTGTAACAACGCCCACGGAGTGGTCTCCTTCAGCTCCGCCACCTTGGAAGGGTAGAATGGATCAACGCCTGTTGTGTAGTACTCGGCCAGCACTAGTACGAGGTGAAACATGTATTGCTCACTCAAGAACCAAGGAGAGTTCTGCCACGTGTAGTCTTTGCCCTTCAGCAACGCTTCCCATTCTGCACTCGTAGGGGACTTGGTAAACTGCTCAGGATATTCAGACGGCAGTGGAATCACAGCGTCGTTCACCATGTCATCAGCTAGCTGCAGCAATCGCTTGCTCTGCTCCTCTGAGAATCGCTCGCGGTTGTTGCTCACACAGTCACGAACCAGTCCAGGCAATCGAGATGTGTATGATTCGTTGGCAAAAGTACCTGGCACATTAGCGAAAATCTCCTTTCGTTTGTACACACGCTCGAGGAATTCTGACGAGACACCCATTACGGTAGGGGCCTGGAAGGTTTAGAGCAATCAGGAAAAAGCGATTGTGAGCTGCACCTTCCAATTTCATCATGGATATGACCAATTGATTCCTTGCTGGATGCAATACATATCTACGATTGAGCTGGGCGAAGTCCTGTGGTCTTGTACCCCTTGTGCGAGTATCATATAAGAACACACAGCTGCTTCGTGTTTTGTTAACAAATGCGTCTTTATTCCGTTTAAACAAGCAACACTATATCGCTTCATACAGAAACTACGACACTCTGCGTCCATCAAGAAGTATCAAGCTGCAAACTGCAACACTTATTTCTTCTTGGCGCCGCCCTTAGTGGTCGGGTCCTTTTTGTTCACCGACTTAATGACGCCGACGGCAACCGTCTGACGCATGTCACGCACGGCAAAACGACCAAGAGGAGGGTACTCCTGGAACGACTCAACGGTCATGGGCTTCGAGGGCTCGAGGATGACCATGCAAGCATCGCCCGACTTCACAAACTTAGGGGCAGTCTCAAGCACCTTGCCCGAACGACGGTCCATCTTCTCAATGATCTCTTTGAACTTGCAGGCAACGTGGGCGGTGTGGCAGTCGAGCACTGGCGAGTAACCGTTACCGATCTGGCCAGGGTGGTTCAACACAATCACCTGGGCCGTAAAATCCTGGGTGCCCTTAGCAGGGTCGTTCTTCGAGTCCGAAGCGACGAAACCACGACGCAGTTCCTTTACCGACACGTTCTTGACGTTGAAGCCAACGTTGTCACCAGGAAGAGCCTCCGGCAGAGACTCGTGGTGCATCTCAACGGACTTGACTTCCGTCGACAGACCAACGGGTCCGAACGTAGCGACCATGCCGGGTTTGATAACACCAGTCTCGACACGGCCGACCGGTACCGTGCCAATACCGCCAATCTTGTACACGTCCTGAAGAGGCAGACGAAGAGGCTTGTCCGACGGACGCTTAGGCGCGTTCAGACTGTCAAGAGCCTCAAGGAGGTAAGGTCCCTTGTACCACGGCATGTTTGACGAGCGGTCAATCATGTTGTCTCCTTCCCATCCAGAGATAGGCACGAATGGGATCTTGGCAGGTTTGTAGCCGACCTTCTTCAAGTAAGTAGTAACCTCAGATTTGATCTCCTCGTAACGAGCCTGGCCGTACATGACGGACGAGTCGTCCATCTTGTTAATAGCCACAACCATCTGCTTCACACCAAGCGTAAAGGCCAATAGAGCGTGCTCACGTGTCTGGCCTTCCTTGGAAATACCAGCCTCAAACTCACCAACACCTGAAGCAACCACTAGAATGGCGCAATCAGCCTGCGACGTGCCCGTAATCATATTCTTGATAAAGTCACGGTGACCAGGAGCGTCAATGACCGTAAAGAAGTACTTGGGCGACTCAAACTTCCACAGAGCAATATCAATCGTGATACCACGTTCACGCTCGGCCTTGAGGTTGTCGAGCACCCACGCATACTTGAACGAAGTCTTACCAAGCTCAGCAGCTTCCTTCTCAAACTTCTCAATCGTACGCTTGTCGATACCACCACATTTGTAGATCAAATGACCCGTAGTAGTCGACTTACCAGCGTCGACGTGGCCAATCACGACCAGTGAAATGTGAACTTTTTCCTTGCCCATTGTAAACTACCTGGAAAATCCCATACAAAAGACAAGCTTTAGTCCTCTACTGTTTAAAATTTATTCTATAGTCTGTCGTACCTTTTTCGAAGAAAATCTAAGAGTGAGAGTCGGAACTCGAGGGAGGGGTCTATAGTGAATGGCTTACAGCCTCGATCCAATCCTGTGCTCTTTTCACCCAATCAAAGAAAGCAGCGTATTCTGGCCAGTGGTGCAATGACTACGTTCTTGTATGGAAGATGATAATGTGGTGCACATCACAACGGAATGACATATCCAAGTGCGACAGTATCATACCACAATGGCGAGCACGTCCTACAGACGGCTTCCTCTTGTCGTGCAATGAATCGATTTGCTGGTCAATTTGGACGTCTTTGGTTTTCTAGTGAGAAAATCGCTTGAGCAGGAGAATGGCGACGCTACAGAGAGTCGATGCTGTTTATCCATTGGACGGGTCGCTCAAAGCAAAAGTGCGAGCTGCGAAACAAGAACTTACAAAAGAGATGACGAGAGATGCAGCAAGTATTTGATTGTCATTATCCCGTGTGTATTCCATAGCTTTGTGCTGCACCAATAGGTGGCGCTGGCTCGAGCCTGGAACATGAAATGATTGTCGCCGTGCAGATGCTACTAGTATGATCCAGTGTCTGGCACTAGCACACCTCGCTCAAAAAGACATGCACCGTTAAGTTTGTGTGTCTCTATCGTGAGACGGATGACAAGGACTCGCTTCTCAGTGGTCGCTTACCCAGTCGTGACGTGCAGTGTTAGTGCAGATATATCACGTGCGGCGCAAACATCAAAGCAAATGTCCCATCTCACAGCCTCGCTCAAAATGGTCCATGGAGCTACTACGTGGGTTTTAGCTATCCCTCTGTAGCCTAACAGCACTAATCAAAAAATCTATGCAGTAAGCGGTATGTATTTCGTATCTTCTTCTGCGTCGCTTCCGTTTAGCAACGCCCAATTACGCTGGTAGCTAGATATCAATTTGTGCATCTATTCCGTGTCGGAGTGCGGAAAGAAACCGAGGATATCCTTTATGAGAATGTTCCACACGACTTGCACGGCGACCTCTGCGACGATAAGCCAGATTACGATCATTTCCAGTTTCGTATCGTGTTGGTGCGCCAGTTGCTGGCTTAGCACGTCCAGCCTGCATGAAACAAGCCCCGTACAATTCAGGTTAAGCAACTGCATCAGCGTTGTCAAGAGAAGCAATGTTACACGTACAGTTCACGAAGGATGTCTAAACGCGTGTTGAGGATCTGGACACGGTTATCCACGCTCAAATACTTCATCACTTTCTTATACAACGGCTCGTACTCGTCATCCTCCCAGAAGAAGTCCGGCTCATCCAGCATGTCCGAGTTCAGATTAACATCGCTTCGCTGCAGTCAAGACAACACCACGCCAGTGTAAGGTATTGGCGTTAGACATGTTGTGTTTTTTCTGACTTACCTCGATGAATAACCGGCCGATGAGCTTGGAGATGTCGCCCTGGGAATACTGAATCGATCCTGTCGCCGCAAGATTCTGTGGCACATGTTTCGTCTCACGAATCGTTTCCTCCACGCGCTCTTCAAAGACGTCCAGTTTCGATGACTGTGCCATGGCGAAAGAAACCGCCAGCTTCTCAGACGCGCGATTACTACTGAGCGTAATGGCATCGTTGCAGATGATACTTGAATCACCATACATGTAGTCCATGTCCTCCACCTCCACCTGTTTCACTGGTCCTACTGAGAATACTGCTAGCGCAACCAGATGCGCCTGTTCCTCGGCTCTTGTCAAGCCCCAGAAGACTGCGCACCCCGTTCTGCAAACACATGTAAGAGCCTCTCGATTGTCAGTAATCCATTTAGTACCAACAATCCAATTAACAGCATCCACGCACGCAAAGTAGAAGGCGTCCTTCTGCTGAAATGGCCTGTAAGATATACATCATAACATCGTGTACATCAGATCCAAAGTACAACACTCCACACTTTTCAAGTACGATCAAACACCACTAACACATGATCTGGGGCAGGAACACAGCTCGAATGTATCGCACCCATGTACATTTTGTGCGTCCATCCATCAGGATGTAGCTCTCCTCCCGGCAATTGCCCTGTTTCAACTCTCTCGAGCCACTTGAGCAATTTAAACAGCTGCAATTGGTCACACGTACAGTACGCGGACACTCTAAGCTTTGATGCGCTGGGCGGTTCTCTCAACTGCTTTTTAATTGTCCTCATGCGTGAGCGTCTCGTCGTATGACTCACCGTCCCCGGGGTGGGCAGGGGCTTGGGGGCTCCTCGTTTAAACTTGCTGCGTGTCCCAAGGCCATGCCATTTGGCTCTCGGGATCTGACGGAATGAGTCCGGGTGTTGACGGTAGGTAGGGGGTGAGAATTGCCGGTCCAAATCGCTGAAATTCTCGAGCTCGTCGCTGTCGTCATCCTCGTCGCTGCTGGCGTCAAAGTAACGACGCGAGCCATTGCCGTTCTCTTCCTCCTTGCGGTCATAGACAGCCGAGTCTGAGTTGTAATTGAGTGAGATGCTACCAGGAGGCAGAAGAGGCGAGCTCTCACATGCATTAACAGGGGGACTACGACTGCGTCGGCGGCCTCCAGTGCTCATGATGATTTTAGGATCGGAATAATTGAAACCCCCTAAATGGTGTGTGGCACACTATTAATGTACAAGAAGGGTTTGCGGGGAGGCAAGCAAAGGATTATTCCTCCTATGTATGAGCTCAACTTCGCTGACTTACTCGCAAATTGTTGTGTGTACGTAAATGCTGTACAAAACCCATTTTCAATTATTGCTATTTCGAATCATCAGCGTTGATGCCAGTGGTTGCTGTTTTTCGTGTAAGTCGGCTATCAGTAAAATGCTGTCGCTATAACGCTTCAACTGTCATCGCCTGTCGGACGGTAAAGACTTCGTAATTTCTGCGTGTACACCACCTCTCGGAACATCGAAATCGTTGCGTCCACCGTATCAAGAGCTTGACTTGTCGTTAAAATTGTGCTAATCTGAGCTCATGGAACGACCTAGTAAGGGGACTCGCAGCTGAAGTTGTCTTGCAGCTTCTACGACGCAAGTCAATGAAGTGTATACACCTAGGCTGTACTTCATTATACAATATGGTCAGCAGTCACAAGGCGTGATCTAGTAGCAAGCGGATGGGTCCGCGTTCCACACATAATAGGTGTTGAAGCCTGCCTTAGCTCATCATCTTATGTTCCTCTCTCAATTTCTGTGAACGTGCACTTCATTGGGAACATACCACGTGCTACGTTGGCTCACACATTCAAGCACTCGAGGAAGCGTTCATACCTTCTACACTCCGTGCGCGGTGGTGGGGTGCTTGGTTGACCGCTTAAGCTGTCCTACCAACAGCTGCTAATCGACGAAGCGAACCGCGCAACGAACTTCTAGCAAGAGCTCCACTTGCGCCCCGCATAAGTTTATTCAGTTTCTCGTGGGCAGTGAGCGATACTAAGCAAATTTAAAACTGACTCTTATTTAATAGATTATAACTAAATATAGATCTTAGGACTGATTGGTTAATATATAAAGGTTAAATACGCGTCTCTTTAGAAGCGTATCACTACGTGCGAGCTTAAAATACATTTAAGCTCGCTAATGACGTCAGCCTGTGACGTCATTATGACGCCTAGTCCTAATTGGGCTTCGTCCCCGCTAAATGTGAATCCATTCATGGATATTGCATTCACGAGGGTCGGTCACATTGATGCGCCTCACCCAATTGGGAGGTTTAAGGTACCACGTACCCTTTTAGATCTCTTCGTTGATTATCATATACTTAACGGACTCGTGTAACCTTTAGCCCGTTACACCATCCCCTCTTTACACGATTTATTCAATTTGTAAAACATCGCAAAGTAGAGATGCTGTAATGGGAACACAAACAGCAATAAATAATTACGTTTGTAGGCAGATGCTGTGCCCGGATAGCGGGTACAGCGTAAAAATATATTATTGGTCCTTATTGGCCTAGAACCCTAACATGGACCAATAATAAATTTACCTGAAGAATGTGTGGTTCCCGAAAGGCGGGGTCAAAGTCGTATTTATCACGACCTTAAATTGTCGTAGTTGGTACGAATTACAACAAAAAATAAGATTAGCGTTCCAATTTACTCGATACGTAATATTTTGAGCTTAAGTCTTCCTTAAGTGCGCGTGTGAACTAGTGATGGTACGTTCTATCCCCGGGACACATGGTAGCACGTAGTAGTCCTTCCCATGCCCGAGTTTGGGATAAGCGAATCGTCGAATTTTGACGCTCCAGATCTATATTTGGAGCACGTGTCCTTCACCCATCTCACTTGTGTTGTGTAACATGCCTTTAATCGCCTCGTGGCGATATCAGGAGAGGCGTTTTTGGCGTCGCTGATGAGATTAGCGACCCCTGATGGGCAAAGTCTCGCCATACACGAGTTTATGGCACGCGAGCTCGCCGAATCCAATCGGCGAGGTTTAACTCCCTCGCGACCTTCGCGGAACGAGGCCTTGAATATGGAAACCTCTTTTCACACAGTATAAGGTAAAGACCGGTTGTAGCTGACACGATGGTTCCGAGAAGTCGACATCTACATCGCCTTGATAATTCTTGAGGCACCCCAGGCGAAGGTCAACTTCCTTCTTTCCCGCCTCACCGGAAAGGCCAAGGAATGGGCCTTTGGTAAGCTCGTTGTGGACGAGCACGCGTTTCCCACCCTGGATACTAACCAAGACGATCTTCGCCTTGCCTTCGAGCCACCGCAAGAGGGTAAATTGGTGCGGTTAAGGTTCCTGTTCATGCGATAGGGTAAAATGGCGATGCACGACTACGTGCAAATGGCTCCGCATCTGGCGTCGTGTATAATTACGCATTATCTGGTCATGTACACGCAGGTGAATGTCTATGTGAATGGTATGCGTGAAGGGAAGACCCACTTATCGCTCGAGCGCGCGGAGCCTGCTACTTCGAAGTAGACATTCGCCACTGCCCTTTATGAGGACATTCAGGTCACTTAGGCCTACGTCAAGCCCTCAGTTATTACCGTTTCCCGGACGTCTGTTCCGGAACCTTTTGAGATCGACGTGATTGAGTCATCGGGTGGCCGACGACGTGTCATCTCCCATAAGGGTGATGCTCGCACCGGGCGTCAAATGGTTTGCTTTCGCTGCCACAAGCCCATGCATCGAGCGGCTGAGTGTCGCGCGCCAGCGCTGGTTTCGGCGCATGTAGTGGACGCTATCTAGAGGGCGCTGTCACGATTAAACTTCCAAAAAAGGTCGGGACCATTAGGTGCAGAGCGTCCTACTGGTTGGAATGGAGTTTCGGGTCCCCTGGTGGCAGCCCAACCTTCCAGTTCTCCTGCGCTGCGCGCACGGTTAAATGCCAACACTACTATTGGTGATTTGAATCTTATTATTGTCAGTTTACATGTCTTTAGTGTTCAGCGACCTCTGAGAGTACTCCTGGACTCAGGAGCGTCGAACAATTTCTTATGTGATCTTGTTTATCGATGCTGCCTCCCAGCATTCAGTTCCGTAAAAGACCTGACCACGTCGTCGTCAAGCTGGATGACAGGAAACCACACCGCGTATCGCAACGCGAAGTGTCGTTGCCGTATACGCCTGACGGTTTTCGCAAAAATGATGATTTCGTGGTGATCGCGATGAATTATGCATTCGATTGCGTACTGGGCATGCCATGGTTGGCACGTTATAAGCCCCAGATCGAGTACTTAGCCAGATCAGTAAGACGTCGACGCAAATTCGACGTCAGTGAAGTCTTTGCCCACCTCTTGGTTTCTCCAAGTGACTGGCCGAACGTCACTGTCGTGGATTCCACGACGCTGGCCGTGCACAGAGCGAGTGGTGGCCCTCTCTGCACTGCTTGTTCTGTTCTTTGAGCCACAATTGGCAATGACTATTCGCTTCACAGCGAGGAGAGCGACGACGCGGTCGAACAGGGTTTGCGCGTCATTAACACGGTTGAACAGGGATTTCGCACGTAAATGCAGTGGTTAAACTGGAGATCTCATCTGGACCCATTGTGGTAGAGCAGGGGCTCCCACAAGGGCAATACGAGGACTAGCAAGAGATCTTAAGGTGTACGACGTGGATGAACAGGAGTCCCCACGTGTAAGCATGGAAGTCGAGCCAGGGTTCCCATCATCATCCACTGTGGTCGAACCGAGATTCCCACATAAGCAATTTGTGATCAATCAGGGTCTCCACACGGGTTTACGGCGGCTAAGCAGGAGCTCCTGCATTAAGTGTCGACGGAGTGAGTATTATTGTCTTCCGTCACGTGTTTCCAGGAGATGGTAGAGTAAATCCAGTGCCTAGAGAGAGGGAGTGATGATTTATCACCAGGCTGCAATTTGTCAGCTTCGAGTAGTGACTCGAAGCACGATTAGGACGCAAGCATCGATAATTCATCGTTGAAATGTCGTGTACGCAAACGTGTACGTCGAAGAGAGTTTACAAATGAGCTGATAAGTCGCGAGATCCCCACACGATGCGTCTTCAAATACAAGCTTTCCAGGGCTCTCTTGGAGGCAGTTCCTACGTGACCTTAAGGGAGGCACTGTGGAACAAGTGTGTCTGATCACCAACATGGTGGTTACCGTAAGAGAGAGGAGCATATGACTCTTCGTTGTAGCGATTATCCAAGGTCAGCGCGTGAAGAAAGGTTTGCGTCACAATCATGGGAGGCTCTGCGAGAGTCTGGTAACCCTGTCTACGACATTGCTCATGAGTATGCAGCGTAAGTTTCCGGAAAATATTTGTGCATTGTGGTGTTCGGCACGAGATTGATATCGCGTCAGGTTCGAAGTAGTGTATGACACGACGTTTACGACGGTCTTTGCCTCGAGTTTAAGTCGAGGCTATTGACGCATTCGTTGATGGCCGTCGCAAGGCGGGTTGCTTTGTGTAAGCCATTCGAGTCCAACCTCCTGCATGAAGATGGATACGGGAGGCTGGCGGATAGTGCTGCGCTTGTTGAGTTAAACGATAACACTATTCCTGCGCAGACGCCTATACCGAGGAAGGACATGGTGCTAAATTTCATGTCAGAAGTGTCATCTTCAGTGCCATTAATTAGACCGATGGTTTCTATCAGATCCTGATGCGACGAAGCGACATACCACTCACAGCAGAGAGTGTGCCGAGTGGCATGTTATGGGAGTGGCTTTATGATACAAGGATTGGATAACACTCCGACCGATTTCATCGCATGATGTCTCAAGTGTTGAAACCACTTCGAAATTTGCATCGAGTTTTTGGACGACATCTTTGTCCACAGTCGCGCTGAGGTCAACCTTAGCGATGTTCAAGTTCATCATTAGCACTTGAATCAGTTGTATTAATTCATGCGATAAAAAGCAAATTGTACGCGAATCTCAAGAAGTGTGTCTTTTTTGTGCACCGTAGATTCTGGTGCTGGGTTTTTATGTGAGTTATTCGGGAGCTCGAGCTGATCCGGAGATGGTGTCGTCAAAATGTTCTTGGCCTACGACCAAGAACCCTACGGAGCTGCGCCAGTGGCTCGGCTTGGCTAATTACTTGCATAAGTATACAAAGGGTTATTTTGGTTCTATACAGCCTTTGTC